ATATCTCAATCTTGTTTGAGAACGAATCAGGTGAGTTATAGAAAGCAAAGGAACAAAGACGCTTCCGAACCCATACTGACAATGATTACAGACCGAGAAGCATTGGTACAATGCTTGCCCGCCCCGATTAAGGGTTCAAAGAAAAAATGAGACAACACTCGGAAGCAATAGTACCATAATAAGTGAGTCTTTGGACTGGAGAACATGTCGAGACGATATTATACTTGATGATTGGAGCGTTTCATGAGTAAGAGATGTTATGACGACTCGAAAAGTTTCATTGCAGGGCGCTTCGGGGATGCGGGTCGTTAAGGAGACCGAAGACAGTCCCTGGCGGAATGACGAGAAAGCGGTCTGAGTGACAAAGGCCCTTCCTCGGTATACGGAGGTAATCAAGGAGCCGAAGTCACGAGAACTCAAAGAGTGTTAGAGCGCGGATATGGGCGCACAATTAAGATACCAGTCCTGAACCAATCCAGAAGCCTCGGTGAACGGGGCTGGGACACATTATACCTTGCAGTTTGGTTTGCTTCGGCTTGTTCGGAGCGAGAGGCCTTTTGAAAGGACACATGGCCTAGGGAAGATCACAATGCATTTTGTGAGGGATTTTTTTATTATCAAATACCTATTAAGAAGAGTGAGGAACAAGAAGGTAGACAGAGTACTCTGCATGTAGATATTATCTTTTGCCAATCTAACTAGGTAGTTGAATGGAGGATAGCAAGAATACAAGAGCTAATTGTATTCTTGTAGACTGAATATATACAAATAGCCAGTATAAGCCGTTCGCTGTAAACTTAAAAGCCACGTTGACGAGAAGTCGGATCACTTGGGCCGATGAGAAGTTCACATGCCGAAGTCAAGTGAGATTGAGCCTCAGTTCAGCCTTAGAAGAGGTGGAGGAGGGGTCCATTCTACAACGAGTTAACGGACCAGGGGCCGAGCCGAGTCTGGACTTTGCGTGGGGCCGGCGCTTGACCATTTCGAAAGTATGATGATTGCATAGGTACCTACCTACGAGTGCAAATCAAGATAGGGTCATGCTCCTTCTTACATTAGTTGTACTGAGGTGAGGATGGTGATGACATAAAGTCAGGACCCCTCTAGAGGTCTTACCGCCTCCTTGTATAATACCAAGTCATGCATCAATAAGCAATACATGACTGTAAAGTGGTCTGGAAGCATTGTGAACAGCAAATAATATCTAGGCGTATAGGTAGGTATTTAGACAGACTGCGTGTTGTAGCTCATCAGAGGCAAGCATGGATGATAATGATATCATTCACTACCAGTGATACAGTCAGCCCTGGGTTGGAATGGTCGGTGCTTTTTAGCTCTTGCTTCTGACGTAGTTGAGCTAAAAGATTCAGGCTACCTAACAAAAACTCCAACGAATCTCAACTTGTAACGCGTTCAAAGCTTACATCTGTCTTCAATGTTTTCCACTCACAGAGCGAGATGCGTCGACGTGCTTACCCCAGCGACATATCGATTGTCACAATCTTACTACTGGCGAGCATTATTGCTCTGCAAGGTTACTCCTTGGCACTCAGGGCAGACACTTTAAATCCAACGGTCCCCACTTGTTGCTCGAAACAACCTGGCAAAGAAGCCCATCACAGCGCGGGGCAGACCGTCTCTTATTCCTGATTGGATCTGTATCTGTTTGAAGCCTGCAGCCGTCCAAAGTGGACGCCACTCGGCCATTACTTAGCTGTTGCGTTCATACCATCTGAGGTAAGGTAAGGTAGGTAGGAGGTAGCCAGATAGGTAGATAGCTGCGTAGGAAGCTGCCTTGGAAGGTACCCAAAAACGTGGATCGCTCAGTACCTTCCCTTGTCTGTACCTTCACTGGCGTCACCTCTGTCTTGGACCGGGCAATCCGTTCCGTCATACGGTTGGGCTCTCAACTTTATATCGTTTTCCCGGATCTATCTTCCCTTTTCCTTCAACACCACCCAAACTGTCTCCTCGTAACCTCAGCAAGTCTTCTCACCTTGCCTTGTCGCCTGCATTCTATTGCCGCTCGTGAATCACCTTCATCGCTACTACTCGAACTCCACTCACGTTTGAGAAGTGACAGCGCATACTGCCGACGCTCTGCCACACGAACGGTATCCTGATAATACATGGTTATATAAAAATCTCCGCATTCAACAGAGCAGTTCCAGGTGCTCCCATATACTCACTCGCCAGTGGTTGAAGCTCCGAAAACACCAACCCGGACACCCTGTCTCAGTTATCGCTGAAAACAGCAACACTAATACTCTTCGAAAGTCTTGCGGACGCAGGCAGCAACCTTAAGAAACAATGGTCATGGGTCTTGTCTCTCATGGACGCCGAAGGACAGGCAGCACAGCCAGTGAGTTTGCCCACCCTTTTTCTGACGAACCTCCCGTGACAGCTACGCTTTGCAATCAAACGGAGACTCCCGCTTCTAGTACCGCAGCCTGAATTGGTTGGTGTCCTTTTTGAAGACGTCACCTAAAACCTGCAGTTGAGCTTTGTACAGTAGCTCTAGTTAATTAAGCCGCCCCTCCGTTTGGTTCCAGCGTACTGCTCACTCACCCACATCCCCACTCAACACGTCCGAATCCTCCGCCAACTTCAATATCGAGCCCTGCCCCTCCAAATCTGCCCCCTCCAACAAATTTTTGTCAAGAATAGCCATGTTAACCAACTGGTTTTCACAACCTGCAGGTGCGCGGTCCTCAACCGACGACCCTCGCGGCCTCGACGCTGAGGATGACACTCTTGTGATGGAGCCCGATCAGGGCAATGGTGAGCCTCTCCTTTGCTCTGGCCTGCATCGTTTCTCGCAAGGATTGTGCGATCGCAGATCAGCCAGTTTCTTTCGGCCTTGAGCTGACCAGTGTGGTGTATTAAGTCCTCTCGCATATCATCTCTCAGTTGCGACCAGGAGCCGACCTCAGCCGTGTCGTCCTTCCTACCTTTATCCTCGAACCCCGCAGCATGCTTGAGCGCATCACAAAGTGAAATCCCCTGTCTAAGTCGAACAAAAATATTTGGTATTAACCGGCGCTGCAGCTTCATGTGCCACCCAGAGATGCTACTTCCGATTCCAACCATAGATGACCCTGTCGAGCGTTTTGTATCTGTAGTCAAGTTCTACCTCAGTGGATGGCACATTCGTCCCCCGTGAGTGCTATATTGGAGGCCGATTTTGACGCGCCAGTTACTGACGACTTGTAGAGGCGTCAAGAAACCCCTGAACCCTATTCTTGGTGAAATATTTACTTGTTACTGGGATTTCGAAGACGGAAAGCGAGCATACTACATCTCCGAGCAGACATCCCACCACCCGCCCAAGTCTAGCTACTTCTACATGGCCCCCGACCACCATATCCGCATCGATGGAACTCTCAAGCCTCGAAGTCGTTTTCTTGGAAACTCTGCTGCTAGTCTCATGGAGGGTATTGCCTTCTTGAGCCTACTCAACCGGGGTCAGGACCCTACAAAAGGAGAACAATAGTACGTCGAACTGAGCTCCGTGTCGAAATCTATCTTCGACTGCATGTTCTTTGCCATGACATCAATTTTGAACCCGAACTGACAGGATTCTAGCATCCTGACACAACCGAATATGTATGCCAGAGGTATTCTATTTGGCAAGATGAAATACGAGCTCGGGGACCACAGCTTTGTTCGATGCCCTGAGCTCGATCTGGTCGCTGACGTCGATTTTAAAACAAAGGGCTGGGTTGGCGGCACTTACAACGCCATTGGAGGAGTGATCAAGAGAGAGAGCACTGGCGAGGTCTTGTTCGAGCTCTCTGGTCTCTGGAGTGAGGAGATGTACATCAAGGATATGACGGTGAGCATGATGGTCCTGCCAACCTATATCTCACTAACAACAGTAGACTGGCCACCGTGAGATGTTCTTCAACGCTCAACGATCAAAGCCTTCATCACCTTCTGTGCGACCGATTGAGGAACAGGAGGAGCGAGAATCTCAACGTCTTTGGGACAAGACTGCCAGAGCTGTCAAGGATCGAAACCACGAGCTTGCGACAGACGAGAAGACCAAGATTGAAGACCGACAACGTGAGGAGGCTGCTCATCGAGCCCAGGAAAACCTCGAGTGGCACCCACGTTTGTTCAGGAGAGCCCAGGGTGGGCCTGGTGGCCAGGAGGAGGGCGAAGAGGATCTTGAATGGATAATTAACGCAAACATGTAAGTGCTGCCTACGGTCGCTCAACCAATGTCATGCTAACTCGAGATTCAGCGACCACTCTGCCCCTCCTCAGAAGCAAGCCGAGCAAATTATGGCAATTTACCCCATCATTAACGGGCAGAAGCATAGCCAGCAAAACGTCATTCCTCCTCACAGCCCATCCGCCAAACCTGCTCAACCGGTAGTAGCACAGCCTGTTCAGAACAACATCGACGACAACCTGATTGATTTTGATGATACACCTGCACCGGCAAAGACTGAGCAGCCCCCGCCCGCTGAACAGACGCCAAAAGAATCCGAGATCCAAGGCATGTTGAACTCTACAGGAAAGCCAGCCGATGGACCCCTCCTTGACTTCACAAACGATATGAAAAAGGATCTACCATCCACCACACAGCAATAAAACGATGAGACGAGTTTCAATTATTTCTTAGACATGGGGGGTGCACAGCGAGGACTAGGTTTACTTTGGAGTAGTTGGAATAAGATGAAGACAGGGCAGGCTACAGGCTGCAGGCTATATCAACATTGGCGCGCATCAGGATTAGTTACATATGGGTACTCGCATCATCCGTCGGGTTACAACGAGTCAGAAGGGTTTCAACACCGGCCCTCGCCAGATGACTTCTGCAATATTCATTTTTGAGACATATTTGATGAAGGAAAGGGTATCCGTAATGGTTGAATCGCCCATGAATCCTTACATATAACTATTAAAACAAAAAAACCAGCCCTTGAACGCCGTGACCGTGCTATCCGTATTGCATTTCTCTCCGCACCAACTACACAGTATCACCCTACAGGCTAGTAGCGGCGTCTCGTAGGTTCGGGTGTAGGTGAACGCGACGCACTCCTCTCATCGCGGCCGCGCTGCTTAAGCCACTTCTTTGTGCTGAGAGTAAGGTCGCGATCGAGCTCCTCGCTCGGGTTCTTGCGATGGATGAAGTTGCAGAACCCTCCTCGAACGCAGCCTTCGCCCGAGTTAAGTCGACAACAGGCCTCGCGGAAATCGGTAACGGGGCTCAGTTCACAGTATATCGGGCGGGCAGCGTACCACCGGCTGTTGAGCTCATCACAAGCCTTTTGGGCAGATTCTTCGTACTTAAATCGAGCATAAACGTTACCAATCAGATCTGTTGTGAGTTAGCATTTGCCAATAAAAAGGAGCATCGGAGAAATAACGTACGATCGTTATTATTATCGCAGACAACGAGCTCTTCGAGCTCGCCATACTTGCAAAGTTCACACCAGATATCCTCGTAGAATGCGTCGAAGTGGTTCTGGAGCTGAGAAGGGTTCATTCGGTTCTTGGGGTCGTATGCCGGGTTCTGGTACAAGTTTGGCATCAGGATGGTCTGACTGTAGGAAGGCTTGACGTGCTTTCGCGAGCAGCGATCACCGTGACGACAAGCGCCGATTTTCTGGATGCGCGCGCATAGAGTCAGTTATCTGAGATATTGCGACACGAGACGACGCGTTTGGGAAGACTTACAAAGTAGAAAGAGCAGTTGACCTTGTCAAGCTCGGTACCGAAAATGGAAGCAAGAAAGTTGGCCATGATTGCGGTTCTACGGAGGGGAGAAGAAATGCGGCAACAACGATAAAGATTAGATATAGGGCGTTGGTGATGGAGGCGGCCTTGGAAGTTTTGAGATCAAGCATAAAGTCCAATTGCTGTAGCGCAAGGATACATATCACGTGACTACTTTGGTCATTTGATGGTTTGGTTCCAAAGTATAATGACCTTTTCGCGACTGTCACAGTGGAAAGCTTGGTCAGCCACAACGCCACACATGGAAACATCCAGCACAGCCAGGAAAGATATGCTTGTGCAAGAGGAAATAGAAGCTTGAACAAAGTAGATTATTGGTATAATAATTTGTGCAATGGAATCATGATCTTACGTACAAAGCTATAGCAACGCCCTACCTAGCACTCAATGTCATTTTCCTCACTTATTCCAATTGACATGGTACAAGAGTCAGACTAGTCGACTTCTCATCACGTTCAAGATGCTTATTAGTGCCTGGCATTGACTTTTTCGCCCAAGGTTTGAGACTCAAGTCTCCCCTGCTGGCAGACTGGCTAATCGGAAATCACTGGTGGAGTGGGGAGCTTCCCCAAACCTTTCTCGTTTTAATTTCAACCAGGGACTTTGTTTAGTAGGGGACGGGAGATGGCGCAAAGACCAACAGCACAGAGTCTCCTATAATTCTATTCCTCAATATACGGCCTTGATTCTCGACCCTACAAATCCAGGACGATATATTCCTTGCAGGAGACCATTCGCTTCTGTTTGAGATAAACGGCTGGGCAATGATTGCGATATCATAAGATCTTTGCTCTGTTGTATTTCTTTCCCCCTCTATCTGTTTACCCAATAGATCATCCCATCGATCTCGACCTCGACCATGGATCAAGCAGACATACCTGCGCTGCTGGCGCGCATGGCCAGCGATGAAGATGCGTCGCGCAAAATGGCAGTGTTCAAACTACAGAACTCGATTAACGATCCCGCTTTCGCCGACGTTTTCATTTCCTCCGGCGGTCTTGTCGTCCTCCGTCGACTTGTCATGACATCTGCCGGCAACACGCTTGCTTACTCTCTCCAAAGTTTAACACGGCTACTAGAAGTCGATATGGGATGGGACATCTTCGAAGGCCCAACATCTGGCGATCTTGTCGAGCGCGTCGTCGAATTGATCGTTACAAACCCCCTGGTCAATATCTTGAGAGGTGCCATGTCGATCCTGGTCGCTCTTGTCGGCCATTCTCAGTCCACTCACCAAAGTGGTACCACGAACCGAACTCCAGTAACCTTTGGGTTCCGTGCCTTGAAGCCAGCCGTTGCTGTGTACCCGCAATTCTTCGAGTTAGTCATACAACAGTTGCAGAGCGCCGACCATGCTTTGTGTGCCAACGCTCTCATGTTGATCAACGCCCTGATCAGGGACGCCGTGTCAGACGATAGTACAATGAATGGCGGAAAAGCGAATGCTGGTTCGGGAGAGGACTGGGCGAAATTTATCAAGCGGCTGCAAGATCTGGGGCTGATTAAGGCTGTCCACAGGCTTATGCAGAGCTCTGCCCTTCAGGACCTAGCGCATCCCATGTTAGAATTTCAGACACTGACAAAGATATTATTGAGGAAATGGCGAGAGGTCCATGTTGATTTGGAGCGGCCCGAACATCGAAGAGCTCTCAAGGGACTTCATCTAGCGAGCGCACCGGAGCGAGTCCCTGTAAACGGCCATTCTCCGGGGCAGGACTCACACGAGGCGCCGACGAAGAAAGGGAGCAGGCGACACAATCCAGAGAAATGGAGGAGACTGGGATTCGAGACCGAGAGTCCTGCGCAGGAGTTCGACATGACCGGTTTCCTGGGTATGATGGATTTAACTGACTACGTGCGCAAGAATGAAGATGGATTCCAAAAGATGTTGCTCGAGCAAGCGGGAAAACCTGCGTCTGGACGATGCCCTGTGGCTAGGGCCAGCTTTGCTGTTACCATGATCCTGTACGACCACTTCGACGTTGACAAGACGGATCTGGACGATGTTAGGAGTTATCAACTGTTGGAATCCAAAGACCACGACAGACTATTCAGACCCCTGCTGCTTCAGTGGTCTCGGCTACATACCGCAGGCCTGTATGCGTTTTTCCGTGTCTGGAAACTCACCGGCGCAGAACAAGGTGATTTTGAAAAGGTAGCCGAACTGGTTAGGATCCTGGTCGACTCAGTTGTTGGAGTCTCGAGAAGAACAAAGGATGTGGCTGAGGTCGAAGAAGAAATGCAAGAGTATGACGTGCCACGACTACGAGACCAACAAATGGGTCTTTTGGAGATGTCATTCGAGAATACCTGGGGCCAGCATCTACAGCAAGTGAGGGAAGAGCTAAAACAGGAGGCTCTGCAGTTCGTCAAGGAGCAGCGAATTCGATGTCTTCTTCAAGGATCTTGGTTCTCAAAACCCACGCCAAAGCGAGACAATAACGGCCAAGTCAAACATCGACTATTTACACCTACGCCTTGGCGATATGCGAAACTATCTCACAATCGGCGATACTTACACTACGCTGATTTTGAAGAGAGGACAGTATCGGGCCCTGGGCTGGATTCACTCGCCGAAAAGGTTGATTTGAGCACCATCAGCTCTGTTGTTTCCAACGTATCTGCGCCCACTGAAGACATGCGAAGCACTTTCAGCGATATGATGGGCAAGGATTCTGCCCCAAAGACAACTACCAAGATCACTATCTACAGTTTTGTGAACCCCACTGAAGCATCGCGGGGAGCGGAGGCTAAGGAGCAGCCAATCTTGACGCTTTGGCCATTGAGTCACAGTCTGGCCTCAGAGTGGCTGGATGGTCTTTTGATGCTATTAAACCAAACTCCCATCACGGCAGAAACCAACAAGCTGGTTAGTCTGGTGAGCGAGTACGGGCTCAAAATCCGACTGTTGAATGTACGGATGGACACGGCCTTTGAGGGTCCGGAACCCGGAGCTGGAGTGATTCCGAGCCGGGAGGGTCTGGATGATGACTACTTTTTTGAGGTCTGAGAAAACAGATAAGCCGTGGAAGTTACTTTCTCATTTGTTGTATGTGTTGGTTTTTGGCGATTCATAATTATACCCCATTTCGTTACGCAAAGGAGCCAATTCGGGCAGGCATAGCGAGCATTGTTTAGACGAGACGAATACAGCTGTACTCGGTAGAAATTATAATAATAGACAGACGAATGAGAATTGTACCTAGTCTGACACGTTGAGTATTAAACTAGACAAATGACTTGTCATGGACACGATTGTCTGTTGTTCCCTTGGTCGAGTAGCATACATAGTGCATATCATGACTAGTGCGTTGTTTACTTCCATACATGCCCGATGTAGGAAGTCCGAGACCCATAGTTGAGACTGGATATGCGAAATGCTTAGCACAGCTTTTCACCTTGAACCGGAGAAGATTTCTACACTATGTCTCAGTTCTGCTTATAGATGCATGAGTTGTTGTTATTGTTTTCAATGTACTCGCTGAAGATCATATCCGAGCGAGGAAAGTACCTCTGTTTCTCAGATAGCGGTCACTCATGCAAAAGATGCATATGCAATGGTGACCAGTTCGGCTTCAGGCCGTTTCGGACGAGCCAAGGAAGCAGTCCGGGGGTACGGGGAGTTAGTGTCTACGGGTTCATGGATGGGTCGGCAAAGGTTCAGATACATACGTACCTAAGCTACCTATTTTGTGGGTAAGAGCTAAGAATCATGGAAAAGTCTGGACGATAGGTAAAGAAGGCATTTCGTACCGAGCTTGTTGACAGTGGTTAGGTGTTGATACCGCAGTCATGCAGTTTAGGCTGGGAATTGCTGCATATAAACTCCACACGATTGAGTGCTTTTTTGCAAGAAACCGACTGATAGCCGAGTCAATAACCGAGTCAGAGTCTCCAGTCTCGAATAGAGGATATACACAATAGCTGAGAATTCGGAAGATTGTGGGTAATCTTCCGATCAAGACTGAATAGGATTCAACATAGGAACGAGGTTGGTGGTTGGCGATTGACGGTTGGATGGAGCTTGGAGGAGTGGATCTGCAGATAGATCGTGGATCATGATGGTTGGATCGTGTAACGCCGGAGAGAGATCCAATAATGCTGGTCAGGCCAGGTCTATGGCCTGGCTGCCTGGTTTGATATGGGCTGAGTTTGTGAAGTACTACTCTATGAAACTATCACATGTGTTTTTGGGCAACTATCTTGGTATATACTATGCAGAGGTTCCAGTATCAATGCCATGAATTCTCAAACAGTTGGTCTCAGATACCCCTCCTACGTCCCTGGTGAAACTTCAATGCAAGAAAAAAGAAAGTCCAGTTAGACCAAAACTACCCCAAAATTTGTAGCTCGTCTGGCGGTAAACTGGGGATAGCTGCAACACACGTCAAAAGCGGTGACGCCTCATCTTCCACTTGGCTTGCTGCAACTGGTGTCGCGTGCATAACCTAGCGTGAGGCCCCTCTTTCTGCCACTGCAGTTACAGTAGCAGTAAGTACAGTTTGAACGTTGAGTAAAAGAGTCCGTTCACAGGAAGGGCAAAAAAAGTTACAACCCAGTTTTTGCTGTACGAGCTTACAAGCAAGCTCCCGGAGGGGTCATGGAAGTTCCCCTCCATTGGAGCCCAGCGGAAAGAGGAGTAACTTGATAGAAAGAAAAAAAAAAGTGTCATGATTGCGGTGTGCGATTCGATTCGATGCATGATCGTCCGTCTGTGGTTGTCCCATCCATGTTCTCGACTTGTTGGACTTTGCTTTCCAAGGCGTTCCCAAGAGAGTAGGTAAAAAAATGCGGAGCTAGATACCCAAGACCCCAAGGTAGTTCCTCTATTTATTTTTGCCTTTTCCCTTGGATTCTCTTCTTTTCCTTTCCTTCTTTTACTTTTCTTGATCAGTCAAGTCAGTCAGTGACATGACCCTCTTCCTTTAAAACCTCATTGTTTAGGTTTTGGAGAGGGGCAGAAGAAGACACCCAAGGTTTCAGTACCTACGAATTACTCTCAGCCTCTCTCTCGTATACAGGGAGAGAGGCATCGTTACGGGCTGCCAGCCCAGAAACTGGCTGAGGATCAGTCAGTCCCATTGCCAACAGAATATTCCTTTGGGATATTTTGTATTGATCGAATTCCTTTCTCCGAGCTCGGTACGTATTCATTGCTTTTACTCCCATGTGGAGATGGGCTCCTCTTCTGTTTCGTCTCACTCAACCCTGCCAAGTTGGAAACCGTTTGGCACTGGAAGAGGAGACCTGGAGGAGAGGACCCCCCTGAAGCCCAGCCTAAGCCAGAACCCAAGAGCCCAAAAACTAACAGAAGCCCTGTCAGCAAATCACGACTCGGAGAAAAAAAAGTTGTCCCCCCAAAAAGGACAGCCAATCTTATCGGAAATCTGTACAGTACTTGATTGTACTGGACGGTGTACACCAAGAGAACGACCTCCATCCCCCTGAACTTATCTCTCGACATTACAATCGCAATTTGCGACATTCCTTTCTCTCTTGGACCGAAACTTTCTCTTGCATCGCGAGTAATTGCGCTTTGGTATGTTTTACCCCCCCTTAAACATTTCCTATCCAATTCTATTTTCGTCAGCTCGTGGCTTTCGCTTTGATTACTTAGCCTGCGCCTCGTATCCCCTGGCCATCTTACTTTCTTCTGCCAGCTTGTCCTTAACTTTTTTTTATTCTGTTGCCTACTTTCATTATAATCCTTTCTTGTGCTAACCTTTATTTCCTTCATTCAGCTCATTACAAGAGTATCCATTCTTTACCTTGAACGCGCAATCGGCTTTCGTCATTCTTCGTGATCGATAATTCTGTTGCCTATATACCAAGGCCATAAAAGCATTCACTCTCGATTCGCTTATACTCTTTCCACACTACAACACTCTACGATACTACCTATCTACCTACACCAAACAACTCGCCCATCATGTCTCGCATTCAGATCCCGCTCGACGTTATTACGTCCCGCCTCAACTTTGGCGACCGCTTCCAGAGCCTTCGATCTGGTCCTCTCAGCGGCCGCTTCTCCAACCTGCGACCTGTCAACGAGTTCCTCGACTTCAAGCGTCTCTCCAAGCCTAACAACTTTGTTGAGATGCAGTCGCGAGTCAACTACAACCTGAGCCACTACTCTAGCAACTATGCTGTCGTCTTTGTTATGCTCAGTATCTATGCCCTCCTCACCAACTGGTTGTTGCTCTTCGACATCATCCTTGTGGTTGTGGGCATGTGGTTCATTGGAAAGCTCGACGGACATGATCTTGAAATTGGCACCTTCCGTGCCTCGTGTTCGCAGCTTTACACTGCACTTGTTTGTGTCGCCGTGCCTCTGGGTCTGATTGCTTCGCCTTTCTCGACCCTGCTCTGGCTCATTGGCGCATCTGGCGTGACCATCCTCGGTCACGCTGCATTTTTGGATAAGCCCATCGATGAGGCTTTTTCCGGGGAGGCGGTCTAAGTGGTCGGCCGCAATCTCCCGAATTCGCGCCCCAATGGGGAAGACCATCGAGGCGCAGGCAGAGGAGAACAGAAGGGGGTGCTGCGTCTCGCGGACGTCCAGGGGGAGACGTCCGTGTGGAGGAATTGGATTCAGGCGACGATGCACGAGGTGTCGGTGCTTCGTCAGGATCTCGCTTTGCGAGTGACCCTCTTCGTTTTACCGGAATGGATGTGGGCAACTCTGAACGGGGCTTGGTACGCAGGGGTCATTATGATGACTCGGAGGATTCAGAAGATGATAGCGAAAGCAGTGAGGATGAGGAGTTCGAGCAATATATTGCAGAGCTAGCTTCTCATGATCCAGAGGAGGCGCTGGTACAGTCGGCGATGCACCGCATCGAACGTGCAAAGGCCAGGGGAAGAACAGACGTTGATCTCAACGATGAAGAAATTGCAGCTTTGGAGCGACGACGCAAGCGAGACGAGGCCGCCAAGAAGAAGAAGAGCAGCAAGAAGCGCACCAAGGACCCGTCACGAGTCGCTGTGCCTCTGACCCAGCTCGAGTCTACATCATCACGCAAAAAGAAGGAATCATTCACAAGCCAGTCAAGACAGCCATCTCGATCGAACAGCAATCTCACTGAGGGTCATACGCGCTCTTCTGTGAGCAGCCTTCCTCCAACAGCAACAGCAGGCCGACCACGCTCAGGCACTACTACCTCATCTCAAAGTCGAGTGAGGGCGCCATCAGCTAGTCGACAGCCTTCTGACAGTTCAGTTGTTCGCCGAGGCAGGAACTCAAGCCAAGCCCCCTCGGATCCTTTCCAGTTCCAAGTTGCAGGTGCACAGCGCAACTCTGGATCCCGAAAGAGCTCTCGCCAAGTTCATGATGATGGCACAAGTGAGAGCGAGGACAGCGAGGAGGAGTATGATGGAAGGGAAGATTCAATCGAGACGACTTCCAGTGATGGCAGCGGTGCTCAGATTGTTGTTGAAGAATCATCTCCTGAGCCTGTCAAGCCCGAGTCTACCAGGAGAAATCCTACCCGATCTTCTACTTCGTCCTCTACATCCAAGCGAAAGACGACAACAACAACACCCAGTGCACGCCGGAAGAAGTAAAGAGTTATGATACTAGGACAAAGAATACCCCCGGTTAGAAAAAAAAACAGAGTCTCTATTCAGTGTTGATGAATTATTATCTATTTGGTCAGATTGAAATGTATTTCTTGTGATTCTATGTGCTCAACATTGTTCTTTTGCTGTTTATTTGGACCCTTCAACTTTCACATGAAAGGGGTCGTTGATCTTTACTTCACCCATCTAGCTCGAGCCACATCAGCACAGCCACTGGCAGATGTATCATCCCTCGGCTCTGTCCGATGTGACCCCTGTAACTGTTGCCAATACCGAGGGGAAAGTTCCAGTGCAACGGAGGAACCTAGCTACAACTGACGAAATAGTCATGACCCCAGACTAACCGGATCATCATCTCCAAGGGTCTCAACTGGATATCCCTAGTCTCCAACTTCAATCCTCCACCAACCCCGACAACACACCAAACTTTACTATCCGATAGCGCAATATCGCACAGCCATGCCACCTTCGTCATCAAACACAGCCGCTGCGTCGCGAAGTGCGAGTAAGCGACTGATTAAAGAGCTGGAGACATGGAGTAGAGAACAAAAGGAAGAGAAGGGCATTGAGCGCCTCGGGCCTGTCAACGAAGGCGATTTGATGGAGTGGGAAGCTGTCATCAATGGACGGGGTATAGGACAAGGTTATGATGGTTTGTCTCCCTCTCGTGATTTTGATTTTCGCATTCACTAATACTCCACAAAAGAAGGACGCTGGCTTGTCAACATCTCCATTCCATCGACATACCCTCTCGCACCGCCAAAGATGACCTTTGTTACACCTATCGTGCACCCCAACATTGCGCTGCAGAACGGAGAAATCTGCCTCGATCTTCTCAAGGATGCCTGGACTCCAGCTTATAGTGTTCTTGAATGCGTGCGCGCCGTGCGTATGTTGCTTGGATGTCCCGAGACGGACAGTCCTTTGAATGTTGACGTCGCAGCGCTGTTGCGCTCGGGCGATGTGTTGGGTACGCGGAAGCTAGTCGAGTTCTGGTGTCGGGATTCTGATTCGAGATACGAGGGGCCATGATATGTCGTTTCGACTACGTTTGATATGGGATATGCAAGAGACGGTAGTGGTTTGGGATGATGCTATGGAGTTATTGGGTTCAATTTTGGCGGCGGTTTGTTTACGAGCTGGAAATCAGGATGGGCTGTACAAGTTTTACATACACGCATGAAGCGACAGTAGATAATCCTCAGAACTTATACGGCAAAACCAGACAATATCTTTATGACGACGTATTTACAGTCGAAATTAGCCTCAGAGAGACGGAGAATCATGGTAACAGTATAACAAATGCATCCGTAGATGCTCATCTATTCCGCAGTCCTTCCTCCATGCTCAAGCTTTCTTACTAGAACACCTGTGTAAACCAATTCAACATGCTTATCCCTGCCAAGATGGCTTGATTTCCCTGCACCTGCCTGCATTCCTCAAGTTATAATGCTTCCCCTTCGCCTCCTTGTTTTTGAAAAAGAAATTGTTCCAAGGATGCACTACTAAAACGCCGTGACCCATACCCGCCCAAATTGAATCATGAATTGTCCATGGCTACAACAAAGCAGCCATTCCGTTCGCCTTCTTCCAATACGCCATAACCTTTTTCAACACTAGAAGTTGTGAAAGGGAATGGCAAGGCAGTGAAATAAGTTGCCGATGCAAAGTTGATACGGCAATCTCTACTCGTTGTAGTGGTAGACCTAGATAATTGTTAATGAGGGTTTCCACAGCGTCAAATGAAAGTTACTGACCTTATAGTTGGGAAGACCCCATGACTGCCAGCCTAATCGCTTCGCCATCTTGGCGAATCCCTCGGTCTCAATCAGGTGGTAGAAAGAGAATGGAGGAAACATGGCACCGTCACGATGAACGTCGGCCTTAACTAGGAGGGCAGTACCCCCAACGCCATCGAGTGGTAAGAGCATGTTGCGATCGCCGCCTTCGGTCGCCAGGTACGCCATGAGCATTCGGTATGTAGGCATTTCGGCATAGCCCTCGAGAAGAATGTCGTCAGGGCCCATCTTAGCGGCAAGAGCCTGCGCCGTCTCGCTGTCTTGCCAGCTGTTGAAATCGTACGGACGCTCAGACATTTGCTTGTGCTCCTCATCATAGTATCGCTGGAAGCAGTTGGGGACAATGAGCGGCTTGTCATAGGAAGCGAGATCCTGAATCAGTGTTGGCGGTGTTTCAATAATGTCGGCATCCAGCCAAAGAACCCAGGATGTATCCGGACCGAGAGTAGTAAAGAGCAGAGAATTGCGAGCCTTGGACATGACTGCACGGCGGGCTTTTTGGTTCTTGAGCTTGTGACGCTCGCTTTCGTCCTGAGACAAAATGGCAGGCTCGAAATCCTGTCGCAGAATGATAATGCTCTTGAACTTTTCGGCTTCGCGGCCATGCTTCTGTGTCTTGTGGATAAATTCTTGCAATTCGGCGGTAGCTTGGTTACCCTCCTTAGTCTTGGGCAGAATGAAACCCAGAGTGATAAGTTCATGAGGATAACTCAATCGCAAAAGATTCTCCCAGTAGCCAGGATAGAATCGCGACATGGGAGTCAGAATGAGGACATTTTCTCGGTTCTTAATGGGCTCGGTGGTAATGGTGACATTGTTAAGGTTGTAATGCACGACGGGTGGTGGCTTGAGAGGCACGCCAGATCGGGATTTTGACTTTCGGTACGGTGAAGTCGGCGGCGATAAATGATGCTCTGCGGTAACGGATTCGAACCGTCTAGCGGTGACGGATTTGCCGGAAGGCGAAACGAGAAAGACGATGATGAAGATGCATAGGATCGCTCCTAGCGCAAGGGTGATGGGATTCGTCTTTTTGAGACGAACAGCCCCCATGGGACGGGCCATGAGTACTGTGTTGCCGCGCCTACAAGGCGATGGAGGAAAGTTCGGTTATGTAGAAACGTGCGACAGCACGGGCTATCGCAGACAAATCGAGGGCATCAAGTAGGAATGTTCGAAGCTAGTTGAAGATGCGCCGCAGAGGGAGATGCTAGGAAGAAGTATCAGGGGGTTTTTGGTTCGTCGGTGGCAGATTAAAGGGTCCGATTATAGGCTTCGGAGGGCGCAGAAGAGGAAATGACAGAAACGAAAGAAACGGCCATAAAAAAAGATCAGACCGTGAGATGGGAAGGAATACGAAAGATGGATGGGCTTCTGGCCTGCCAGTACGAAGGGATAATTAAGACACGACGACTGATTGAGGGTTCAGTTCAATTGGAGTATCCCATAACAGGTCTAGCGGCAAATCGGTTGGTCCGCTAGGGGGGTTCCAGCAGCTGGGACTTCTATTATTATCCAGCGACGCAGGTATTTTCCGTATAATCATACTAGTTGGAAAAAAGGTAGTATTATTGATATTCTTAGAGGATGTGTGAGATTAATTGAGTGCCGATTACGGTCATTCAAGGTGCTCTCTAGCCTGATCATGGAGATTTGAAGATACTACTGGCTACCTTAATAAGGTAGAAGAAAGTGTTTCTCGAAGTTGAGGCTTGTTTCAGGAGTTTTAAGATATTACAGAATGACGCAGTTGTAATCACATGGATAGGACACAACATGTCTGATAGTAAATGGGATTTGTTCATATTATCATTAGATAATAGTAAAATACAATAGACTAAATGCTCATTGTGAGTCTCAGTCTCCCATATCCTTGAAAGTACGTACCATGACTATTGTTCTCCAAGTCATAGCAATCCCCACATTTATAGTCTACAACGCCTAAATGTGGCTGCGCCCATGACATCTGCTCCCCGTCCATCCATCACAACCTCTCCTTCCTTTTCAACCTAATCCTTTCCAATATTTCTCTGTCGGAAATTCTGCCAATCTTCCTTGAAAATATCAATAATCATGGCTGACAAGATGGATCGCGGTCTCGATGAGATCATTGCTGATACTGTGAGTTCTCAATTTCCCATCCAGCTCCTATTGTTTTATGCCGTCTATGCACGCGCTCTCGACTCGTCTCAATGATCTAGGCTGACCTCTTTCTCTCCTTCACAGCGCTCCAATCGACCTCGCAACAACCGTGGACAAGGTCGCCGACGTGAACCGCGTAACGATTTCCCTCGCGATGGTGTTAGAAAGGTTCGTACATGCGCCATTCCCGTCATCATGAGGCTTTGTTGACATGGGCGGTGCAGGTGGACTTCCCTCGCTCTCCAATGATGCCTACTCGACCTGTACAACCCTCCTCGCAACTCATCCTTTCGATGCTCGGAGCTCTTGTCGATTGAACGGCTTCCCACTCTGAAAATCCCTTGCTGACCAGAGCGTCCTTCCCCTTTGCAGTCTGCTCGCGACGATTCACGAAACATCGACAGGTTAGTTATGTTCAGCCCGTTTGACTTCGCACCGTTGCTAATCGTATGCAGTGAATGGGTCCACGACCGTTTCGAAGAGAACAGTAATACTCAACACTTCCCTTGAACCACGACACCGTTTTGACCATCGTTTAGACAACCGTCGGGCACCTGCTCCTCGCCGCCGCCGCGAATCCCCAGAACAGTGCGTACCTCTGATATTCGAGCAAAACACACCTCTAACCTTGGCCAAAACAGAGACTCCAAGGGCACAAAGATCCGTGTTGCAAACGTTCACTACGACCTTACCGATGATGACCTCTCTGTACGTCGCACATACGCAGTAATCATTCTTCAGCTACTCATAAAACTTTAGGAGCTCTTCCAACGAATTGGGCCTGTCAGTCGTCTCCAGCTACGATATGATCGCGCTGGACGATCTGAGGGCACCGCCTACGTAACCTACGAACGAAGAGAGGACGCCGAGGAGGCGGTCAAACAATTCGATGGTGCCAATGCTAACGGTGGGCTCATCCTTGAACGCTTTATTCATGCGGTCAGACTAACCAAATACAGGCCAACCTATTCAATTGACTCTTCTGCCCAATCGAAACCCATTTGATACTGCCGTTATGCCCGGCCGTTCACTTGCAGAGCGTATTTCAAGCCCAGGGGACAGAAGATCGCATTCACCCCACCGCCGACGCGATGACGATGACGCCGCCCGAAGGGGAATTGATAGATATGTTCCCGGCCAAGGCTCACGTCGAAGCCCAATGCCTCGAGGCCGTGGTCAAGGCCAAGGTCAGGGTCGGGGCCAAGGTGGTCGCCGTCCTGGTGCTCGTCGTGACGGCAGAGAAGGAGGTAGAGACCAGGAGGGAGGCCGAGGTGGCCGAGGCAGCCGCCCTTCTAAGAAGACACAGGAGGAACTTGATGCTGAGATGGCCGACTACTTTGGCGGAGACAGCGCGCCCGCAGAGCTCGCAGAGCCCGCTAACCAGCAAGATGCACCTCCCGCTCAAGCACCCGCAGCCGCGCAGCCTCAAGCACAAGCTGCCGCTGACGATATCGACATGATTGAGTAGACGTGTTGTCATTGTCCTGACACTATTATCTCAGTATGCTCGCAACTATTTACACCACCGAAATGTTTGGCGCATTTCTACCAAAATCCCCACCTTGAGATTGACCTCCTTGTTAATAATTGAAATGTCATTTTATAGTTAGATTGAGTTGTTCAATCGGAATAGAAAACTTGATCAACCCCCTTGTGTGTTGCGTCGATTCCATGCATACGATAGTGATCCCTGGTACTTGTCAGATCAAAGAGTTGGGGAAAGGCATCGTACGATATGACAACATACCCCCGAGAATCCCAGATTTCGACCTGTTACAAGGCCGTTGAACGACATATCGACATTGATACTCATGTTGAAGCTGACACTGTTCCTGTTCATGGGCGCTCGCTGTGGCCCATTAGTGTTGTGGCCATGCATCGTCGTCTGCTCACTATAACTCCTTGTACCGCGCGTCATGCCACCGTTGTTCTGGGTTGTTATCCAACGTGTAGTTTCGCTTCGAGTCTGCGTGATTGTGAATGGAGAACCTGGTGTGGTTTTGACACCTCGGTCTGTTGACCTTCTTGCTAGTTGTCGAGGAGGTAGGTCTTCCACACTTCCGTCTGAGTCTGAGTCGTAGTCCGAAGAGTCTTCTTCTGATGAAGTCTCTTCGTCTGACGATAGATAGACGCTCTCGGCATCGTCGGCATCGTCGGCAGCGTTATCTTCTGACGGTTCGGCTCTTTTTTGCTTTTGTTTTGGTGTGAATGACTTTACTGGTACTGTTGTATCGGCTTCTTCTATCTCATCTGGCTGTCGCGGTGTTGAAGTTGACGTAGGTTGTGATTCCTTCTTGTTCTTTTTTGTTTGTGATGATTTAGGTGTTTTAGAACAGGATTGGTTTGCCTTCTTTGATGAAGTTGCTGATGTATCTGGGGGAGCCATGATAGTCTTGTAGTCAGATATGTGGGAAAAGGTTAGATGGAGTTTTGTTCAGATAGTTTATTTTGATAATGAATAGATTGAATTATGGTTTTAGCTATCATACAGTTCATAACATCTACTGTCAAAGGTTCGTCATCATGTGCTATCTTGTGAGAGGCGGATCGGGTTATGAATGGTCCCCGAGACATCAGAAACAGGGTCGGATCCTTGAAGAGTGACGTCGCTCTCACAGCCAACAACAGTATCGCCGTATAAGCCTCGGCTTGAATCTGAGTGGTTGGTTATCATATCATTTCATCCTCTAGAAATCAATACCGAATTATAAAGATATTTATTATTTTTGCTAGCCTTATCAGTAGTTGCTCAATGGTGTTTAAGAGCTCTTCATGTCGTATCTAGCGAGTAATTAAGCTCATACTATCGATCGGGTGGCGACCGTTGGATATAACGGCGGGGATATCCAATAATCAGCCTCAGGGCATCAGAAAAATTGATCGCTGGAAGCATAAGAGACGAAATTAGTAGGTAACTTTGTGCTCCTTAGGCTATGGTCTTTAGACTAGTTATTTTTATACTCTAAGACTTAGGAGGCCAACTTTTCTGCTACCCACTTGCTTGTCATTCGTGTAAGTGCATACTACTTAAGTCTCAGTATATATGGTCAACACAGTCTTCTTTCATAAAATGACAGCTTTCATTCTTTCTCCAAATTATCATACTTTCTTGTACTCTCGCAAGAGCTGTGCAATCTCGAAACGCGATTGGGCCTCTGCAAATTTCGCCGCGTCCTGACATCTTTCCTCCAACCCATCATCTTGGTCGTTCTCGAGCAATAAATAAATCATATCTAATATCCCGTGTTCTGAAGCTCCTTGAAGTGCTGTCCGACCTTCAAACAAAGCAGCTGGAGCATTGATAAGGGCCCCGTTCTCAAGAAGGAAGATAACTATCTTGAAATGCCCTTGCATTACAGCAAACTGAAGTGCAGTTGCACCATAGTGTGAGGCAGACTGAGCATTTATATCCAGACCCTGCGCAACGAGGCTTTGGACCAGCTCGAGATTACCACCATAACAAGCTGCTTGAAGGGTAGTCTTTCCCTCTTTCCAAAAGGCCGGTGCGTGGATGTTAGCCCCTGCAGCCAAGAGGATAGTGATAAGCTCTTTGTGATTGGCTTCTACAGCATACTGGAGAGCTGTCATGGGGTACTTTTCCGTCGGGCGTGCATTGACTTCAGCTCCAGCATCTAGCAGCAAAGAAGCTACCGGCACAAGAGCATCCCATCTGTCAAAATCGTAGATAGAGGCGCCCCCAGAGGTTTCTGCAATAAATCGGATCAGAATTCCCCCGTTAGATCCTGCTTTCACTCGAAGGCCATGATCAACAAGCGACTTGAATGTTGAAAAAGGGGGCCACCGATGATTCTGGAAGATGAAATCGAAAGCATCCATTCCTGTTTCTGGATCTTCAGCATTCGGATTTGCCCCATGTCCGAGTAGTATCTCTGCGACTTCGTATTTTTGTGATTTCAGGGCCAACAAGAGGGCAGTCCTGTATTCGTTAACAAGATTGTCAACATTTGCCCCGTTTGTAATTAGAAGATTGGCTAGACAGACTTTTTCATCCTCAGCATGGTTTCTGATTGCCTGGAAAAGCGGTGGTTCGAGTATATCATTCCTCATCCCGTCACCAGGTCCATCAGAAGAGCCAACGTAACGTAGAGATGGCTTGTCAACATCAACGCCAGAAACAATCAAGCTTTGCGTTGCCCTCCAGTTATGAAGCCAAATTGCGGTGCAGAAAGGTGTGGCATCGCCGGGAAGAGGTTTGTCCAGATCAAAACCCCAAGCCATGAACTTGGCCATCAATAAATCAAAGCAACTGTCAGCTTCGTCATTTTTCCATACCTGAATAGCTTTGCTCAGGATGCGACAGGCCCTCCCATCAGCATCGGGGTTGATACCGGGCATGAACAGGAGGTCTAGCATTGTACTGTCGCAGCAGTCAACAGCAGCTTCCATTGCATCTATAACATGTTTCTCATAGATACCCGTGCCTCTATCGACACAAAGCTCGAGAATCATATACAACAATTGAACGTTTCCGGATTTGGCGGCTATTTTGAGGTATTCGCTCCAATTGTGTGTCACATTGACGGCAGATTCGCCCGCCCTTGAGAAGTAGTCAAGTAAGAAGTTAACCAATTCCTTAGAGCCAGATCTGATGGCCAATTTCAGAAAGGAATGAGGGTTGCTGCAAACTGCTCCTTTCCTCAGCAACGTCTTGATCAAAGCGATATCTCCAACTCCAGCAGCAGCTTCGAGGCAACTCTTTCCGTTCTCCTGGCCCGGGGAGGCATTTACATCAGCTCCCCGTTCTAAAAGCAGCTTGACTATTTTCATTTTGTTTGGTTCGCCACAATCCAGGCTACATGCATACTGCAATGCAGTTGACTGTAAAACACGTCGAGTGTCGGCACCTGCTCTCGCCTTGAGCAGCATCTCCACTATCTCACACTTTTTTCCTCTACTTGCAATTTGGAGAGGAGTCAGAGAAAAGTTGAGTTCGTTATATCTTTTGCCCCTGGTAATTGGGATGTCGAGAATAGCTGTGCCATCAGGATTCGCGCCTGCCTGCAAAAGCTGTCGAGCAACATTGAGTTTCCCTTTCTCAGCAGCACGCTGAAGAGGAGTGACTATTGAGTGAATATGATGTCTGTTGAAGTCAAACACCTCTGGATGGGCCAACATGAGCGCTTCCATGGTCTCAGTTCGACAAAATAAATCTGGATCCGCACCAAATTTAACCAACAAATCGATCATTACAGAGCTTTTGCATTCGATTGACACATGCAACAGAGACAGGTGCTCCGTATCGAAAATGTTTGGGTCGGCTCCAGCCTCAAGGAGACGCCTCACTCGCAATTCATCTCCAGCTTGGATGGCTAGAAATATTGGCGTTGGGAGGGAAATACTCCTATTAGGATTGGTTCCCCATAATATCTGGTGTCTCATGCCAATCAAAGCTTTTGCAAGTGACTCGCCATCGTAGCAATCCATATGACACGAGCTATGTAGTTTCAGCGACGGGAAGGATGCCAGTAGGTTTGCGTCGTATTCAAGGAGCAGTCGGACAGCTGCCTTGTTCTTGGAGTAGACTGCCCGCCACAAAGGTGTCCTGGAAGAATAGACACTGTTTGGATTTACTCCTTGTTGTAGTAGGTAGCGGATGAGCTGGAGGCCCTCCTCTCCAGTGACTTCGAGTGCAGCAGATAGTAAAGCTACCGAGAACATCCTCATTGTTGGTCCTTCCATAGAGAGTGCTTGCTTCAGATCGCGCAAGAATCCACAAGAGATGGCCAGCTTCAGAAATTCGACCAGCACGTCCTCGTTCAAGCGATTGTTGCTTGATAAGAATACTAGGGAGAGAAATAGTCGAGGCCAGGACCCAGAAACTGGAGTTTGCTGGTTTTGTAATTCTTTCTGGTGACTGTGGTTGAATGGTATTTGTTCGTCAACTAACGTCAACACATTGGAAAGTGTTATATCAGGATCCAGGTCCAATACACTTCTGTTCCCAAAGGAACGCAAAAGTGACCCTGTAAGATTTTTCAAGGGGGATTGTTTCTGGGGCGATAGTAGCGGAGATGATGTCGAATATTGAATGGAATCAACAGTTCCGCTCAACATCAGGTGCGCTCTATCTTGAAGCGCTACTCAAGTCAGTGACAAGTTAATACATAAATATAGAGGCGCTTACCAAGACCAGTAAGTTGGGACTGGAGATTGAACCACGGTACAGTGAAGTATGTAATATCTCGATTGGCTGCTGAAGGTGTCCGAGCAACAACTGTCTGATGGAGTGGGAATACAAGATTTCCGTCTTCACAGATGTCAGTCATGTTTCTGGAGTATACAAGCAATACGTGTACGCGACTCACAAAGATTCTTCGGGGCGTATCTCTTAGTTTCCTTCTTCCTCTTCTTATCTGGTATGATCTTGCCGTGGATTGTGAGTTCAGTTGCTTTGCCTTCAGCTTTGCGCTTCAGAACCAATGCGCTCGCTTGCTCCCATTCTTCCTTGGTGGCATTCTTTCGGAGCTTCCAGTTGACTGTGACCTTGCGAACATACTGTTTCTCTCTGCACATGATGTTGGTATATATTAATTAAAAGATACGGGGGACATACGTAGCATGAAACTGACAGTTGTCACTCATGAACTTCTCGATCTCCTTGATGGTCTTGTTCTGGTCGAGGTACAGCGCCTTGATTATGCCCTTATGAGATTCCCATTGATCATTTGGGATCCTAGGTGCTCTATCCGTAGACATATTGCAATATGGGGCAATGGTAGCAAAAGAGATAGTATATGATCAATGAGGTTGTTGGACTTTGATGTGGGCCACAAAGAAAAACTAGGGACGAGGCCATCTTTTATGTGCCCATTGAGTGACACAGGCTGCCATACTATCTCAGGTCAAGTCACCAACAGTATTTTGCAATCTTTGGCCAGAATTCTTAATGTCTTGGATGCCAAGCAAGATTGAAGGCAGGGGTTCATTATTGGCTAGGTTTGCAGAAGTCAATGGCACCTCGGTCTGAGGCTGTGAACTTATTGGATATTAGGATATGACCAGAAATCGTTTTTCAGGGCCCCTGCAATGGAGAATCCAAGCAAGCCACATCCACGGGTGACGAAACATGTTGGGTCAGCTGTTGGCGATTCCAGACTTCGCATTTATGCACGATATCTCATTGGGTCCTTCCCCTGGCATTTTCTTGCTGCTCTTAGCTCTGCCTTGACTAAAACGGTAATACGGCGTGTCAATCAAAAACAAATCATCCTACATGGGGCAGTACAGAGGTGGGCATACAGAGGTAGGTACAGCATTTGGAAGAATCTCTATCTAGATAGCTACCTTCTACGGAAAGAGGCTGACTGAGAAATGTGTACGAACAAGTCCTCGAGGAGGTCTCTCTAGACTCATCTCGAATAAGATAGACCTAAACAGGCAGTCCTTGTCGTAGATGATATTACTGTTCCATATCTAGATATTGCATTTTGTATGCAAAGGGTTATGTTCAAGAATGTATATTGTTGCTTGGGTTTTGCTTTTCTGCATAAGCCACCTGTGACGGTATCCTGAGAGCTTGGGCTTCCAGTTGATGTCCTGTCGAGCTACTACCCATCCAGAATTCCTTTTGGGTGGGCTTGAGCCTTGACGTACAGTCATTATATCTAGCTCTCTCTTCAAACATTTCTTCATACGTCTGATCAGAGTTCGTATAGTCAACTATAATAACCTCACACATACCCGACATGACATTCTATTCAGCACCCTCCGCTTTCATCTCTATTCTTCTGTCTCCTAGTTGATCTTCTCAGTCCATCCACCACCAAGACTTTCTGCTCCTTATTCTTACTCGACACCAATGGCTGTATCTCAAGAAGTTATCATCAGTATGATTGGCGTTCTTGTCAATCTTCCCACTTTCTGTCTGATTATTTGGAGTATCTGGGACAAAAGAAGAAGAAAATTAGAGACAAATGGAGCGTCAGGTATATTATCACGTTTGACTACATGTTGTTACTTGCTAAAAGTTTCCCGCAAGCAAACCTTGTCTCCAGTCAACCTCTTCCCTAACAACCTCACTGGCTAACCGACACCTTGTTTGCCTTTGCCATTTCCCAGTCAATTCCCTAGCCTATACCAAGAATCCATGACAAGAACCCTAGCGAGTATTCGAATGTTCCCCCAATATAACATCTCTATACAATTGATACTGGGGGGTTATGGGTTAGAGATGGCGAACAGTTGGAAAGGATACGAGAGGAAGTCAGCACCAGTGGCGATCATGTGCAATAATCCATGTCACTGTCTTCGAGATTAAAGCTTGGAGGAACTGAACAGGTAGCTACAGTCTTACATGTTGTAAATTCATAGATCGTGAACCATGGGGCAAGAGCCAAACGACGACGATATACAAAATGAGTCAACCAATATTTGACAATACAATTTTATTCATTCAAGATAGGATTCATTCAAGTAATTGAGTCGTTTCCAAATTCGTTATGTCCATGTCTTTCAATAAGTAGCTTGATGCTATTGTTGTCGGATCATGGTATCCGATGAGCTAAGAGTATAGTCAGTTTGTCAGTAACTTAGACGGTTCATCCTACCCTGTTCCCCCACCTCCGTCCATCCATCCCCATCAAGTAATTATCTCAAACATACTCATAACTTTGGCAACTGATTATCCAGCATCTACAATCATGTCAAATACATCTGAATCTAAGCCAAAGATAGGCCTATTGTCCATTGGCGACATGGGCGTCGGCATTGCAAAGCTGCTCATTGCCCATGGCTTCGTTGTCGCAACTAACATCTCTAGCCGAAGGTGACGAACCACCCGACACTGTCCCACGCATCAAGATAACAAAACTGACAATGACCTTAGCCAAGACACGATTGAACGGGCTCGTGATGCCCAAGTTGAGCTCCTCGAGTCTGATACTGAGTTGGTGCAAAAATGCTCAGTTATACTCTCAGTCGTTCCACCCAAGGACGCCGAGGCTACAGCCGCTCGTATTGTTAAAGCAGTAAAGGACTCAGGAAGCGAGAAAGAGCTTCACTTGGTCGATCTTAATGCAGTTGCGCCTTCAACGATCAAATCTATCGCAGCGTCTGTCAAAAAGGAAGATGTACCTATACGATTTGTCGATGGAAGCATACTGGGACAGTCTCCAAAACTGACAGCATCATCCGACGTCCAAGTTAAATCATCTAGTAGCAGCGACTTTTCCAACTGGTACCGTCCTAGCATTCCCATCTCGGGACCAGATTTGTTGACTTCACTACCTTATGGCGAGAAACTCATTTCTGTGCTTAACATGAACTACATCTCCCCCGATATCGGCGCAGCAAGCGGACTAAAGATGTGTTTCGCTTCCTTGACCAAAGGATTCACTGCCATTGCGACGCAGTCTTTCACAACGGCTCATAACCTTGGGGTTTTGGGTGCTCTCAAGAAGGAGCTTGGCACGTTCTACCCAACTGTCCTCGCCACCGCTGAAAAGGGCGTGCCCAGCATGCCACCCAAAGCATATCGCTGGGTTCGAGAGATGGAAGAAATCGCTCTCACTTTTAACGAAGAAGCAGGTTGGGATAAAGGGATGTTCGAGGGCGCTGCAAGCATCTACAGAGCCGTTGCGGAAGATGAGGTACTTGGACAGGAAAAGGTTGGTAAGAGAAAGCGTGGAACCACTTTGGACGATGTGGCAGCAGCAGCAGCAGAGGGTCTGCAGAAGAAAAGAAAGTCACAGCAGTAGTAACAATGGATAATTATAGCACATATCTCTATCTCTTAGACATTAGAAGGGGGTAGATATATATCTCTATAGTACAATTTATACACACCAAACAGGTATGGATATAAAATCATCAACTCCAAGCTGGCTTACACCTCATGTCTAGATGCCGATATAAATTCGAGAGTTAGGAACGTTGAGCTTCCAGTCATTGTTGAAACCAGGCGTTGTCACTGCGGCGGCGTCAGAGGAAGTGACGAAGATGCCATCGTTGGAAAGAGCGCCGAAGTGATCTCCTAGCAACCGAGCCTCAGGCTGAGATGACTCCGAGCCGGTCTCGGACTCGACCTTGCTGGCTGTTCCGAAGACCACGCCCGTCTCTTTGGCTCCAGTTGCTTCGGTGGCTGAAGTCTCAGTAGATGCAAAGAATTGAATCTTGGAACCCACAGGGACAAAGTTGCCCCCATCCATGGCCTGGATGAACCTCTGCATCTCTTCTTCCTCAGATAGGGAAAAGTGAGTGCGCTGAGGGTCGAGCGAGAGCAAACCCTTCTTTGCGCCCCAGCCACCACCGCCGCTCACTGTACACTGTTAGTACGTAGACACAAAGAAAGGTGTATCGTCGGGATCTCGTACAAATCTGATATAGTCGACCACCCTGCTTGTACAGGGCGACCAGGCGACCGGAAGTGGAAGCGACGAGGTCCGTAATGTTTTCGCCATCTCTGAAAGTTGCCTCGGGATCAGGATCAGCAGAACTTGAGTTGCTTCCTGATTTAGAAAAGGTTGGAGGGGTGATGATTGCCCAAATTCCCATTGGTGACTGAACCAGGTCCGATTTTTGTACGTGTAACTCATCGACAGCTGGCTCAAGTTCATTAGAAGCAGGGACAGATTCATTCTCAACGCTAACTCGTCGCACGATGTTTCCAAAGCTCTCAGTCACCACGCGAGGATGGGTCAGGGGCACAAGAGGAGCCCATATGCCAAGGTCGTTGATCGAAGGAAGCTGCTTCTTGAGAGGTAGAGATATCTGTTGCGAATACTTTTCATTCTGCTCAACCAGTTTAGGTGAGCTTTGTGATAGATCATAACGACTAGCAATGAGTGTTGAAGTTCTATGATTCAGAAATGTCGTATTGGTAAGAGGAATGGTGATGTGAGGGTTACCAAGATCCATCGTTAGAGCTGCCACTTTATCAGCATCCTCTCGAACCTTTGGGGGCTCAGGAGTCCAGAGGCCGGGAAGAATTGAGTCAAGTTTTCCACGAAGGATAGACAACCCCTGAATGGGCTTGTTGCTCGGTACTGGAGGAGCGACATGATCGACAACAGCACCCAAGATGTGGAACTGCTCTGGTTTTTCAGATCCTGAGAGTAGATCAACAAACTCTGCCATGAATCCATCCTTCTCAAGCCATTGCGCATACTGTGGAGTAGCTAAGATGACTGCAGCATCATGACGACTAGGGTTGGCGATTTTGATTTGAGACTTGACAGTTTGTAGTAATTCCGAGAGATCCTTTGAAATGTTAATGATTTTCAGTAACAGTTTTTTAGAGTGTTAACCTTTGTTTTGGGACTTAGCTCGACAGTAAAGTAGTTTGATTCTTTACTTGTCGAGTAGTTCCTTCGAGCTGTAGAAGAAAAGTTATTGAATACACAGCTCCTAGGAGCCCTCAATGTCAGCCGGAGGGCCATTGGGATAATGGTTAGCAAGTCGAGATTGAGAATCAAGCCACCAAGTACGCGTATCTAGAGTATTTCGTCCGAATGGTAGAAAAATGCAATTTATTAAAAGCGACACCTGGAAAGTGATTGCAAAGTCTGGGATGTCATCACTCAACTCCAAAACATACCCAGATGTGGCTGAGCGCCACAATAATTTAAAGGGTCTCAAGATATGGAGGTGCGGTATCGTTCTGTCACGCCGGGAATGTCTCGATATAATTCGAGGAATATAGTGACTGTCTCGCCGAGAAGAGACTTTTTGAGTCACGAAATGTCAGCGATGACTAACATTAAGTTTATAATCTTACAGCAGAGAGATATTCAGTATAGAACGAATCAGGCAGCTGTCCTGTCACGTTTGTATTGGGGAAACTTTGTCTTGAGAAGAACCATTGAGTTTTTTTTTTAGTTTTTTTTTTATCAATCTGCGCGGACAGATTAACATCGTTATTAAAGATATCAGACTTTGAGACGAACCCCATTAAATAACTTTGAAGAAACTGAAAAGGGCTGAAGCAATTTTATGGACGAGTACCAAAAAAAATATAAATATAAATAGAACGAGTCAACACACTAATACTAGATTACATTTGTGCCTTATTTTGTCAGGCTAAGCCACATTCTACCCCTCCATCAACTAAAAGTTATTCCCCCGCCATTGGAAGCGTGACTCAACCACCTCTTTACCTACTTGAAGCCCCCAAAGGCTTCCCTCCGACACGACGTTCAGACTTCCGGTTCGAGCACTTCGGGTGCGCATTTCTTCTCCAAGACGACCCTTTACGCGAGCAATCATGGCGACCAACAGCGGCAGAGGAAACCCCAGTATGTACTCCCAATAATCCTCGGTCGCATATCCTGTTCAAAAAGCTAACCATTATACTCCATAGTCGGCGCCAGTGAGGGCATTCAAGACGCTACCAGTACCCCTCCAGCCGTCCCCGCCGAGGAGAAGAAGGAGATCGCTCAATCTACCACCGAAACCCATGCTTCTGGTCAAGATGTCGGCGCTGCTGCTGCTGCCGGTGGCGCTCCCAAGGTGAAGACTGAGAAGGAGTGTATGTGCAACATCCCAAATTGATACCTACTCGACATGTCTCTGACTTGAAACCGCAGTGGAGAAGGAGCGAAAGAAGGCCGAGAAACAGGCCAAGTTCGAAGCAAAGAAGCAAAAGGCTGCCACCTCCGCCCCCAAGCCTGCTAAGGAGAAGAAGCCTAAAGAGAAGAAGGCTGAGGAGGAGCCCATTCCCGAGTACGTCGAGGACACCCCCAAGGGTGAGAAGAAGCGAATCCGATCGTTCGACGACCCCCATTTCAAGGCCTACAACCCTATTGCCGTCGAGTCCGCTTGGTACGACTGGTGGGAGAAGGAGGGTCTCTTCAAGCCCGAATTCAAGCCTGACGGAAGTATCAAGGACGAGGGAAAGTTCGTCATTGTTCATCCTCCTCCCAACGTCACTGGTGCCCTTCACATGGGACACGCTCTTGGTGACTCGCTCCAGGATGTTATGATCCGATGGAGCCGAATGCAGGGCAAGACCACCCTGTGGCTTCCCGGCTGCGATCACGCCGGTATCTCCACTCAGAACGTCGTCGAGAACATGCTCTGGAGAAGACGTGGTCAGACCCGGCACGATCTTGGCCGCGAGAAGTTCGTCGACACTGTTTGGGAATGGAAGGAGGACTACCACAAGCGCATCAACAATACTCTGTCCAAAATGGGAGGATCTTTTGACTGGAGCCGAGAGGGTATGCAATCAGCCATGAACTATGAGAAGAGAGGGCCACTAACTTTGACCAGCTTTCACTATGGACAAGAACCTGTCCACCGCTGTCACTGAGACTTGGGTCAAGCTCTATGAGGAGGGCACCATTTACCGAGCCAACCGACTTGTCAACTGGTGCACCAAGCTCAACACTACGCTTTCTAACCTTGAGGTCGTCAACAAGGAACTGACCGGCCGCACCCTGCTCGATGTCCCTGGATACGACAAGAAGGTCGAGTTCGGTGTTATCGTCCACTTCAAGTACCCTGTCGAGGGGTCTGATGAGCTTATTGAGGTCGCTACCACCCGTATTGAGACTATGCTGGGTGACACCGGTATCGCTGTTCACCCCCAGGACGATCGGTACAAGCACCTCATCGGCAAGATTGCCGTTCACCCCTTCATCGAGGGCCGTAAGCTTCCTATCGTCGCCGATGAGTACGTCGACAGAGAGTTCGGTACTGGTGCTGTCAAGCTCACTCCCGCCCACGACCCCAACGATTTCACTCTCGGACAGAAGCACGGTCTTGATTTCATTAATATCTTCACAGACGATGGCTTGTTGAACGAGAACGCCGGTACCTACAAGGGTCAGAAACGATTCGATGTCCGCTACACAATCCAGGACGACCTCAAGGCCAAGGGTCTCTACGTTGACAAGAAGGACAACCCCATGAATGTTCCTCTGTGCGAGAAGTCCAAGGACATCATTGAGCCCATTATGAAGCCCCAGTGGTGGGTCCGCATGAAGGAGCTCGCCGAGCCTGCCATTGCTGCTGTTCAAGACGGTAGCATCAAGATCCGACCCGAGAACGCTGAAAAGAGCTACTACCGATGGATGGAGAATATCACCGACTGGTGTATCAGTCGACAGCTCTGGTGGGGTCACCGATGCCCCGTCTACTTTGCCAACATTGAAGGTGGTGCTGGAGATATCCCTGAGGAGAAGCTTTGGTTCGCCGGCCGAACTCGACAGGAGGCTGAGGAGAAGGCCAAGGCTGCCCTGCCTGGCAAGACTTACACTCTTGAGCAAGATGAAGACGTTCTCGACACATGGTTCTCTTCTGGTCTCTGGCCCTTCAGCACCCTGGGCTGGCCTAACCAGACACATGATCTTGAGACTCTCTACCCTACAGAGGTCCTTGAGACAGGTTGGGATATTCTCTTCTTCTGGATTGCTAGAATGATCTTTTTCGGTATCAAGTTGACTGGCAAGATCCCCTTCAAGGAGGTTTACTGCCACAGTCTTGTCCGTGACTCCGAGGGCCGTAAGATGAGTAAGAGTCTGGGTAACGTCGTCGATCCTCTCGATATTATTGCCGGTGTCGAGCTCCAGACTCTTCACGACAAGCTTACCCAGGGTAACCTTCACCCTAGCGAGGTCGCCAAGGCCACCAAGTACCAGAAGACTGCCTTCCCTGATGGCATTCCTCAGTGTGGTGCCGACGCTATGCGTTTCACCATGATCAACGCCGCCACTGGTGGTGGTGACATCAATTTGGATGTCAAGGTTATCCACGGATACCGCAAGTTTTGTAACAAGATTTTCCAGGCTACCAAGTACGTCTTGGGAAGTCTTCCCCAGGACTTCACTCCTTCCAAGTCAGGCATTGCTCGTGGCGAGACCCTTGCTGAGCGATGGATTCTTCACAAGATGAACAGCGCTGCTAAGGATATCAACCGTGCTCTCGAGGACCGTGAGTTCTCCAAGTCCACATTGATCGTCTACCGATACTGGTACAACGAGCTGTGTGATGTCTACATCGAGAACTCCAAGGCCATCATCCGTGACGGTACCAAAGAGGAGCGTGAGTCTGCTATCCAGACTCTCTATACTGCTCTCGAGACCGCTCTCACAATGATCCACCCCTTCATGCCCTTTATTACCGAGGAGATGTGGCAGCGAATGCCCCGACGACCCGAAGACCAGACCAAGTCGATCATGGTTGCCAAGTACCCTACATACAACGAGAAGCTTGACGACCCTGAGTCTGAGCGTGCTTACGAGCTTGTCCTCGGCTGCTCCAAGGGCGCTCGATCATTGATGGCTGAGTATGCCCTCAAGGATGAGGCTGAAGGTAAGCGCAATGACCCCTTAATAATAGAGAATCCCAATACTAATTCTTCTGTAGTCATCATCCAGGCCTACAACGACACATCTCTCTCCACTGTCAAGGACCAGGCGTCTTCCATCAAGTCTCTGAGTGGCAAGGGTATCAAGGGTGTCGAGATCCTCGGCCCCGATGCCAGCCGTCCCGCTGGATGTGTTGCCTACCCCGTCTCCACCGAGGCCTCCGTCTTCCTTCATGTCAAGGGCCGCGTTGATATCGATGCTGAGATCACCAAGGCTCAGAAGAAGCTCGACAAGGCCAAGAGCAGCATCCAGAAGCAGGAGAAGATCCTCAAGGATCCTGGTTACCTTGAGAAGGTTTCTGATGCCGTTCGCGAGACAGATGAGAAGAGGCTGGCCGATGCCAAGCAGGAGTTGAACAGCTTCGAGGAGACAATCAAGCAGTTCGAGCAGCTGAAGCTGGAGTAGAAGATGGATAAAGAAAAGCTTGCTAGAATATATGTACTGGGCCAGTATGCCGATTAGGAGTGTAGGAAAAATAAGAGATGCGGAAATGACAATTTATGATTAAGTTCACTCGACAGTATCCTATGTTTGAAGTGACTTCACTCTTGCCCAGCCTCAACTCGATGTAGTACTGTAAGAGTTGCTATTATAATGACCTTACTTAGGCTTTTTATATTATCAAGTTGGACCAATATTACAAACGTCGTTTATCAGTGCTGCCAGTTCCCCTTTCCAGATCCTTCGTCCTTGTCTTTCTTAGCGCCACGTACTGGCTTGGACTGGGCAGCCTCATGTCTCCTCAATTCTTCGGGGACCTTCGAGATCGAGCTCTTACTCAAGATCTGCTTGAGATCATACATGGTTTCAGTATCCTCAGGGCCCAGGAAAGTAATAGCCACACCACTCTTTCCAGCACGACCTGTACGACCGATACGATGGGTGTAACTCTCAATGTTCGTGGCCATGTTGAAGTTGACGACCAGGGAAACGTCGGGCACATCGATACCACGACCTGCAAGATCGGTTGCGACGAGAACTTGTGTGTGGCCAGCGCGGACAGAGCCGAGGGCAGCCTCTCGCTGTTCCTGGGTCTTTGAACCGTGCAGTGTGACGGCAGACCATCCCATCTGCTTGATGTCTCGAGCAACAGCGTCACAGTTACGCTTGATGTTGACGAAAACAATGATAGGCGGCCCAAATGCACCTGAAGAGAGAATCTCCTGTAGTCTCTTCTTGCGACGGTCTTCACCTGAAACGAACTCGACCCGCTGCTCAACTGTGTCGACGGCCTCGCCTGCGTTACCGATGGTGACAATGGCTGGGCGCCGGAGATATTTCTTTGCGATCCTCTCTACAAGAGGTGGCATGGTGGCTGTGTACATCATAGTCTGCCTGTAGCGATCCTTATCGCCCAGGTAGCGCTGCATGATTTGTGCATTTTCAGCTTCATCTGTGTCTGGTTTCTCATTGGTGACTGGAAGTGCATCGAGAATCTTGTTGACGGATTCTTCGAAACCAAGATCGATCATACGATCTGCTTCATCCATAATCACGTAGCAACACTGTGAGAGAACGAGCAGTCGTCGCTCAATACAATCAAGCAGACGACCTGGTGTAGCGACGACAATTTCAGCACCATCACGCAGGTTGTATGCTTGTTCTTCAATTTGATGACCACCAACAATGCTGACCACGCGGAAACCAAGAGGTCCTGCGAATTTCCTAGCTTCAGTCTCAATTTGCTGGACCAGTTCTCGAGTGGGTGCCATGATGAGAGCATAAGGACCATCGTGCTTGTTGATTTCATCCAGGGGTGGTAGATCGGAGATGTAAACAAGTAGTGGTAGAAGGAACGCAGCAGTCTTTCCGGAACCAGTGACGGCTACACCGATAAGATCGCGAGCTTGCAGAGCGATAGGAATAGCAGCTCGTTGAATGGGTGAGGGCTCCTTGTATCCGACATCATCAACAATGTTGAGTAGGCGTTTCGGCAAATTTGACTCCTGCCAACTGCGCATGGGGTTAGGGATCATGCCTCCCTTGGTAGCAATGCCAAAGTCCTCCTTGAAAATGCGCCAATCTCGTTCTCGCATGTCGTCCAGAGACTTTTCAGACCAATGCTTACCTAGTCCTCTTCGATCCGCTCGTTGCCTTGCCTTGTCGCGTGCTCGGAAAAAGTCCTCCATGATACCCTCTGCTCTCTCCCTTCCATTCTCTAGATCTCTTTGTTCGATCATTCTCGCTCGTTTGCGCGCTCGTTCCTCGGCCCCATCGTCGAATTCGCCGCCGATACCAGTAAATGATCCGCTATGGCTAACAGCAGTCTGCCGGTCGTATAGCGGATCGTTGTCGCGAGAGGTATCTTCATCTGCATCCCATTCAAAGTTGAACTTCTTCTCTGTCGTTCGCATGCGCTTCTTCTTCGCAGAGAAGTTGGATTGCTGATTCACCTGTGGGCCAAGGTATCGAGACCGTAGCAGAGTAGCTTCAATGTCCTCGGCTGACTGTTTATCGGCGCCCACTCCCTGCTTATCTCCTTTTTTATCTTTTCCTCGGCCTCGGCCTCGTCCTTGGTCGCGATCGCGTTCTCGATCATCTCGGCCGTCGTTCATGGACCTGGGACCTGTAGGCACGCGCCCCGATCCATTCGATTCGTTAGGTCTTGATGATCCATTTGATCTCCATTTTTGTTCTTCTTCTTTTCGTTTCTGATCTTCTTCGGAAGCTTTGCGCTTCTTGTCGTCCTCTTCCTTCTTTGCTTTCTCAGCTGCTAGTCGCTCTCGTTCAGCCTTTGGGATGAATCGAGGTTTCGCGGCGGCGGTATCAGCTGCCTTCTTTTTGCGCAATAGCTCTTCGATGTCGAGGGGCATTTTGATGCGAGTTAGGTGAAAAGAATAAATTTGATAGATTAGCACTAAGCCTTATCCTCGTTTTTAATTCAAAGTAATAAAGTTTCAGGCAACTATTTATGGGGTTTGGTAATGAGTGCCTGCTTCAAGATGATGATCAGTAGGGAAGGCTAGGTCTATGTGGCTGCTGTGGCGTGTGGCGCAATGTCTCCCTACTTTTGATTGGTTGAGCTTCATGAAACTTGACGTCCTGGATCTGAAGAATGGTTGATATGGAATATTGCGACGCAAAAAACAGAAGCATATAATGTTGGATCATGTAAATTCGTTTCTTCTGTCTATACGGGCCAAGTAGATCGTTATTTGAAGTGAAATCATGTTGTAGGTGCAACACCCACCTAAGGTAGACAGACGCTCGTTGCCATTCACGTCTTCAACACCACCACATGGCTTTGTCTGAGGCCATTATGTAGTAATATGAACATATTTTAATTCTGATTATGTTTATTTCGTCTAATAACAACATTAGTCCTATTGGGGTGATGACTGATAATCAGTGATGTTTAACAAGGCTGAAGTGTATTGTCGCATTTAACCAATCAAAGCACATGATTATCATGGCCCATAAAAAAATCGAGACCATCCGACACCACTACAGCCTCGAGGATTGAAGAGCTTCGTGATCTAACCTCCAGTTTACGGGGTGCTCGAATTGACAGGCTTTCACCACAGCGAAACCCATCATGGCCTCAGCACCGCAATTGATCGGCCTCGCCAAGTCGCTGCCTGCTCCTCTGCAGCGCTTCTTCGCCCGATACCCTCCCGCCGCCATCCTCCCCGAAAACGCCCCCAAGACTCGGTACCAGGAGGAGAGACCGAACCCTTTCCGCTTCTACAAGCACCCCGTGACAGGAAAATGGCAGGACCCTGTGTACTCGCATCGTCGCCAGGCCGAGCTGGTCAAAATGGCCCGTGACAGCGGTGTCGAGGATCTGCTGCCCGACACACGCAAGGCCACCGAGTACAAGTTGGCTCATCGGGTTGAGCATGGTCTGAGAGTCAAGGGTACTGGTGTGGGACAGAAGGTCAAGGGTCATATTCACGAACGACACATGATTGCAAAGTACGTCGGCGGTTTTGTCACGGCACTGGTTACATACTGGCTATGTTACAGGCTGGGAAATGGGACAGCAATGACTAACGACATCATAGGATGGAGACAAGGAGAAAGGCAATGTTGGATATGCCCAGTCTCATCAAGCGCTGGAAGAGGGTAAGCCATGGCCAACTGGAGCTATATACCATTTATCACGAGCTTGCATCACTAACATTACTCGACAGGTGGGCAAATACGGATGGACCAAGTTCCCCAAATAAACAAGACTACAGATGGAATGACTGCTTTCGTGCGCCCTGTACATTTACCTATGTATTTTTATGTACAAGAATATCTACAACGATCTTGTCAAACACTTGCTACGCATTAATCGAGACTTGGCTTCCATCGTGATATATCAAACATCTCTGTCCATCAAACAACTCTGCCTTACAAGGAATATTGTAGACATACCTCTTAGCAGCATTCAGTCCAGTCCCTGTCACAATCACAGTTCGCATTTTCTAATGCTTGTGATACTTACCCAAATTCTATCTCAAGGCCTAATCGTATCACGTGATGCAAACAGATGAAGTCTTCAACTTTTGTAATTGGGCTCGAACAATCCAAGTGTCTATTCCAGGAAACAGAAACGTATCATGGCATCTTCACAGTCTTTATCTGTGTCGGCAGACACAGCCACGCACTACCAAGTCCTCAACATCACACCTGCTCTCCTCGACACACAACATGACTCTGCACCCCTCATAAAGCGCGCCTATCATCGGGCCCTCCTCCGCAACCACCCAGACAAAGTCGCAAACTCAGATCCATCATCGGTTTTCTTCACTGTTGATCAGATCACTACAGCACTCAACGTTCTCTCCAGCCCTTCTGCCCGTGCCGCCTACGACGCCGCACTGCGAGTGTCTCGTCCAACTGGGGTGACTGGTCAGGATGGCTCCTTTCAGACGGGCGTGGAAAACGTCGATCTGGATGATTTAGCTTTTGACGAGGACCAGGAGTGCTGGTACCGTCCTTGTCGCTGTGGAAATGAGCACAGCTACGAGTTTCGTGAGGCTGACTTGGAGGAAGTGAGCGATGAGGGCGAGCTCGTGGTTGGCTGCCTTGATTGTAGCTTGTGGCTACGGGTTCACTTTGCTGTACTGGATGAAGATGAAGACGATACACAACCTTCAGTTACTACTTCTAAAGAGGAAATTTGACACAACAAGCTCACACATTGATATAAGAGAATTGACTTCGGTCAGAAACGGTCAAAGGTGTGGACTGGCATGGCGTCTAAGTCAACTCAGTCTCAACATGACTGAAAGCTAGGGTCTCACACTCCCAAGTCCTAACTGAAGATTTGATCCACGTCGAGAGATTTACACAGCACATACAAACCTCGAGTCATCGCTAATCATGTATCGTCGTGTATTGAAAGTAATTTTGGTATTTTTATTGTCCAGACGGCCAACGCATTAACAGTCTGGAGGCAGAGCGTAAAATCACTTTCTTCCAGACTCCTTGCTAGCCCGTTGGTGTAAAGTCAGCCCCTCCTTGGCGCTTGTCTGTATACCGAAACGATGCCGAAGCTCTTGATCAAAAACGAGGTCTTCCGTCCACTCCGTAGACACCAGTCCGCCCGACAACTGCATAGATAAAACATAATCGAGACGATCCTTTACTCGGCCTTGGGCTCCTCAGCCGCGGCCGCAGGGGCATCCTCGGCGGTGGCGGCAGCAGGGGCATCCTCCTTGGGAGCCTCAGCCTGACCAGCAGCGGAGGTCTCGGCCTCGGAAGAGGTCCAGAGGGTCTGTTACAGTGTTAGTCGCTATTGTAACTTTAGTGCATAGGACCGTTGGAAAACTTACGAGGTTGTCACGGAGCAGTTGCATGATCAGTGTGGAGTCCTTGTAGCTCTCCTCGCTCAGAGTGTCAAGCTCTGTGAATTTCAGGTTAGCAAGCTGTGAATTAAGAGCAGGTAATTTGCGAGACATACCAGCGATGGCATCATCGAAGGCCTGCTTAGCCAGGTGGCAAGCCTGGTCAGGGGCGTTGAGGATCTCGTAGTAGAAAACGGAGAAGTTGAGGGCGAGACCAAGGCGGATGGGGTGGGTGGGAGGAAGCTCAGTCTGGGCAACCTCAGTGGCAGCCTTGTAGGCCTCGAGGGACTTGTCGGCAGAGTCCTTGCGGCGGTCGCCAATGGCGAACTCGGCGAGGTAACGGTGGTAGTCACCCTTCCTACAGTACTGGTTAATATCGGTTTGCAAATAGAGACGAGCTGATTTGCGCCTACATCTTGTGGTAGAAAACCTTGGACTCGCCAGACTTGGCAGAGGGAATCAGGTGCTGGTCAAGGACCTCGAGGATATCTTCGCAGATCTTGGCAAGTTCGGCCTCGATCTTCTGTCGGTACTCCTTGATGAGGGTAACCTGAGAAGAGTTGCCCTTGGACTCCTCCTTCTGCTCGATGGAGGTGACTATGCGCCAGGAAGCACGGCGGGCGCCAATGACGTTCTTGTAGGCAACGGAGAGAAGGTTTCGCTCCTCGACGGTGAGATCTCGGTCCTCACCGGCGACAATCTTCATGTTCTCAACCATCTCTGCGATAGGCGCGCGCCCTTTGTTAGCGCGTGGGAAATAGGTGAGACCGATTTCGAGAACATACCCTCATATCGCTCGGCCTGCTCAGCGAGCTTGGCAAGGTAGACAGCATCTTCGTGACCCATTTTGGCGGTGTTTGGCGACTATGGTTCAAAGGTGGGTTAGTAAAAGGGGTGATCAAGCTTGTCAGACGAAATAAAATGTGGAAGCGGTATGTGCAAATGTAGGCGCAAATAGGCGTGTGAAAATGATCGAGGAATCGCAAATTCGTGTAGACGTTGCTCAAAGACGACAATAGTGGAATGATGAGTGAAGCTGCGAAGTGGGCGAGGGGCGATAAGTCGATGGATCGTCTTAAGCGATAAACAGGGAGAGCAGTTGCGCGCCTAGTGCGTGGCTAGAGCGGGCGGCGGCGACGATTCGGTGAGGCTCCCCGCTCTTGGGCTGTCAGTGGCGGAGGGGTTTCTGAGACGACGGCCTCCTGAATACGGATGACAGCAACAGCGACGAGCAACACAGCGGTGATGGTTGAGATGCTCTTCGATTTTGGTATCCGGTATCGTCGACAATAGAAAGTAGGCGGTTATTTCTTATTCGTGGTGTTGAAGGCGGCCCAAGACGATCCAAGGGGGAATAACGGGTGCGTGTCCGTTTCGTTTTTGAGGGGGGGTAATGACGACAGAGGGGAAAGGACACAACAAAACACAATCAAACAACACAAAAGACAGGATAATCGTGATGAACAGGACTCTTTCTCTTGATGAAAAGAAAGAAACACCACAAATATCATATAGAAACACAAAGGGTGAAGCAGCGCATACGTACCTAAAGTTGGTGGATTTAGATTTCAAGGGTTGTTAAAGGAAAGGGGAAATAACGAAATTCAGCTGAGAAGAAGCTTTCAGTTGAAGGAAAGATAGATGGTGGATGGTGAACGGAACGGGAGGCCAAGAGTAGAGTAGAGTAAAGTAGAGAGATGAAAAAAAGAAGTGGCTTTGGTCTGGTTTTGCGGGACGAACTGGACAACAAGCAGGTAGGATTGACGGGAACGGGGGAGTGTTGTTGGGGATGGGACTTGGCTGGGCTGGGCTGGGCTGGGCTGGACTAAGCATGGACATGGTCGCATGGGCGACTTTTTGGGTGACGAAAGCCTTCTAGAGACATTGGATCGACCTGGGAAGGGGCACCTTTGCTGGTCACTGCCAATTGACATGGAACAGGAGCAGTTGGGTGTCAGTGCCAGTCAGTGCCAGCAGTGCCAGTGCCAGCGAGCGTCGGGCTGCCCCACCTCAGATACCATACTCCCCTACCTACTCCCCGCTTCCACCCCACTGGGCTGTGAGCCAGCCTGTGAATGTGACGATGATGAGCTGTGCCCTGGAACTCCAGTGGATTAATTATCTCTAATTCATGCTTCATGCCCAATCAGCGCATCTTTTGTTCATCATCCGTTCTATGTAAGTTGCCAAATGGAATGAGCTTCTTCTATTAAGGTCTCTCACGTGAATGAATGGTGGCAGATCTGGTGTCTTAGGTAGGTACCTTACCGATGAGCTGCCTTACCGGCATCAACATTGCCTCATACTCTGACCGTAGAGTCCCTGCAGGATCTCAAAATTGACTTGGTGCCTGTATCATGGTCCTGGTTTTAATTAAGGGTTTCAAAAGTACTATGATAATGCCAGCTAGATCAGACATTATCGACTGAAGTCAAGACAAGAAGCCGTTGACTTTATGGAAAGATAAGCCAACAACGGCTTAGCCATACATAGACGGTTTGATTAGAAAAGTATCTCCCAGGTAAGGTTCTTTCCAAGCATAGGCAGAAAGAGGGGTCCAAAAAGTGTCAAATGTCATCATCTTCATCATGCGACCGACCTCCTTTGTCCTGTCACGCTATCTCGTCTGTTGGTGTGCTGGAAACAGCCACACAAGTGCCGACACAAAACTTCAATGTGTGCCAGGAACGCTCAAACATAATGCCTATTGTCATGCTTGGAGGCATGAATTATACTGTAAGGCTGTTTCTCTTTATTCGGTTTGGCCTCATTCCGGCTTGCGATTGGCATCATCTCTCTGCATTGTATAAACCTGTATACCATAAGCCTGTCAACGACCAGTGCCTCACGATGGTTTCAGGTTGTATGCATAGCATATCTAGTGCGGGTATAGGCGACCAAAGATTGAAGCACTGTAATTTTTTATCTTGCTTGGGTTTACATTCTTGCGTCCAACTTTCTTTGCGTGGGAAGTCGAGTTATACAGGGCTCCGACTGACTGGAATGTGCAAGGTCTGGAAATATACAGACAAACTCTTCATTACCACTGCATGAACATGACCGACTTTGTAATCCGGTTTCTGCCACACTCGTGACCAAGCTTAGCCGCATGATAGATGAATATAACTCTCAAACTATTGTTCTTCTGGAACCAAGATTATGTCGCTATCGTCCGATTTTAAACCCACTACGAGAAGCTTCTAAATAAAGTCACCAGAGGGAAAGCTTCCTGATCCAAAGTACCTGATATGCAAAGCGATGAGTTTGTCCAATATTAGCAGTTCATCCAAACCATGTGCCACATGATGCTTTGTAGCGACAATGGTGATATCTGCCTGCAATTCCCTCCGGACAAGGCCTTGTTTGTTGTTACGCAAAGCTGAGTCTCTCCTATACATACCAGGATTCAGTGTCGGGATGTACCCACTTGGCACGAGCTCTGATGTCATTCAAGGCCTTTCAGCTTCAAGCTGCTGAGTTACCAAACATGTGCTTTGAGATTCATGAACCTCAAGTAGATATCCGAATATAGCGCTACGGAAACAAAATGATGTGCATCGAATCAGTAACACTACACTTCGTTGAATGCAGGGTAATCCACCTCATCAGGTTGTCAGGTACGGACAGATTCCCGATGTCTTGGATGCTTGCAGATGGTCAGTCAGATCCGAGCTTGCCAAAGGAGCTCGCCGGGATTTACCGCCATTGGCTCGACTTTGTTAAGCAGCTACTTAAATAACACGCTTGATACAAGCAAAAGTCTAAGTAGCTGCCTACTACAGAGCTGAGGTGCAACGCTTAGCCCAACCCAGAAGCTCACTGTCACCCGTCGTCAGATCATCTCGGCTCTCCCACCAAAACGGCAACGTCATCGGCTACAAAACAAACCACGATCCTCAATTCCTACTGATCTTTTGCTCCTAGCAAGTAACAATAAGACACCAAATCTAATTCGCAACCATGCTTCGCACATCTTTCCGTCAGGCTGCTGCCTTCCGACCTATTCGATGCTTCTCTACCACTCCTCGCGTCATGAGTGAGGGTGCTACTGGAGCTCCCCGCCCTACTGGAGGTTCTGGGTGAGTTTCGAGGCTGAAGTCCAATTGATTTTGCGATTGCGCATCTCTAACACTCCTGTCTTCAGTGATGCTTTTCAGCGACGTGAGAAGGCCAGCGAGGATTACGCTATCCGCCAGCGTGAGAAGGAGAAGCTCATTGAACTCAAGAAGAAGCTTCAGGAGCAGCAGCAGCACCTTGACCGTCTCTCCAAGCACATGTATGATCCCCATCCACCACCGATGCGATACTCAAGCATCTTAATTGAGCCAATCGCTAACTTCAATTCTTCTATAGTGATGAGATCACAAAGGAGCAGGGCGGCGAGCAGCACTAAGCAACTCATACCACGGATCACCGGATAGATCAGGCAAAGCGTGTGGGGGGGATTATCAGAATTCAGCGAGACCTAAACCGGCTCGCCAAGATCGCAGTGGGATGTTACAGTCATCAATTGACGGAACTCAACATGAAATCGCTATTCATTCAGAGCTTGACTTTTCCATAGTCTAAACTAGTGTACAAGAATATCTACACATTTGCACTCTCCAATCAATGTTTCAAGTTCCAGATGTCATTTCCACATCCCGATTACTGACCATGCCTGTGGTTACGCATGCTCTGTTTCATATTTCATCTTCGATAAAGAATTACCTGGATTCCTTGCCTAAAACTCCAATCCAACAATTACAATCCTTCCCTTCATCGTCGTCCCATGTATGAGCGATAGAAGCTCTCCGCCGCATCGTTATCCGAACCAGCATAGTGACTTCCTAGGTTGCTGCTTGATTTCTGAGCAGCTGCCACCTTGGCTTGCAACGATGAGGCATTAGCATCGATCCATTGCAGCTGTGTAAGGTGGCCGTTGAGAACACGGACAATTTGGCTCAGCTATGACAACGGGTTAGCAAAGTTTGTTTTTGTGAATGAAAATGACATGGAACTTACAGGGTCCTCGGGTTTAGCACCCTTGTTTAATGTACCAGAGATGTCGTTAATCTCCTTGACCATCTTAGATAGATCGCGCGACTTCTCGTCCAATTGTTGTGTGAGCTTCTCTGCAAGCTTATACGTGCGCTCACGCTCCTGGTCAGGCCCAGCCAACTGCTCGCCAGGACCCAGCTGTTTAGCAAACATATCTTGGACCTCAGACTCGTATCGATCCAACCATGCTTCAAGCTCGTCCTGTTGACTCTCCACGGCAGCAAGCTGTCGCTCAATTTCGTGACTCGCTCGCTCGGCTTCAAAAGTATCAAGGTACAGCTTCTGGATCTTCTCACCGTTTTCTACAAGGCTTCTATCCCAGCTAGACACAGTAGTCGCCTGCTCCTTGAATTCTTTCTGGTACTTTGAGAGGTCTGATGCCCATCTTGTTACAATATCCTCCATGGTTTTGTTCTTGAGGCGCGCCATCTGGGATGTTGGGCCAGTTGTGGAAGCACCTAAAGGACCGGGAGTGGTGCTAGTAGTCGCAGGTTTGGCTGCGTCCTTGTTGGCATCTGCAGTTGGCTTCGCACCGAACAGATTGCTGGCTGGAGCAGCGGTAGTGCCTGCTGCTGGGGCTGAAGTGGTCGTCGATGCGCCAGTGGTTGCAGTGGTAGCAGCAGTCGAGCCTGTTGCTTGGCTGCTAGCAGCAGCTCCGAATAAACCACCAGCAGGCTTTGGTGTAGCTGTTTCAGTAGAGGGCTTAGCAGCGCCGCCAAAAAGACCACCGGCGGTTGTAGTAGCAGCAGGAGTTGTTGTGGTAGCTGTGGTGGTCGCAGGCTTGGCTCCAAACAGTCCTCCGGCTGTCGTTGTGGTGGAACTGGCGGGTGCGGCAGAAGCTGTTGCACCGCCGCCGAAGAGACCACCAGATGGTGCTGAGCTTGGGGTCGAAGTTGCTGGAGCGGCAGGCTTGGCACCAAACAAGGAAGTGGCAGTGGCAGCGGGAGTTGAGCTTCCTCCCTGAGACGCAGCAGGGGCAGCGCTCTCAGGCTTTGTTCCAAACATCCCACCAGAGGTAGAAGTGGGAGTAGATGCCGGCTTAGCACCAAAGAGCCCTCCAGCAGGAGCGCTGCTGGGGGCCTGTGCACCTCCCCCAAAGAGGCCGCCAGGTGTTGCTGAGGCCGTTGTGCTGGGCTGGGCAGAGGAAGCTGAGGTTGTCGCCGGCTTCGCTGCATTTCCAAAAAGGCCAGATGATCCAGTTGATGCTTGTGCACTTGTGTTGCCGAACAGTCCTCCGGCAGGCTTCGCAGCATCGGTAGGGGGTGCTCCAGCTGGGGTCGTCGACGGCAAAGAAAAGGTAGGCTTGGCAGGAGTGGCAGCTCCAGTAGTAGCGTTTCCAAACAAACCTGACGCTGGTGCAGCAGAGGTAGTGGCTGTTGAGGTCTGATTGGCGTTGTTCTGACCGAACATACCACCAGTGCTGCTAACAGGGGCAGAAGAGTTACCGCCTCCGAAAAGATTAGCCGCAGGCTTGCTTGCGTTGCTTCCTGCGTTTCCAAACAGTCCTCCGGAAGCAGGCGCAGTAGAACTAGCAGTGCCGCCGCCAAACATCCCACCGCTAGAAGGAGCTGTGGTTGCTGCAGGTGTAGTAGAAGCACCTCCTCCAAAAAGACCGCTTGTCGCAGGAGTAGTAGAGCTGCCACCGCCGAAGATTCCGCTGGAGGAAGGGGTGGTAGTGGTCGCGTTCGCGCCGCCACCAAAAAGACCCCCAGCGGGCTTCTGTGCTGTTGCGCTGCTTTGTTGACCACCAAACAAGTTGCTTGAACTGTTGCTAGCGGGTGTCGAGCTGTTGCCGGCAGCGGAACCACCGATGGAGCTGAATGAGAAGCCGGGGCTTCCAGTAGCAGCACCGAAAAGATTTCCTGATGCCGGCGCACTCGACGTCGTGTTGTTGTTGGATGCGCCCGAAGAGCTTGTGTTTCCGAAACTGAACGACATCTTGGGGGTTGAGGTCGACGATCAGCTGGCTCGAATCGGAAGAATTGTCGGTCGCGGTGTATCTGAGCCGAGTTGAAAGAGAATTAGCACGTCAGAAACAATATTTCCCGATGGTCGAAAATGGGACCTGGGATGATGACTGCGATAGTCGAGATGCAAGACTGTGGTCGTTGATGGCAACGGATTTATTGAAGGCTGGCCCATAGCATTTGGGAGCTTTTTTTGTGGAGACGCGTTTTGAGGTGAGCATTCACCGTCTAACTGGGCCGTGCCTGAGCTAAACCACATTCAGACCATCGTACAGGTTCCGTTTAAGACGGTGCTGTTTCGGGCTCTTTATAGTGATCTCGATGAATATGAATGTCAAGAGTCATCACGCGGTATTAAAATACATCTTTGTGGTTACTAATAGAATGGAGGTTCATGGGCACATCTTCATTGGTAAAAAAGATTTGTTAATGGAGTAAGTAGTAAAGATGCTTTAAAGTGTAAGCCTAGATACCTATAAACAATGGAGATCATTCTGTCAAGCAAGATATCTATCTTCAACTGGTATTCAGTGAAAACAAGTCAAACCTTTGTGCAAAAAAAAGGAAATAATACAGGAACATGAACAAATACAAAATGAGACAGAAGGGTGTTGCAATACAGCACAGTTCATTCAGGTAAAGTGCATAATAATATCAAGTATAGAACAGAGTACCATTGACCTGGACGGCATATGTTGGCATTCCAAGCTAACGGCCCCGAATTCTATAAGATCAGCAAAGAAAAATGGTCAAGCATCGTACTTTACTATGCCATCGTCCCTTCTGGGTTTCATCTAGTCTCACGGCAGCCTATGCTAATGCAGTGACCTGCCAAGTATTCTCGCAGAGGTTGTGCCATCCTACCCAAATTCGGTGTCCCTGTCGTGTTCTAGACTAAGCTGATGCAGGGATAACTCAGAAAGTCAATGTGAATGGATGAGCCGCGCAAAGCCCCACGTGATGGCACTTGCCCACTCGACGGAAGCTCCAGATCAACTTCAAGACTCTTGGATGAACTCCTTTCCTCAGACTGTACAAACATATTGATCGTAAACAGAGTTATTGCTCTGTCATTCCGATAATCTTGATATTACTCCGGGCGCCCTCTCATCAATCGGCGTCTCTATAACACTTACCGCCCTGCATAGAACTTCCACGACACCTTCCTCCTCGATTTCGATTATCCATACTACATGCTGTAGAGCTCAAAGCACCAACTCTACTCAGATTCCGTCATCATGACAGACGCCGAAAAGCTTGAGCCTCCCAAGGGTGCTCCCGTTGAGGACGCCGGAGCCCGCGAGCTTGGTATGAATACTCCCTAGAACTCGAATCTGTTTCACCTTGCTGACACGATGTAGCTGAGGAATCCGAGTCTGATGACCAATTTACGGATGCTGCTTCTGGTTCTGGAAGCCCTAGGATCAGCTCGCCAATTCCCATAACTCGAGTCGAAAAAGTCGATGATCAACCTTCACACGGCGAGGTTCCCGGGACTCATGCGTATGAGTTGCGAGGACAAGATGCTCAACCTGACGAGATCGCAATTACCCCAGAAACAACCACATCCCAAGATGCTCCCTCGGCTCCCAAAGTCAGCCCTCCCACGACCATTGTAGAGGAGGCTCCTGGGCCCAGAAGCCGATCGCATTCCATTCAGTACGAGGAGAGGCGCAAGGCGGATGCATCCCCAGATATTCTCGTGGATTCTGATGGGCAGGTCAAGGAGATTCAGGGCGAGAGCACAAATGTGGAAAGCAATTCTGGTACGGGAGTAGCAAAGTCCTAAACAAACACACAAGAATGTTCATTGACCGCTGAAATTCGCTCGCGTAGATAATTCAACACCCTCGCCCGATCCTACAAACACGAAATTACAAGATGAACCTTCCGAGGAACCTAGCTCTCTAGCTTCTTCTTTGCAAAATGGTGACGGTGACCATGAAGATGACGATAAGGAAGAGAATGATGATGACAATGACGACGACGAAGACAATGGCGATGATGAGTTCGGTGACGATTTTGACGATTTTGAAGAGGGTAATGAAGACGATGATTTCGACGACTTTGAGGATGGATTCCAAGAAGCAGAAATTCCAGCACCTGCTACTGCGGCACAACCCACGCCGCAATCTACATTACCATTTGTAAGATGACCCTGAAGTTATGTCTTGCTACAGCCGCTTACTATCATCCAGCCCATACCCGACTTTGACGGTGTCGATGCAGAAGGAGTTCTAAATGCATTGGAGCCTTTCCTTGCTACGCTGTTTCCCCCAGAAGAACTCGATCTTCCTCAGTTCCCTCCTCTGTCTAAAGACTCAGTATTCTTTACACCACGATCAGCATCTTTGTGGTCACAACTTGTTGCGCCCCCGCCTCTTGCCCCTCCCGATTGGATCCGTTCTCGAACACGCCGCCTATTCCTTGTCTCACTCGGTGTACCTGTCGATCTAGACGAAATCCTTCCGGCTTCCAAGCAAAAGAAACTTGTCCTTCCGTCATTGAATGTCCCCACACTCTCCCCTCGGAACTCTTCAGATTCCCGATCTGTCTCCCGGTTGCGGCAGGGCGAGGGCAACAATTCGTCGACGTCAGTCGACACTCAAGGAAAGCCTTCTGCGTCATCAAGAAAGCGCCGTGGCCCACCACCACAGCCGGAGCTGGATCTCGTGGCTGGTCGTCACCTTTGTCAAACTACCGATGAAGCTCTTGACGGTATGACCGATGATGAACTCAAAGCTCACATCGCCAAACTGCAAGGTTTGGAAGAGGCAGCAAAGGAGGCGCTGGAGTATTGGAAAAAGAGGACCGACGAAAAGATTGGCGATAGGGAAGCCTTCGAGGGGGTTATAGAAAACTTGGTCAAGCACGCGCGCAAAGTTCGCAAATAGATATTGTAATATAATTCTTGGAAGTTTGGTCATGATAGTTTCTTCATTCCTGCTATGGCTAGTTGAAGACATTTCCCTACGAGGTTGATGTAACCCCTTGAATGATGCTTTACAACGCAACTACACATCTTGTCCGTCAGTCACAAGTGCTCAAGGCAGTTTGACCAGGACTCTTTTAAACCCCCTTTTCCCTCGCCCCCATGCTCCCGAAAAAGACCACTTTTAACACCATGCCTGGTCCAGCGCCAACCGTCTACTCAAAATGCCTTCGAGGGCTCTGCTCTGGGAAACTTGGCGTCCTCGAGTTCGGTATATCACGTAGCCGAAAAATCGTGCGGAAATTTTGTTTAATTCTTTCGTTGGTCTACATGAATCTTTTAAGCAGTGCTAGGCTCGAGTGTCACACCACTGTAAGGAAAGTTAGTGAAATGTTCCGTTCAGGGAGATATCGATTGTTAGGGAAGAAACTTACGCAGCAATGGTAGCCCAACCAATAAGACGCCAATGCTTCTCGATACGTCGGCTGAGAGCAACCTTCTCACCAATGTTGGTACAGGCGGGGCTGGTCAAGACAAGCTTGGCAGCATCGTTCTTGATAGCGGCAACCTTGGCACCAGTAGAGGTGGAACCGATGTTGACCATGATAACCTCGTTCTTGGCCAGCTTAGCAACCTTGGCCTGCTTGCCGTCGGCAGTTCTGACACCGAGAAGGCGACGGAGGAGGTAGAAGTTAACCTCAATCTCGCTGTAAATCTCGGGCAGGCGGCCCTTGAGACCCAGCACGAAACCGACGAGACGATCGGCTCGGCAAAGCGTAGGGTCGATACGGGTACCAACACCAATAAGACCACCAGGAACAGCGTACTTGAGGTCGTTGGTCTCGGAGTTGAGAGAGACGACTCGGCTGAAAATGGGAGTGCACTTGAGGGCACCGCTGTCGTCTCGGGCGACGATACCAGGTCGGATTTCGATCTCATCGCCGAGCTTGATAACACCGTGGAGAATGGAACCACCAGCGACACCACCCTTGAGCTCATCGATCTCGGAACCAGGCTTGTTGACATCGAATGATCGAATGACAATCATGTGAGGGTCAATGCTGAAGTCTCTGGGAGGGACGGGGATGGTGTTGACAATGGCCTCGTTGACGGCATCGATGTTGAACTTAAGCTGGGCAGAGATGGGAATGACTGGGGACTTGCCAGCGACAGTTCCTCGGATGAACTTGAGAATGGACTGGTAGTGTTGCTGAGCAGCCTCTTCCCGCATAAGATCGACCTTGTTCTGGAGAATGATGATCTTATCGAGCTTCATGATCTCAATAGCAGCCAAATGCTCGGAAGTCTGAGGCTGAGGGCAAGATTCGTTACCAGCGATAAGGAGAAGGGCGGCGTCCATGACAGCAGCTCCTGACAACATAGTACTCATGAGAATATCGTGACCAGGGCAATCGACGAATCTGATAGTGTCAGCAATCACCTTGTAGGGGGGCATATGTTTTTCGACTTACGAGACGTGTCGCAATAGTCTATAAGTACCGCCACATCCATCTCGTTCACAAGAAGGGTCAACCTCCTTATCACTCTTGTAACTTCGGTAGCATCCAGGTCGAGGGCAAGCTTGGTTATCACACTTGTAGATCTTGGCGTTGGCGTAACCCAACTTGATGGTAATGTTTCGGATCAGCTCGTTCTTGAAACGAACAGTCTGGACACCAGAGATAGCCTTGACGACGGTGGACTTTCCGTGAGCGACATGGCCAATAGTACCGATGTTGATTGTGGCTTGTCGGGCGATAATCTCGGCCGTCAAAGGAGTCAAGCTGGCGACATCGAGGTCTTTGGGGTCGGTTTGGGGAGGCAGAGGAGGTTTTTGAGTGGCGGGCTCGGCGACAGCTGGGTTGGACTTCTTGAGAGCCGACTTGAGAGGCTTCTCATCGGCAGCCTCGTTGTGGCCGACAGACTCTCCAGAGTCAGACTCGGACCCGATGTCGTCGTATTTAGGGTCGTCGTTGGTAGACATGATGAAGGCGGGGCAATTCAGGCGGTATTTCAGATGTGGTTTTTCGGTCGTGAAGCAGCGAAAGGGTGGTTTCGGGTGGATAAATGAGTCGCTTGGATTGGGAGAAAATTACAATCTAAGATTTGAAAATCTCGTGAGTAGTTCTCGAAGTTGAGGTCGTCGAGAGCCAAGATTTTCCGTATTTCGCCTTGATGATGGCAAAATTCCTCGTGTGCAGTCTCTCGAAATGGCTATGACTCTTACGCTAAGCCCAATGTGATTTGATAAACTGATAAGGATCTGATGCCCCTCATTCGGATGAGCTTCGGCTGTCAACCAATTCAAAGCTCACCTCTACCACAATGAATTCAAGGAGCCGAGTGTCGACCATGACAGATGTTAGCACTACGTAGTAGTGGGGGAAAGAAAGCATGAGATGTCTCCTGAGGTAGAAAATCTGATGCAAATGACAAAACAACATTCGGTTACTCGCAATTTCCCTACAGTAATTTTTTGCAACCTTCTATGGGGTAGCCAATGTTTTCCATTTGGTACCTCCTAATGTTAGCAGTGAGGCATGCTCTATCTCAGGAAAAGCCTAACTATAGGTAGTGTATGTCTGCAACTGAGTAGTTGTTCTCAATTCCAAGATCCTCAAGAACGTCTGATTATTTTCCTACCTACAAACTAAATCGGTAGGTCTTGGGATGACGCATGCCTCTGGAACAAATTGGTAGCCCGGTTGGTGATGTTCACTTCCAAACCCTCCACTTCTTCAGCTACCTGGGGGCCATTCATCGATCTAACGTATTCGCATACATGGCCGAAATAGAAACACAAACTCGATCTCCGATCATCCAGTTTTGAATTAGCCAATCGCTTCCGTAACCATGTACAGCAGAAATAGGAATCATCCGTAAAATGCAAGGTATGTGCACGCATTCAGTTTCCATGCCATCGAGGTGCAGGCAACATTGGAGACACCAACACGGATGTTGGTGATAAGCCTCACTGCTTGCTGATAAAATGCCAAGAAGAGGGGATGACATGGACGTTTAAGTACCAACTTGACCAGCAATTGACACACTTTCTGGTGATAAGGATATGTCGTCGATGCTAAGTTACGGTTAAAGGTCTGTGCTCTGGGGTGCAATGTCACATCTCGACTTCAAGCTTGCTTCGATTATGACAATTGATACTATCTTTATCCATTCTTGTATTCTAGAAGATCAAGGACTTGGTGTAACTGCATGTGCCTACGTTTCTTACCATACTGCGTTAACGGTGTCTCACTGTTATAGTACATACAACCATGACTGCGTCTTGGGAGAATATCCCGCTCACCTCGCGTGCAACCAGTAACCTGGTCGACCAATGCGTAGAGGTTGAAAAGTCACTCATCCTGCTGCCAAGTCCTGACCGGGACCCTTGCTGAGAGAAATTAACTGACAGTGTGTGTCTGATGGCAAATGCTTAATGCGACGTTCCGTTCTTGTTGTTTGGTGGGCCGTGCCGCAACCCAAAAGTCAAGCGCGTCGAAACAAAAGTCGTTTGTTGCCGCCGAAGCCTGCATGTGGCTGGAAAATTACCCAGCTCATCACGGCTTCTGATAATTTGATTGGGTATACTACAGTGAAGAACAGAAGCGCTTGCAGAAACATGGCCTATCATACCGGCAGATCAACGGCCAGGGTCCAAGAAGCGGCTGTCCTTCCAGCCAATGGGATAACAAGAATAGCCTCTCCTCCCATGATCCCAGCTTCAACTCTACCAGGCTTAACCGCCGGGCGATTTTTACCACCCAGTGATATCGCTCAATATGGGAAACGGACATGATGGACCTGTCAGGGTAACATGCAGAAATTGTCCCGGATGATTCCAGCCGGGGGAGTATGCTAATATGGTACCTTTTGGCTTACGAGTTCCCCGACCATGGGAGAATGCAGACACTGCTCTCTGTACTCTTTCCATAACACCACAGCTTTCCCAAGTTTCTCTGTGGATACCTCTATTTTGCATCTCTACTTTGGCTTGTCCATTTGTTTCTCTAAATCTTACCAAATAACTACTCTGGTATCACAAAAGTCGGCAGTACGGCAACACAAAGTTAGCACGCTCTTGTTCATCCGCCCTACCAAGGTTGTGATCAAACCAAACCAGGCCAGCGGAGCTTGACCACCATCCCGACAGTCATTTGGGCGTCTAATTCCAAAGCGAATCGAATCACTCGACGGGCGGTTCACATCTGCCTATCACAAGTCTTGCTGTATATCCGCTCATCTTTCAGGTAAGGCCATATTCTGTTTCTATTTGCGGCACCCCCTCAGTCTAATGTCCTATCCCGTTCCTTGGTGTCTTGATCTTGTCGAATGAGCTTTCATCTTCCCTCTATTGCCGCCATCCTCAAAAGTCGTTGCCTCCCACGCATGTCCGTCTGGCCGGACCTCTCTCCCAATCTTTCGATAGCTGGTCTCTCTGTTCTTCTGCAATTTCTTCTGTTCTATAACGGGTGTGAGCTTGGACTGAGTCGAAGTTCTTATACCTGCTTCATCAACATCGTTAACTTGCACTTACACGTTTCGTTGTTGATATCTTCATTCAATTTTCACATTTACTCGTTCTAAGCATGGCTGGTCCAGGTCCGTCTCCAAGGGAGCAAGCTTACGATAGAAGGCATGACTTACTGACTGATCGTCTTACAGAAGATAAAAGAAGGCCTGCCGCACTCAATCTCACTGCAGCTCGACCTGGAACATCAGAATCATCATCCTCAGACGGCTCTCTAAAGCCCCGAACTCCTCGATTTGCCGAAGCAACCTCAGTCCACTCACCAGTCGAGGCTCGATCACCATTCGCCGATCCCGAAAAGTCACACGTTGCTCAACCTCAACCCGCTGACATTGGTTTTGGATACATCGCCCAGCGAGAATCGATTCCCGTCCCAATGACTCCTAAGACGCCACTCAAGAGCGCCATGAAGGTGCCGGGAACACCTGCTCACCTCAGGAATCCCATGAGCCCAACATTTCGAGAGGAGGATATTCTTGAGAAGCGTGAACTGTCTACCGAGAAGGAGCAGGCCCGTGATGTGGTATGTGAAATAATTTATCTCAACCTGGTTTGATCAATTCACTAACGGATCAACAGAAAATCAAAGCTCGAGTCCGCCTGGCCAAGTTTGCACTCCGAGGTGTCAACTTCAGCTGTTCTCTTATCATTCTTGCGATGCTTTCGGCCTCGTTCTCTATTTTCAACGCCACTAGATCCTTACCTGAACAGAGCAAGATGCCCTCGTGGGCCAAGAACACCAACTCGTGGCCCCAGAAACTTGTTCTTGCTATGGCTTGTGTCTCTCTTCTTGCTTGTATCATTGTCTTCATTGCCTATTGTCGAGGTGGCCACCGACGTGCCGAGAAAGTAGGAACCTACTACACCATGTTCGCCATTGGCTGGGTAAGTCGGAATCTGTATCCAATTTGTGAACTGGGCTAACTTTATATAGTTTATTCTCGCCTTAGTCCTCTGGGTTATTACTGCTATCCTTTTCCAAAACTCAAGAAACAACAGTAATAATAAGGACATGTGGGGTTGGTCTTGTGTAAACAACCATCGATCCGACGTCTTCGGCGATAAAGTCGACTATGCACTCGTTTGCCGTCTTCAAAACTGGGCCATGATTTGCATCATCATCGAGATCGTCGTCGAGGTTCTCGCCATTCTCCTTTACAGCGTTGTCTTCTACCGCTACTACACCAAGCGACGCCTTTTCAAGTCCATGGACATGCGAGACCGCGCCCGTTCCGATCTTTACCTTGCTCAACTCCGCAGCCAGTCTGCGCCCAACACTCCTGGCTTCGGTCCCAAGTCTCCCGCCCTCAGCGCCTATGCCATGTCCCCCCGTCATCCTCCCGCTGCCTACCGAAACCTGTCCGACATCAGCGAGAACCCCAATCCCAACCCCTTCACGCCAGGTACTCAGTTTGTTGAGCCTCAGTCTCAATTCGCTCCTCAAGATACTGGCTTCAAGCTTCAAGCTCCTCCCATGAAGGCTCCCTCTGCTACCCCTAAGCTGAACCAGTCCGCTTTCACGCCCACTGAAGCTTCGCCTCCTGCAATTCCCACCGTTCACATTTCCGAACACGGTCCCACAGGCTCAGATGAGCCCACGTATGAGGCTGTCCCTATCCCCGGTGCATACACCGGACAGGCTATCAAGAGTCCACCAGCCGCGCAAACATCCTTTGGCCAAAGCTACTACTAGAGGGTGTTCAAGATTGAAAACGACGAGCTTTTGTCTGGTTTGTTAATTACGGTTCTGCGTGCTTTGGCCACCTTTTCTTCTTGGTGGTTACTGAAGTTATATTTATCACGGGGCGGCGATACCACATTTGGCGTTATAAGGATGGGTCTAAGACTTGACCCTACTACATTTTTGTCTTTGGTTTCTTTTGTTTTCAACCTCCTCAAAGATATCAGGAGTCGTATATAGTGTGCCGTAATTTGGGAATGACTGTACAGTTGGCAATGTGCAAGGATGACAAAGATGATGGATTAACGAGCTACAAAGCACTTTCGTTTGTATGAGAGAGAGCCTCGATAGGCTATCGCTCTAGGTCTCAATATTCAATTATAACATTGAAGTCTACTTTAGTTCATTTCGCCGTGTGAAATTGTAAACAACCCAAGAAAAGTATGTTGCCCTTCTTTTCTTATTGTCCGTCTGCGTCAAGAAAACGACACAATTACACATTGCACAAAGTGAAAGTTGGAACACTACAATCACATAATTGCATAGGGAAAGAAAATTTGAAAGATAAAAAGAAAAGCATTCATCATAAAACGACACCCTAAATAACAGAGACAAAAGGCAGGTTTGAAGAACCATTGCATTACTTTTTGGTATCCCCCATGCACCTCCCAAAGGGATCCAGGCGCAGAGGATTTGCCCCGAAGCCCTGTCATGTGGCCCAGTCGGGATCTCCTCCCCATGTGTCGTCTTCCGGACTGGTGGCAGCGCAATATGGTATAAAATGCCCGCCACCCTTCCAGGCGAAACTCTAGAAACGAGATCTATCAACAACTGCCACAAAGAGATTTCCCCGTAAAACCTTCCCAAAGATGTCAGGCTGCCCTGCGTCGTCTGGTCGTAAAAAGCTGGCGGGACAGCCAGAAAACCGGATTTTGGACGATCCGTGTTGCTTTTTTCACTTTTTTTGCCTCAAGCTTAGATGAGATCGGCAACGTTCATAGGCATCTCATCAACCTGAGTGCTGTAGAACGCTTCTATTTCCCTGAGCATGCGGATATCTTCGGCTGTTACGAAGTTGATGGCGACACCCTTTCGGCCGAAACGTCCTCCACGACCGATGCGGTGGATGTAGTTCTCACGGTTGGCGGGGAGATCGTAGTTGATGACCAGGGACACCTGCTGGACATCGATACCACGGGCCAGAAGGTCAGTGGCAATCAGGACGCGAGAAGATCCGGATCGGAACTCCTTCATGATCAGGTCACGCTGAGACTGGTCCATGTCACCGTGCATGGCGGAGACAGTGAAGTCACGGGCAGTGAGCTTGTCGGTGAGCCAGTCGACCTTTCTGCGAGTGTTGCAGAAGATGACAGCCTGGGTGATGGTGACGGTCTCGTACAAGTCGGAAAGAGTGTCGAGCTTCCACTCCTCCTTCTCAACAGCAATGTAGAACTGCTTGATACCCTCCAGGGTAAGCTCGTCCTTCTTGACCAGAATGCGGACGGGGTCACGCATGAACTTGGTGGTGACCTCAAGGACATCCTGGGGCATGGTGGCGGAAAGGAGGACAACCTGGGTGGACTGAGGGAGGAGCTGGAAGATGTCGTAGATCTGCTCAGTGAAACCACGCTAAAGGAGAGTTAGCGCAATGAACAGAAAACGTGAGAATATAGGTTTCTTACAGAAAGCATCTCATCGGCCTCGTCAAGAACGAACATCTTCATGGCGTCGGTCTTGAGGATACGGCGCTGGATCATGTCCTGGACACGACCGGGGGTACCGACAACGACCTGGGGACCGTCCTGGAGGGCCTTCATGTCATCACGAACACTGGTACCACCAATGCAGGCGTGACACTCAATGTTCATGAAGTCGCCAATAGCGATAACGACCTTCTGGATCTGCTGAGCAAGCTCACGGGTGGGGGCAAGGATCAGGGCCTGGCAAGCCTTGACGTTGGCGTCGATCTTCTGGAGGACAGAGATGGAGAAGGTGGCGGTCTTTCCAGTACCGGACTGGGCCTGGGCAATGACATCGCTGCCCTTGATGACGGGCATGATAGCACGCTGCTGAATAGCAGAGGGACGCTCGAAACCGTAGGCGTAGACTGCGCATTATTGTAAGCGGGTTGTGGGATATACAGGATGAGGCGCTGTGGACACTTACCACCTCGGAGGAGCTCAGACTTGAGGTTCATGTCATCGAAGGAGTCGACGGTCCTGTATTGTTTTATTAACTCAAAATCTTCAACACAAGCAGGAATGTACTCACTCATCGTAGTTACCCTCGATCTGTGTCTCAGGGACATCCTCAAGACCCTTGTCAGCCATGATTGCGGTTGAGGCTTTTGAAAGTCTAGATCAAGCTCGGCTCGACCTAGATGTGAGAAATCGCGGGGTGAAGGAAGCGAAAAAAGAGGGCAGAACTTCGACTGAAGACTGCGCCTGGTAATCGTTTAGTGGAAAATAAAGCTGGTATCGACTAGACTCGAGATTCTCAAAGAAGGAGAATCAACAAAAATCTAGGATGGAGATGTGTATTTGTGTTGTTCCTGCTGAATGGAGTGGGAAAGAGAAGAGAGAAAAAGTCGAATGAGGGGCGGCCGTGGAGGCAGTATTTTTTTTTCTTCGCTGCCCACCCGCTTACCTCAAACTGCGCACTGGCCAATCATAGAAGGTTTTGGCGGGGCATCGGATTAGGGTACATTGGGCCGACTTGTGCTGCCCTCTTGATTTTGCATTTGGCCTGCCTACTCCGCTAGCCTCGCTCTTGGACAGGGTACTCACTCGCTCACAAAGAGTCTGCAGCTAGTCATTTTCATTTTTCTGCCACTACAACAAGTTTTTTTCTTCTTCACTGACTCTCTTTCCTCTGTAGTTGACTGCACCTGTACAGGCATCCATCCCACTTTAGGTGCCCCGCTGAAAAAAATGTGCCCCTCCACCCACGTATAACCCCGCCACCTATGCTGCCACGACATTTAAGTTTTTGGTGATTCTGCTGACAATATAGTTGTGGTTGAGAATTTCGTCATGCTACTGCTATTTAAACACATATCTATTATTCCTAGAGCTCGTATAACCACAATTGCTATTTGATATCTGGAGGTGGCAGAGTCTCTATCGAGGTACCTAGCCTGCGCACTAAGATACAGAGAGGTGGGTGTATGTATACATGAGCAGAGAAACAGGTATGAACAGAACATAGTCCTCACGGACTTCTGAAGAAGTACATTTATTTCCAAAGAGTGATTTTTAGAAATGAAAAATCAAACTATATACAGTAGAAAAAAGATTCAAATAAAATCTTTAGGGGCAAATTCACGTAACCTTCCGTTCAAGCAAGAATTATTCTGCAGTACAACTTTAGACTAATCAGTCTTCGTCCTTTTGCTACACCCATTCCACTAACGATTTTTCGTCCGCCCTACGCACTAAAAACTGAACTTACAACACCCGACTGATCTATCGCAGTAACTGCTGGAAAACTGTACTGGTGACTGGGTAAATTTGTACAGCATCGCATCGAACCATTTTCAAACAGTTTGTTTCTCCACCCCGAGCTTGGCTTCTACTACTACCTATTGTGCCCTTCCCAACTGAACCTTGTCTTTTTGCATCTCTTATGCGCAGTGGCAGTGGGACGTAACTTCAACCACCAAAAAAAGATGCCATCGGCCATTCCTGATAATGGCACTCGCCAATATAATTCGCTGTGTAATAGGACGGATGACATCTCTGAGTCAACTCTTCAGAGTGACTCAATCCCTTCCCATCCTCTAGGACTCAGGCCTCTAGGCAACCAGTACTTCTTTACAGGCCGTAATGCTAGGCGGTCAATCGGAGCATGGAGGCTTCTCCCAGACGAAGTCGTCTCGCTTGTGTTTGAGCAGTTTGACGCTGAGGCCCTGTTGAAGCTTGGTCACACTTGCAAGTTTTTTTATGCCTTTTGCCACTCAGATGAATTTTGGAAGCCCATATTCTTACAGTAAGTTCGCTTGACTCATGAACAAAATATCCTGAGGTGTCCATGGAACGGCAACTAAACTTAATCAAGGTCACCACCAAAGGATAGCAAGGATATTCAATGGCAAGGGTCATGGAGGTCAACTGTCCTAGGACTCCCAAGTGACCAACAAATCAATATCGACTGCAGTAACGTCTTTTCAGATGTCCTCCACCGACCATTTGCTTGCAGCCATATCATCCTGTCCCAGTTCGCCTCAAATATCCCCAAGGCAAACCAGATCCGCCGCTTGGAAAACCTGAACTACGACCAGTATGCCGAGAAGTGGACTGAACAGCCATTCATCCTTACCAAGTGCATCCAGGAATGGCCAGTATTCAGCGAATGGACCATTGATAGCTTGCTTGAGAAGTATGCTCATATCGACTTCCGCGCTGAGGCTGTGGATTGGCCGTATGCAACCTACTATAACTACATGAAGAACAACAGAGATGAGAGTCCCCTGTATCTGTTCGATCGCAGGTTTGCGGAGAAGATGGGCCTGCGGCTGGCCGACAAGGAAAACTCGGCATACTGGAAACCGGAGTGCTTTGGGCCGGACGTGTTCGAGGTTCTCGGGGATGAACGACCTGCCCATCGTTGGCTAATTGTTGGTCCTGCGCGGAGCGGTTCAACCTTTCATAAAGATCCCAATGCGACAAGTGCATGGAACGCCGTGATTCAGGGAAGCAAGTACTGGATCATGTTCCCTCCTACAACACAGGTACCCGGAGTTCATGTCTCTGAAGACAGCAGTGAAGTCACTAGCCCCCTCAGCATAGCTGAATGGCTCCTCACTTTCCACAAAGAAGCACGGCAGCTTCCCGAATGTATCGAAGGCATCTGCGATGCGGGTGAGATTCTGCATGTTCCAAGCGGGTGGTGGCATCTGGTGGTCAACCTCGAGAGCGGAATTGCCCTTACACAGAATTTCGTGCCCCAGAGCTTGAACCTATTGTCAGAAGTCGTTTCCTTCCTCCGGGATAAGGCTGATCAGATCAGCGGTTTCGAAGATAGGGTTACGGACCCATCTGGACTCTTCATGGAGAGGATGAAGAGTAGCTACCCGGAAGTCCTGGAGAAAGCATTGGATCTGGCGGACAAAAAGAGCGGAAAGAAGCGCAAATGGGATGCTGCTGTTGGCGCAGTAGATGATGAGCAGCAGGGTGGAGGCGGTGGTTTCAGCTTTGGGTTTGGAGGTGACGACGACGATGAGATACCCTAGAATAGAGGCGCCCCTTTTCTGGCCTCGTTGCTTCGGTTGCCAACGAGTAGATAATTTGTGCTTTTTAGCGATATATAGACCAAGAGGCGAAATTGAAGAGAACATGCATCACAATCTGTAGCTACACCATGTGATGTTTGAGCACAACCATGTTAATCCGTCTACCACTCCTCATTCTCGTGGACTCACCAAGGCTTATAGACATGAAGCTGGGGAGTGATAATCAGTCGAGATTGGACAGACGATACGATACATATGTAGAAATGATCGGACGAAGAAGTATCGAGCAACATCTTGCAGCTGTCACAAATTCCAATTTCTATAATATCCTATATGCCGTACAGAGAGAGTAGTGTGGCTGGTATAGATCTACCTTGTTCCATTATAAGAGCGGGCCGTGGGAAGCCTGGAAACTTCTTGACAAGCCATGAGCACTAGAAACGATGGTGTTGAATGTTCACAGCTCGCTAGTTGCATTCGACATGGGGGCATATCCAATCAACGTTGGCCAAATGTGACAGGTCAGGCTTGGGCTCTTGATTGCTTCGAAGCCCAGCGACTAAATTTAGGTTTCGTTGCATAAACAAGGCATCCTCAGATTAGTCTAGATGTAAGATACACATACAAAATGTGTCACCCATTCGATGACGCTGTTACGGCCAAAGGCTGAGCCTCTCGTTCGTCTTTGCTGATGCGATTGGTCTCTGATTCAGCCAAGTCAGTCGACCAGGGGGGCTTGTGATACTCTTTGCTTTTATTCGCGAAGATCCTCTTCTCCTTGTGGCCCGGTCATAATAACAAATGGAAACAGTTTTTGTGAGTACTTAAGATAACTTGTTCTGATATACACATTCAGTATAAACACAACAGTAAAAGAGTACTTTTTGAGTGTATGTGAATCACATGCTACAATGTCATCAAATGCCTATATAAGGCTGGGCTTACTTGGCTGGACGAACTACAGTAGTTCCCAGCGCCACCGCATTGAATAAAAAAGTGCCAAGGTAGCAAACCGGGCTTGTTTTTAAGGGTGACACTCATGGTCGTAATTAGAGGGAGACATTTGTTATTCCGACATTGACCTGGGTCTGCCTCTCACTTTCATCCCACTTTCAACCCGTGAGTATAGATGGTAGTTTTTTCTGATTCAGTTACGGATGGAACACTCTAGCTACCAACCCATCGGCATATACGTTATGTAAGGCTAATTTTGACGTGAGACCTTAAATCAACATGTAATATGTCTTTACTAACAAAGGCCATACTAATGGATCACTTGTTGTCATTCCGAAACACGATCTGATTCAGTCCGCCCCTAATTAACGGATCGAGCTCAGCTAACTTACCTGTCATCATGGAAGCTGCCTACGCCCCCTGGCCCAACCACTGTAGCTGATTCACAACCTTCTAGAGCTTAGCACGTTCTCTCCCTGAGCGAGCTGGAAGTCCTCCCCGGGGCCCGTGTTCATTGGTAATCCCCACTTCCGCTTCCCGTCCGGGCCCTCCACCTTTCCATTAATGGACATGGGCTACCTAATGCTGCATCATCTCCCATCCATCTCCTCCTCCTTTTCACCGTCCATTGTACAGTACTATAATCTTTTTGCTTGAATGCGCTTGCGCTTCGCTTCTCTTTGCTTTCACTTTTGTTGCATCGTCTCTCTGATTCTTGTTTTCTCATTCTTCTTCTCCTTGCTTTCGCTTCTGCTGTCATATCTTTTAATCTGTAAGTCCAAGACACTCCTTTGTCCCGGCTCTTTGTCCCATCCATGCCCCCATAGTCTTTCTATCCACTATCCACCTACCTACCCATCTGTCCCTTCTTCAGCTCCTCCGCGTTGCTGGTTATCACATCCCCGACCCAAGCTAACAGAAGACGGCACAGCCTCTCTCACCTTCTTGTTCTTCTTTTGCAAGCATACAACTACACTGTCTCGAACTCTACCGAACAACGTTGCTCTTCGCAAGATCCACACGAGCTTAGACCCCTGTTGCGCTATTGCGAGTCTCGTCTTGCTCCAGCCTGAGCTATCCCTAGCTTCGACTTCTACCGCTCGAAATCTAATAGGACAACTGCTTGGCAATCATGGTCTCTGACGAGCACTTCGAGATGTGCTTGCCTGTTCTGCAGGATGCCACCTTGGAAGACGAGGACAAAACAGACAGGCTGGAGGAGCTCTTCCGCAAGGAGACCAATCTCACCGGCACTTCTCTTGACAATGCAATATTGGACGCCCTCTGGCGCTATCGTGATAGCGGAGGCTCGTCAGCATCTCCGCCTCCAATAAGACCGGCAATACTGCGACGTCCCTCTCCTGCCTCCTGGCGTGGTTCACCAACACCTATGTCTGGTTCTCCGAGACTCGCCGTGAGCCCCCTCGCTCCACCAGGATTTGTCCCATCAACCTTTGGCAGGACTATATCGTCGACAGTATCACCATTCTCCTCGCCCCGCGCTTCGCCGCGCATGGCCCTGGCAACACCTGTCATTCCTCATAGTCCAAACTTGAATGCTTACGAATTTGCGAGTGATCCAACCCCGGCCACAGAGATCTTAGGAGAATACCAGACTGAGAATGTGGAGTGGCTTGTCAGCGATGATGCTGCCAGCATAACTTCGTCTGTCAGCACCCCGAGCGCCCTGAATGCTGCTGCTCCGGAATTCTCCTCCATGACGGCGCAGTCAGCTGATATGTCGCCATACGACATGCTGCGATCCATCCTCGGACAAACCAAGACCGACGACGAGATCGAAGCTGCTCTGGCACAGAATGGATACGACCTCAGTGCGACCATTGTTTCCTTTATGGAAAGCCAGACCGGAGATAATCAGCCGGGTGGTGTTTCACTGGAGGAACCCAAAAATGTCTTGATTGGAAAGTCGGTGGACCGTCCTTCTACGCCTCTTGGACAACAAAAGTCCGGGGTTATCTGCAAGTTCTACATGTCAACCGGGCAATGCTTGCGTGCCGACTGTAGATTCAGTCACGATCTCAGTAACCACTTGTGCAAGTAAGTGGTTGTACGCTATTATTTCAGGGAAAACAAGGCTGACAGTTCATCTTAGATATTGGGTAATGGGCAATTGCTTAGCTGGAGAAACATGCATCTTTTCGCACGATCCCACCAAACTCATGAACAAGCTCACGCTCGATGGCGCCAGCACGCCACCATCAAAACAAGGGGGCTTACAGCTAGGGGACCTTAACTCGTTCCCCTCGCTCCGACCTGGCACCCCGGATCATTTAAGTGGTTTCGCTGGAAGCAACAGCTTTCCAGGCGTAGGAATAACGCCACCGCCGGGCTTGAAGCATTTCCAGGGAACTTCCAGTCCTCGTGCTCGATCTCGTCCTGGTAGTCGGCATCAGGCCAGGGAGCCCGATATCTCGGCACCTGCTCTGGATGACAATGATGCATTTCCTTCGCTAGGCTCCGCTTCTATGAAGCAGGGCAAGAAGCATCATGGCAAGCGAGGCGGTCATGGTCACGGGCATAAGGAGAATATGGCCCCCAACTCACTAGCCGACATTGTTAAGATGTCACCCTCGCCCAGTCCTGTTCGTCCTGAGCTTAAGAAAATAGGACGTAACGGGAGCTCAACCGGTGCACGAAACGGAGAGAACAGCCCTGCCGCTCAAGCAATCCCTATTCCCAAGCATATCCCGTGGTTGGAGACTGGCGAGCGTGCCAATAAGGCGTATTTGAAGGCGCGCCAAGAAGCTCTCAAGCATGGCGGCCTTCGTAATAAGTTTCTACAAAGGTTTGTTTTCTTGGACGAAAAAACAGTTGTGACGCATGGACTGACTCGACATTATAGCGCTGCGCAGGCGTGGAATCGCAACGACGCCAGGGCTGCTAAGGCTCTTAGTCTGCGAGGACAAAGCGAGAACGATCTCATGCGCAAGGCTCATCGCGAAGCTGCGAGGGAATTGTACGAGGAACGTAACAAGGGCAACTCCGAAGGCTTTGAGCTATACGTCGACCTTCACGGTCTTCATCCTGAGGAGGCAGTCGAGTATCTCGAAAAGATTCTGATGGAAAACAGCCGAGAATCGCAACCCATTTATGCCATCACTGGTTCTGGACACCATAGTAAGAACGGCAAGGACAAGGTTGGCAGGGCGGTTCGCAACTTTCTCAACGAGTGGAGGTATGCGTACCGTGAGTTTTCGGTCCCCGGAGATCGCAATAACATGGGAGGTATTCTCGGAATCGATGCTCGCAGCTGGGACAAGTCTCTCGCAAAGGAAGGGGAGGGCGAGGATGACAAACAAGAGGTGGATATCCTGAGCCAAGGCGTCGAAATCGGCGACGGCAAGGTCAGGCTCTTGGTGCGTGATCCGCCCAAGGGTCCTAGCGGTCGTCGATGACGATACAGGACTAGAATAGAAGAAAGCAGTAAAATCAGACACCGTTCTATAACAAGCAGCATATTATCCTGTGATTTTGTACTCGAGTGTTTCAGAAACTTAGTATCTTAGAAGCCTGATAACTTCCTAGTAGCATAACGTCCATCATCAGCTTTGTCTTAAAACGAATACGGTACAAAACGGCCGAGTTTATTTTCAATTCAGTACAACTCGCCTCATCTCAACGAAGGATTGGTATCAGTTGATGAAATATGATGCATTTATCCGCTATGCTATGTAAAGAACAGTGAGGTTGTAATGCTGCATGTTTCGAGTCTGATAGACCTCTCTCTTTGTACTAAACGGAACAGGCATAGTGACATGCTTGGTGGGGCCGCTCCTGCATGGGATTGCTGACACTAGCAACGTCATGTACCTTGCGTTCGACCCCCAAAGACGACAGTACAAAGTATAGCTTTAAACAACACTCATCGCTAAAGGACCTCCCTTGGAACATCATCAAATGCGATAAAGTACATTGGCAGGCCACATTACGAGCTTCAAGAATCGATAAGACTTACGACTCTCTATACATAACCCTCGCACCCCTCAATTGTACCGCTACAGCCTCATTTCCATCCGCGCGTTCCGAATCTTACATACCTATACCAGAATCTAGACATGGCCGCATAGTTCACATCATCACAACCCGAACATAACTGCAAACGGAACCCGTCTCATACCGAACATGCCTGCGGACTATAACTCGGCCGCTCGCGCCCTCGCGCTCTCTCCGGATCGCGGTTCCTCTCCCTCGCCAACCCGGCCACCCTGGTCCGCCACATCGTCGAGCCGCCGTCTATCGAATCCGCTCATGGGCCGTCGTCGCGCAAGTAGTAGTTATGCTGGCGGCGGGAGAACAAGCTTCGTGAGTCGCATTTGGGGCTCGGTCAATTTGCTCGGCGAGCAGGTCTTCAAGGTGTATTTGCGCCTGTCCCCTCTCCAGAGGATCCTCGCTCTTGCAGGCGTTGTAACTGTGGGTATATTTGGCATTCTGGCGATAATATACTCGCATGTCTTTTTCAGATGGCTTGAACCAAAGGCTGAAGCGTGGCGCGCTCTTCCGGGCGGTTGGATATTGGCTTTCCTTCTCGTTTTTGTCACTTCATTCCCGCCTATTGTTGGATACTCGACTGCCAGCACCATTGCGGGCTTCGTCTATGGATTTCCCTTGGGTTGGCCCATTGTGGCATCAGGATGCACAGCTGGCGCTCTTTGTGCGTTCCTTGCCAGCAGGACCGTCTTGAGCAAGTACGTCGATCGCATGGTCGGTCAGGATCACCGCTTTGTTGCTCTAGGCCAAGTCCTGCGACAGGAGGGTATTTGGTATCTCACTGGCATTCGATTCTGCCCCCTGCCATTCAGTCTGAGCAATGGTTTTCTCGCTACCATTCCTAGTATCACACCGCTAGCGTTTACAATCTCTACAGCTCTTTCTAGGTACGCCCAGAATTCTGTTTGATGTTATACATGCTAATTAGCCTATAGCCCCAAGCTTCTCGTCCATGTCTTCATTGGTAGTCGGCTCGCTCTCCTAGCTGAAAAGGGTGATAAGATGTCCGCCGGTAGCAAAGCCATTAACTACCTCAGCATGCTTCTTGGCGGCGCTGTTGGTCTTGGTGTTGGCCTTATCATCTACAGACGTACCATGGCCAGAGCTGAAGAGCTTGCCCAGCAAGAAGGCTTAAACCCTGCTGGCGCATCTGTTGAAGAAGGCGAAGCTGGCTACGCTGACTCTGATAACTCTCCTCTCATGGATCCTGACGATGCAGCTGTCCTTATGTCGGATGATGATATCTCGCTATGGGAGAGGGATGATACGGAGGGTAGGTACCACGATGAAGACGAAGACGAAGACGAAGATACAAATAAGAGAGGGAATCAAAGTGCTTGAGGCGACATCTTTTAGAAAGACTTTGCGCAGATTTGGCATTGGCAAAACAAAAAAAAAACAAGTTTGCTTTTTATTCTTAGTCTTGTGGATTAGACGGCGTTCTGGATGTTTTACAATAGGTCACGGATTCTTAGTGAAATCAATGAATGATATTAGAAGATGATGATACGTATAAAGCAATTGTTCGTGCGTGCTATAAGAGCCAGGTTTGGATATCATGTCGCTGTACTGGAATCAAAGTCTGTAATCGATCGTCACTTGCAACCCTTTTGCGGCTGCTCAATACCATTCAAATTCAGAGACATCGCTAACATTCCAATAAATCAAATGCGCCAACGCCGTCGCTTATGCATTCTTCCTTCGATGCGAAAACTGAAAATAGAGACAGTACCAATAATATGATTGAATCACTGATTCCCTCGGTATTGGTTCATGAACTGTATCGCCTGTTCCATGGGATAGCCAATGAATACAGGTCCCGTGAAAATCATCTGCGGTCCGTTGTTTGTCCCCTTGATCATGTCGGGGTTGATGAAAGCAGGTTGAGGTGGTGTTGTGTGTTGATGGGGAGGTGGTGGAGGACCACCGTCATCCTTGGTCGGCGAGAGAGATCGAGGATGTTCTGGTCCTTGGTGTGAGGTGTGTACTGATGATGCATCCTGGTTCGACGGCATAGTTATGCCCATGGCTGCCAACTTTGTATGGTCGAACGGACATTTGCCAGGAGTCTTTTTGGTGGATTCCTGGGTGCTAGGTGTGGTTTGAGCCAAGACTGGCATACAGACTGGCGCCGGTGGTGGTGATAGAGGCTGGTCGTCGTCTTGGCCTGAAAGCTCGAAGACTGGAATCGATATTCCCCACGGTCTACTAGGGGACTCTCCTACTCGTACTTCCTTGAGCGGTCGGTCGAAGTGGCTTTGTCGGTCCCCATCCTCCTGAGTTGGCACCTGGGTGTGGTCGGGATCCGAGTTTACGCTAACAGCCTGTGCCCAGTTCTCAACCCTCTCGTTAGAAGGCTGGGCGACATCACTTGGTCGATTCGGATCGTCCTCCGCTTCGGGCAGCATGGGTGCATGCAGCTGGCCCAAGCCCTCAATCATGCTCACAATGTCGCCATATTTAGAATCTATCTTCTTCTGATCTTCGTCACGCTGATACCGGCGGAGGCAAACTTCATGGCTGCGAGGGAGTTCATGCTTATGCGTCTCGACATAGTGTGCGATCTCCTCTGGGGAGTGCTTATCCATGTAGCGAATGGGACACTTGATGGCCGAGGAGACATTTGTGCGAGCTTGCTGAGATGTAGATTCTTCGTACATGGCTGCGCAGATGGGGTCCGCCGAGTGGTGCGGAGTGGTGTCCTGCGCATCATCATCGTGGGCCCCAGAGCCGCTGGCCGTGGCGGGCTTGGAGAACGGGCATTGAAGATGGCCCTTCTTTCCTTGGACCGTGAAGTCTTGTTCTAGCGCGGTCGACATGGAGGTGGCTACGTGGGAAAGTTGCGACTCAGTCTCGCGGCTAGAGGCAGTGGTTTTACTCGCTTCGCCCAGCGAGGCAAGCTGATTAGCTACTCGACGTCCGTCACGGATGACGAGGGCAAGCTGATGTTGGGAGCCGGAGCTGTACGAGCTTGGCAAAGGTAGAGGAACAGGCAATGAATTATCAAGAGGTGTATTTGGAGGTATCTGGAGCTTAGCCAGGGTATCGGCTATTTCAGGCGCGGCCGGAGCATATTTGTCAGCCAGATATTGGAACTGTTTTTCGTTTCGAGTTAGCGACGAATCCATGGTATGTTTTCTTTGACGTGAAGAGTGGACAAAGATAGTGTCAATCAGAAAATAAAGGTTGTCAATCTCGGCATCAGGTTCATTCAGCCTGATGCTCTTGATCTAGAGCTAAGATAATCATCATACTGACTTGGGAGGGGAAAGCTCGACAGCTCCGCTCCGGTATCGCCGAAACGATGTTTGGAGCTTGCGCGGCCAAGGAAAGAGAGAAAAGGGAAAGGCCGGGTTGTGTTGCAGTCTCTAGGACCACTAGGAAAATATGCAGTTGTTTTTCTTACCTGTTCATGAGCAAAGCGTAACTTGTGCTCCAAGACAGTCTTTCGATCTGTCAAGGTCTGAACTTCATCAGCAAGGGCGTTGAAAGCATCTGCCAACGTATGCGCAAGATGAAGATATGCCATGCCCTTGGCTGTGAGTTGTTATGAGAAGGAAGAAAGGAAAGGAAAGTAAATAAAAAGAGGAAGTGAGCCAATATTTATTGGAGGAGAAGGAAAACGGAAGAGATTTGCGAGATCCAGAACGCAAAGCTGTTGCTGGAGCAAGGCGACATCAAAGTGGGGAGGACAATGAGAGTTGGATAATGATTGGTCTGATCTGGTCTTTTATGCTGTTAGTGGGTGTGATAGGTGGGTATGCACTTAAAAGTTAGGGTCCGTTTAGAGGACGTGGTGCCTGTTGGCTTTATGAGCTAGGTACGATGGAGTTGGTTGATTTTTAGCCGCGAATCGACTCGGATCTCCAAGCCTATGAGCCGCACTTGGTTCGGGATAAGACATGATGATGCAGCTTTGACAGAGCGTAGCACATACTAGATCTTTCAAGACATCACTTACAAATTCTGGAACATGCAGCTTGATCATGACTTAATGTCTCAGAAATGTAGTCTTGAAAGGTTGGTTTGATTGTGAACCTAATGGGTGGATACAAGCCGAGGCATGCGCTTACCCTGTATCGCAAGCTTGATTCATTCTGTAGTTGGAATAAACCACATATTTATTAGTTGGTTGATACGTCTTGGAGCATATCATGGAGAACGAACTGGTAGATAATATTCAGTATGTGGACAGTCAGTTTTCATGGCCCTGCGCCTGCAATTCTGGCCGTTATGCATGTGTTCCATACTGATGCGACAAAACTTTTGATGACACTGGATCAATTTGCATGGTTAAGGAAAACTTGTAATGTCAGTTTCAAACATATTCCTCAGGAATAAAGAAGAAAAAGCTGATTATCATCGATATGCCTGATCTCCCTAGAAATATACTGAATTGTCTGTTTTGCCGCTGGGTTGGTAGTAATGGGCAGGTGTTCGGTTGATAAGAACTGCATGTGTCTACACCTATCAACCCCGCCATCAGTCAGAACCAATTCTATCATCAGCATCATCTTCATTCTTACCGACATCATGTCTACACCCGAAATCTTATCTATCCCTTCCGCGGAGATCATTAGCAGCAGATCTCACATCCTGCCAGGGCAATTGCATGTCACAGAGTACTTCTTCAAAGTCCCTCTCGACTATACGGATACTGAGAGCGGTATATGTACCAAGCTCTTTGCTCGCCGAGTCAGAAAGCATGATGTTCCCATCTTCCCACCCGATGACGATGATAACGAGAGCAAGTCCAAGTTCGAACATGGAGAGGCTCCTAAACCATATATGGTCTATCTAGAGGGTGGCCCTGGCTTTGGCAACCGTGAGCCACAGGACCATCCCCTTACCAGCCACGCTTTAGCCAGGGGCTACCAGCTGCTTCTGCTCGATCATCGTGGTGTCGGGCTGAGTTCACCAGTCTCTGCTGAGGTTCTCAAACAGTTTTCCCCAGATGTCCAAGCACGTGCCAAGTTCCTCGGCCTCATGCGTCAAGACAACACAGTTCGTGACTGTGAGGCCGTCCGCAAGTGCCTTACTGCCTCGTGGCCTGCTTCCAAGCAGGCATGGTCGATTTTTGGACAATCTTACGGAGGATTTGTTTCTTTGTCCTACCTTTCGATGCATCCAGAGGGCCTGCGTGAAGTCTTTCTCACTGGCGGCCTGGCCCCTGTGGGCAAGGAACCTGATACAGTGTATGAGGCTACTTTTCGCAGGGTCGTGGAACGCAACGAGCAGTACTATGAGAAATTCCCAGAAGATATAGAAAATGTTCGTCAAATTGCTGGTTTCATTGAAAGCCAAGGAGGGGAAATCCCATTACCTTCAGGAGGTGTCCTTACAGTCCCCCGTCTCTTAACTATGGGCATCTCCTTTGGAGGACACGGAGGCTTCGATTCAGTCCACTCAACAATTCTGACATTGAAAACCTCTTTGGACTTCTTCGGTTTCTTTACCAGGGCATCTCTAGTACCGCTAGAGGGCTGGACTCCATTTGATACTAACATCATTTATGCTATTCTCCACGAGGCCATCTATTGTGATGGTCCTGGCGTGGTATCGCGCTGGTCAGCAAACAATGTTGGGAAATCTCTCAAAGCCTTTGGCTGGCTAAACAGCAACTTCTCTACTGCTTCGACTAGCGGGCCCCTTTACTTTTCTGGTGAAATGATCTTTCCTTTTCACTTCGACACGTACCCAGAGCTCCAAATGCTTCGTGAGGAGGCTGAACTGATAGCCAATCGCGGTGACTGGCCTGCGCTGTACGACCAGGAGAAGCTCCGCAAGAACAAAGTTCCAGTGTATGCTGCATCATACGTCGAGGACATGTATGTCGACTATAACTTTGCCAGAGACACGGCCAAGCTGGTCAAGGGTACAAAGACCTTCGAGACGAACGTCATGTACCACTCAGCCTTGAGGGCAAAAGCAGATGATGTTTTGCATCAGCTTTTTAGCCTGAGAGACGATGTTATTGATTAGATGGTATGTACGGCTGCACACAACTAGGACAAATGCCTCTACCACGGATGAATAATGACTTGACGGACGCGGAACTTATTCCCTGAGAAATCATAACCTCTGACGCCCCCACGGTTGCCTTCCTTTTATCGTGACCCTCAAACTCTCCTTTTGCCCGTGACAGTGCCAGCACATATGGCCAAAGGCCCATTTCGATTTGAATTCGAAACATTAAACATACCACACCTAGTGGCGACGGTTGGGCCGACTATGCGCAGGTGGACGTCGCCCTAGATGCTGCAGCTCGTCCTCGTAGGCTGAAGTATGAGTGGCCTCCATCGAAGGCAGATCCGCCATTGGCTGAGAATGCCTCATCACCGTTTCTCTCAAGATAGTAGCAGCCAACTCCGGATTGCTCACCAAGAACTCACTCGTTTCCTCAGGATAGCGCTTCCACAACAATGGTTGCAGAAAGCCTACACGTGCCATCACCATCTTGAGCAGCTCATCCACCTCTGGAACGCTGCGATATAGTTTCCTGCATAGATGCATCATATCCGGCTGTGCGGCATCCCAGCCTGCTGTCTCGAGCATATCGACACATGATCGCATCACAGTCTTTCGGAAGTCATCCATGAGGAAGCGGTTGGCGCAGATGTAGACGTCGAGGTGAAGCTCATATGCCAGAAACCACGTCCGTAGATCCTCACCCGTGATGCGCTCAGGCAGTCCTTGCAGAGATGGAATTGTAGCCATGGCAGCAGGAGGGAGCATGGCCCCAGGAGGCGGCATACCACGCCTGGGCCCTCCTCGAACATAAGGTAAAGGCACAGGGATGTTGACGTCGCGAGATCGATTGGCGCCGCACTGCCAACACCTCGTGAAATCACGCCTTGCAAGGCACCGAGGGCAAGGACATCCAGGCCGGTGATGGCCTGGTTGTTTATCCTGGCCTTCGTCAAGGTCAGCAGCTCTGGCTTGTCGCCGACGGCGACGGCGCCATGAAGAATTCGATGTTCCTGAGCTGGAACTGCTGCTTGATGAGCTCGAATCTGAAGCTTCTGCTTGTTCGGAGGCTACCTCAACCCCTTTGCCTTTATCGACATCGGGCTCTATTTGTGAATGAGTAATTAAGCTTGGAAGGTAAAACGAATCTTTTAACTCACCCAGTACACTCGCTGCCGGTCTAATAGGTTCAAAAGTACCTTCGTACAAAAATGCAACTAAGAAATGAAAGATTGCGGGATCCTCTTCCGGCAAGTCAATGATTTGTTCGCTGGCTTCCCTGAAATTCCCGCAAAGAGCTTTCTGAAACCACCCGGCCTGAAGAAGGATGTCTTTGTGGACCTGAAATCAACTGTTAGCTTCATGAATCTTGAACTGGCGGCCTTTACGTGCGTAGAATGTTTGGATATTATTTATAGGACCGACCCGTATCGGTATAGGTGGACAGGCATACCGTCCATCTGCTGAACTGACCCAGAGATCCTCTGTCGTGCTGGGAACTTTACCCTCTGTCTCATCCTGGTAGTGTGTTTGTATCACGATGGGTGGAGGGACGCCCATAGCATCAGCGGGAGTATGCGCTGTGATTGCTGAACCAGCAGAGTCAGCATTTTCCGCCATAACAACTTTATTAGAATTGTCCGGTTTATGGAAAGGAGTCTATTGCAGGTGGAAATAAGGATATCTCATGTGAGCGCGTGAGAAACGCGAAACGAGGCCTTGGAGATGTTCATCATACGAATTGTAGTCGGAGCAGGAAATAGGCAGGCAGGCAGACAGACAGGCATAGCATTGACTACACACACGCAGACCATTCCATAGGTATTGGCTAGAAACAGCCAACGGTATGTCAAGCATGTGGGTGGACAATGGCTACCAATTGCAAGCTGCAGCCCCCAACCTTTTGGCTCTCTTCTGTGCAGAATAAGCAAGGCGCAGACGACCTGCAGCGGTACAAGCGCTTGGCTGAGATAAGATATGGTCTCGTAGGTAACAGAAAAGTTGGTCTAAATCGTCAAAACTGACTTAGTAATTTCCTCTCATCTGTTACCAGCGCTAATTTTCTGACACCTACTAAGTTAATTCCTCTATTACGTTTTTCGAGACCTCATCGAGGCTTGATCATACGGACTGTCTAGTTGAGCCATTTTTGGGGCAAATTGAGATAATGCGTTTTTATTATGAACTGATTCATCTCACGTAACTCGGAAGTCTGTGTGAGTGGAAACCTAGTTAGTTTCTGAGACTGCATAGAGTGAAGTGACATTCCAGGCACATGGACTGCCTTCTAGGAAAACAAGAATATAAAGAAAAAAAAAACTGATAGACCCTTTTGTTCCCTTTGATTCTGCGTAAACTGGATAGATGCCTAAGTCTCCCAAACACAATCGTTATTCTCAACCACAAAGTAAATATTGTAGATGTCAAACTGCCTTGCAAGTCAGTTTAATAAAACTCGAGAGGAGTGAGCCCTATGATTCAGGATCTTGGAGAGTGATTCACTGCTATGTATCTAAGAAAATCATATATTAATCCCCTGTATCAATTTCACCTCTCCTCAACCTCAGTGACTTAACACTCAAGGCGCTAAATCGAAAACCGGTTTCATGGACCCCTATTTATAAAATTGAGTAGAAATAGCAACTACTGTTTGTCAAAACAGACATGCCTAGAGAGTCTGATGTGCGGCTTCTATTGAACTGGCCTCAAGACGACCAGGTGGGTTAGTATTACTACATCCAACATCAGATGGTAACAGGCTATACAGAGATGCTCGATCAGATAGCTTATTTTGTCCTGATCAAGCCTCAGATAAAATAGCAATTGCAGTGGTTCTATGTCCGAGACCGGCTCGTCGTCCCTTAGCACAAGATGCGGCGATACCAACTCTAAGCAGTTTATCCCGGTTCTTAAGGCATACACTTTTTTCCGGCTCTGAATTCTAGATCATTCGTCATGCTGTCATATGCAGTCTATCGCACGCCTGTATTTGACCGACTTAACCTAGAACTGCAGGCTTATCTACTATAGGTTCTATTTTAAGCCAGGAGAACGACGAGAAATCAGCCTCATTACGGTCCACCTATGCACTCTCCTGATACAAGCTACTCCTCGTCTATCTCCGCCTGCATTTGCACTTCTTTGAAAAAAAAAAACGTTAGTCTACCGAGCAAAGAAGCAGGTGATTGACTTACTCCAGATCTTGCTTGCGGCGTCAGCTATGACCTTTGCCTTGACGAGTAGCTTCTCTTCATATTTCTCGTTGTCCTTTCCTTTGAGACGGATTTTATTAGGTTGTGCCTGAGCAGATTAGCATTTCTAAGTGGATGGTAACTCAATGTTGGCAGTTGTGTTGAGATACTGACCTGCATCAATATGGGCAGCAGCTCTGTAGGATCTGCATTTGCGATTGTTGCTACTGTACGAAAACCGTTCTCCCAGAATACGCGTCTGCGACATGTTAGTAACGCTCACTACCATTAAAGCAAGGCGCACTTACGCTGTCCGGCTTTTGATGAAGGGAATCTTCGCCAAAGCTAGCAGGTCAGCTCTTGCACCAGCCACGAGTCGATCAGAAAAATGGTCAAGAGCTGCGGCCATCACTCTATAATCATGTTAGCGACGCAACTGAGAAAGTCCAAGGTGACGCACCCCCAGCTCATTTGTTCACAGAACTTGATCATTCCAGCAGCAAAACCCTGACAAGTCTGTGAAAGGTTTTGGACCATTCCACGAGGGACGTCATATTTGCGTGCTACAACATAGATGGGCACCTCATTACAAAGATCACGTAACTGAAGAGCCAGGTAGAAGCGTCGATGCACTCGAGCGATCTGCTTCTCTTCTGGCGTGGTTTCTCGAAGCGTGGCCCCTTGAGCCCTTGTTGACTATTATTATGAATGTTGCACCATTGGGGGCTGAACTTACAACTTGAGAATTGTCGTAGGCTTAATACCTAGAAGGCGCAAAACCCGCAAACCACTCTCATCTAAGCCTTCCATTTCATTTCGGAATACCTGCCAGTTTACCATGATGCCAGACTCTTGCACAGGGGTAAATGTGTATAAGATGTGCATTTCGCCATCCATGACAAACGCCTGGAGAGCTCGGCTAAGTTCATCATGGACGAACACACCGTCATCCGGGTCGATGGCCGAGGCCACAATTGCCCTCCCTAATTGTGTCGCTGTGAACATCGATAAAGAGTCTTGAGTGACGAAGCCCATGGATTCTATTTCCTCTAGGCTTGAGGCTATGCATTTCTTGACAAACTGGGCGTCATGAGTGTGGCTCAATAGTGATTTCGAGAAGTAATCCGAGATAGCCTCATAGCTTGTTGCCAGACGAATAGATATAACCTCCAGCAGAGCACTGATCATGTTAGCTAAAGACAGATATTAGTGCAGACAAGGACTTACCGTTGAATACGTCGGTTCTCAGTGTTCAAGCAGCTCGCGACCGGGGGCAACTCGGCGTTCATGAGCTCCACAACCTGCTCGAGATCGTTCTCTCGACAGCAAAGGTATGTTTCGCCAATGGGTGCCTTGCCTTGTCTTCCTGCACGCCCTCGCATTTGTCTTAGCATAGATGGACCGACAAAGTCCCGGCCCATTCGGCAGTTGTGAAGAATCACTCTTCTTGCTGGCCTGTGCCTGTTAGCAAAGATCTTAGTATTCAAAGGGATAGACTTGCAGATTAATACCAGCCGCCAGACTACATGTGGCGACGCAAACGAGCAATGTTCCAGCATCGTACGCCGCCGCGACGAGATCCCTCTCTTCAGTCGTTAAACCAGCCTATGCCGTTAGAGATGTTTGTGAGACTCGTACTAAAGTTGACTTACGTCTATTACGGTTAGTATTGGATTCGGACATTGTGAATAGACTGTTTTGCTTACGGTGAAAGGCGACGCCATAAAGTACAGTCTCTTCTAACGCCGGATCAAGTCCAGTGTTGAGACTTCGTAGCTCTCCTAGTAGATCCATTCTTCTGTCCACAACATCAATCCTAAGTTCGTGCGGTGCAGGCATGGCTCGACTAATCCACCGTGCATCCGACTCGCACATATCACGACTCCCAGCAAAAACAAGGGCTCCGAAGCCAGCAATAGCAGTTTCGCAAGCCAATGTCACTACCGCATTTAGCACTGGGTCGCGCAGTTCCTTGTGAGTAGAAGGCTCGATCCGTCGAATGGGTTTCGTCTGTGCCTGTGTTTGTGTAGTTCGACTATTGAGCTGTGCTGCTGTCTTGATGAGACTGCTTGTAGACCCTGCGGGATAAATATTGCTGTCATACACGAGATGTTCCTCAATAGGAACTGGTCGATACCGAGTTTCGTAACAGTGTCCATTGATCCACTTAGCCATCATGTCCATGTTCTGCTTCTATGTTAGAAAATGCGAGAGGTATGATTGAAGCTAGTGATCAGACGTACCGGAAGAGTAGCACTCATGCCAACGATTTGCACAGGCTGTTCAAGGCTGAGCAATTTGGTCGCCATGAGTTCCAGTAGATACCCTCGGTGATCATCATCAATCATATGTAGCTCATCGAGCACAACCGCGCGAAGTTTAGAGATGGAGCAATCATCAATAGCCGTATTCACGAGTGCATTTGCCTTGGAATTGTCAATAGGGTTCCAGTAAGGAGATCATCTAAACCAACCTTCTCTAGTGTGCATACACCGATGTCAAAGTCGGCCCAAGTCGCTCGAAGTTTCCCACCTCCAAAGAAACCCACGACACGGACTGTATTTTCATCAGCCCGTCGACGCCAGATGCGCTTGTCATCATCGATAGCTGTATCAGGAGTAAAGCGTAACCCTTGTACCACATTACGAAGCCAGCGAACTTTCTCTTGAACTAATGCAACATATGGCAATACAAGGAGGGCTTTTGTCCCCTTTTCTTGTAATATTCTCTTGAGCATAAGCACTGGATGTGTCAGTCAAGCCCACATAATACCATTTTCGGTCTCACCATCAGCCACAAGGGATTTGCCACCACCGGTCGGAGCACAATATACCAGGTTTTTCTCCCCTGTCAGGAGTCCGGGCCCTTTGAGGCACGATTTCTGCCATGGATATATTTGTTTTATGCCAAGCGAAGCAAAATTATCAACCATTTGCCGTGGTAATTCATATGAAGGATGGCTTAAATCAAGCTCGGGGTCACGAGAAGCAGTAGGGGTTGCAGCTATAGCTACTCTCTGAGAATATTCAGAGGGCCCGACTCGCTCGTCTAGACGAACAATGCGGCTCGCCGAGATTCTAGGAGGAGCTGAGGGAAGGCTGGAGGCTCTTTGGAATTGAACTGTGGTACGAGATGCAGGCGGAGCTGTTCTATATTCATCCCCTGTAGTCGAAAAGCTCCTTTTGTGTCCAGCGATAGAAGTTGTAGCAAAGGCAGTCTTGTTTTCATGCGTTGTTTGGACACTGGTTGTGTGCATCAAACCTCGCATGCTCTTCATGATCAAAAAATGAAAGGGGACAAGAGGAAGAAGAAAGCAATCGTATCCGTACAAAAAGCCAATAAAGAAAGAAAAAAAAAAAAAGAAGAAAAAAACAGCAATTAAACCTCCAAGTCCATAGCTCTTTGTTTGTAAAGTCACCACAAATTTAACGTGACTCGCGTGTTTCGACGTGTCGGAAAGAACAGGCGACAGACGCGATGTCACGTGTAACTTAGACGGAACGCGGGGGCTGAAGGGTGTTCCTGACGATTGTGCCCCGCGACAAGATGAGGAACGATGATTGGTCACTGGGCCCTGCACTGTTTCCCATCAACCGCCTACGGCAGGTGGCATAAACCTGACCTGCCTACCTTCCCTGCTGGGCCTGCCTCTTCCATTCAGTGTTCCTACGTTAGTGCCCCTGTTTCCGTTAATTCGCATCAATAAACTTGAAATTATTTCCACCCCATTTTTAGGAGATACCTACTCCTTGGTCTATTGACTTGTGTCATTTATCGACGATAGATGTTATCGGTCCTATTTTACTTCAGAACTGCGGTATCCTCCCCGAGAACTCTGATAGCATTCGGGCGCAGGTTGATTATTCGACAATTGTGCTCTGCACATTCCCAGCCTGTCCATAACCTTGCATCTCGTGTGCGCCACTCCCTCTTTGGGCCCAGATTACCTACGGGTATACACGTGTACCATCGCTGTCCGCTACATAGCAAAAAGTTTGATATGATTTTGAGAGGACAAATACGCTGTTGAAACGCGTCTAAGGATCAATTGAGTTGATCGACATCAATCGCTCGTTATTTTTGGCGTATTTTCCATTTACCGAGTTGTTGTGGTGTTTCGTATTGTCTGTACCAAGTCTCGAGTGTCGTTGACCACCGTTCCCCTACAGTCGGGTCGGGTGTTTAGCCCCACGACCCTTTCCAATCACCTACCAGCCCAGTACGTTCTTTTTTTTTTTCGGAGGGGCTACTAAGTTAATTGGCTTGGGGGTGTGCCTTGTCCGATCCGTCTATGGAATCTTGATTCGACGACCACTTGACAACACCGTGCAGCGGCAGCAACAGAATAAAGAGCAGCATCAGCATCGCTTCCATCTACCTGCAGCCCCGAGGCATTGGCTACCAACACTAACCCGGCTGTCATCTACTTCCTAATCTTATTTGTTGTTTTCTTCTACCGCCGAATTTGATAATCTGCACTATAAAGGTCGAATCCATACTGTGCCACCCTAACGTCTTTTTTTTCTTGCTTATCGCCAGATCGTCCGGCTCATTTCGCGCGACAGGTCGTGATTCAGACCAGACCATCACCGAGACATTTCTGTCGTTTCAATTTCGGCGTGGCCTATTATCTGGGTATGGGTCAAACTTGGCCAGGCTTCCATCCTAACAGCAAAGGCTGCGGTACTGCAGCACCTCTATATTATTTTATTTTAGGCACATGGGAGCCTCACAAAGAACATGATACGTACCCCAACTTGTGGCTTTGGTCGGAGTGCGAGAAGAAGAAAAAGACAGCCACTTTCTCAGACAATCGGATATCCACTGGCATGTGTGGCCAAGACTAACTTTGATAAACAGGTCACATATTCAAGGTGACAGGTTCTACTTGAGATTGCCGTAATGATGCCAGCACTTGGTAAATTGTAACAATGAGAGTTGAGACATTCACGTCCGATATGGTAAGCTGCTAAAGCAAACTCGACATGGGCCAGACGGGAAAAAGCCAGTCGAGTCCCAAACAAGGGGGGTCTGAGCCCACCATCCGTCATTAAAATCATTTACGTATCCAACTATCTCTGATAAGTACTTGTTCTGGTAGCAAACCAGGCTTGTCATCGCCAGGGTAGGCCTGAGAAAGAACCCGAACAGAACAGCAAAGATCCAAAGACACCAGCACTCGTTTCTGCCTCTCTCTCTTTCTCTCACACACTCCCGAGGTCAGATCCTTGTCAATCACAGTACGTACCTCGATGGATCCGCTGCAGGGCATCATCTCTGGGCAAGCAACCTTCTGTCCATCCAACCGGAGCCCCGGCCATGTTTGTGGAGCTGAGAAGGTTCACTACACCAGCAGCTCATCCTTAGCCCTATTGCCGACTCCCTCTCGTCAGCTCCCCCCAACTTTGAGGACCTCAACATCATCACCGCACATTCGTTTTTTTTCCTGGTGCGAAATTGATGGGCCTAGGTCTAGCTGGGATTGCCGATGGTTGAAATGTATATCGGCACTAGTAGTGTTACTCTATTCGCTAGAATTGGTACCAGCTGACTGAGCTGCCTTTTACCAGTATTAGACAGCACCCTCCTCGTAGTAATCTTGATCAACTATTTTAATGCAATCTTGACCGATCCATTGTGCCAGTCCGGATATCTCAACGTCGCCGGCTCTATTGAGTCAAGACGTCATGTCATGATGGTGGAGAGGCAGGAAACAGCTAGTTAGTCGCATCATCAAAGCAAGAAAATGTGGTGATTTGGATCAAGGGGTCTATTATTGACGGTGTTGTGCTGTCGAACGTGGAAAATCGTCGTTTCGCACATTGCTCCTTGTCGCGCAGCAGGGCGATATACTCCGTACTCTAGACAGGGTTAATTATACTGGCCCCTTCCATGAGTAAGGCTATATCTAATGTGGATGTACATATCCATGAAGCCATAAACTTACTACGAGCAAGCTCCGAAAAGACATGTCAACAAATCTGTCGTGCCGAAAATGACGCGAGATATGAGACTCTGTGGCTACTGGAGCCTGCGGTGACCCGGATGAAGAGATAACTCCTGGTTGAGTGAGGTGAATGATGGTATATGTCACCGGCTTGACAATAGTTTATAAGCTAGATGCACAGCGTTTACAAACATTCAGAAGAAGGGAATAGGAGTATTTTACGGTGGGAATATGACTCAACGTTAATAAGCTTACAGTTATATCATCATGGCTTCTCAGGTGCAAAAAGTGCGGCCTTAATACCCGGCGATGAGTCTGTAAACATTCGTGGGATTGAGTCGGCGGCGGGAAGGGAGGGTGCAAGGGTGTAGGAGATGCAACGGGAAATGCGGATGACTTGGCACTCCATGCTCTTCCAAACTCACATTCTCGTGACAAACTCTTGTAACATCTCGTTTCTTCGCAATACAGTACAGAACTCTACCCGAAACCGAAACGCAACTTTCGCTCAGCCAAATTGCGAATATAAAGTTTCAACGGAATTCTGCAGAGTGACTTTGGAACCATGTCATGGTACGTATTACTAGAACGTCGATCTGGTCGTTGGTGAATGGTGAGCAGGCTGGTCATGCCTGAGACTGCATGGGACAACAATGTATAGGAGAGACAAAAGAGTTGTCGAACCGAATTGAGCGAGAGAACACTGAAGTAAGGTAGAGAGTGTTGTACAGAGTGGGAGAGTTATTGTTGGACAGAGATGTCCTCGAAAAGTCTGCACCTTTATCTCCGGCAACAAGGGCAATGATGGCACAGGCAAATCGAGGTGAGCAAAAATGAGACAAGGTTCCATCACTCATTCATCCATTTACGCATAGGTATACCATCTACATCATTTGCCCGACTGTTTCTAGTTACCTGGGTAGCCACAAGCACACCTGGCTTACCTGCCTGCCTGCTTAATTTTGGATGCTTCTTACACCGATTCACGCGAGTCTGCATGTGCGGTCTGGGTAAGATAATTTATAGGTATCTGCTTTCAATGTTCTTGATTTAAGTAGTTTTACATAGGCTGGTGAGTAGTTCTGCTTTGCCGACCCAAGCTTCGACAGTCTTGTAGGCCCTAAATTAGATTTTCCCACCAAAAAAGGTGACTTGACGTCTCGACCAGACCGAATCAAACCAATGCAATCTATTGTGACCTGGCCTCGTAGTGGTTCTGACTTCTCCCCCCCAGGCATGGCCTGCTCTTCTCTTTGTGGGAGGACCCGTGGACCCATAGACACGCCTCAGAGTTGGGTTGAGATCCGTCGGCTCGTCAGTGCTGCGAGACCCAGATGGACCCCCGTGGAGACTTGAAGTAACGCTGATGACCAGGGTGCTAGATGTAGAAACTGTGTTGACATTTATCGTGCCTGGGGTGCAAGATAGGTTTTCTTGGGTGCTCATCAGCCGCCACCTGATTAGTGGCTACCTGCTCGCTACAAGCTCGGCTCTAAAACAACCCCTGCCGTGCACTATAATCAGAGTGGATGCATCGACCAGGCCAGGGCCGCCGCCTCGGGGTGCCAGTGCCAGGACGTTTCTTCTCCCAGCACCTGGGAATCATGCCTCTTCCTCCTTCTTAACCTTACTTACTCCATCATCCAGAGTAGTAAAATATCTATCTCGAGCTTCTAGCTCTATTCACTTTTCCACAGCCGGGACGGATTCGTTTCATCTCGAGCTATTTTCATCTCGTCTCTTATATCACTGTTAGAGCTCTATACCTTACACGCCTCGCACTCTTGCCCACCTAGGCTATTTCATCCTCGCAGCTTCCACCATCAAGCCATCACCTCGGGCATGCCTTCATACGCGATTCACCACATCTCATCGTTGCGCAAGTGATTCTCTGCTGGATGTCATGGCACAACAAAATGTGAGTTGAATCTCTATTCCCTTCAACGAAAACCTTCACTCTCTTTCTCCCCACTATACTTTTTTATGTTTATAGCTTGGGGTCTCTCATTTCACCTTCAACCTGTGAGGTCATGGGCGCGATTGGACCCTATTTCTAACACAAAACTCAGGACTCCAAAGTCTCAGACCCAGACGCTCAATCTGTTTCCGACCCAATGACTACTCAATCAGGTTTGGATAGCGCGGCCAAGGATGCCAGCGCAGATGCAGCTTCTGGGTACGGCACTCGTTCTCGCAACAGGAACGGCTCATCGCGTATCAACTATGCTGAGGATAGGGATATTGATGCCGATGTTTATGATTATTATCATGACAAAAAAGACGGTGACTCCAAAAAGACGTCCCGTCAGTCCAGCGCTGCTGTGAACAGCGATGCGCCTCGTGGCGGTGCCAGCTCGCGCAAGGCTCTCGTCGACGAGTCAAAGCCAGCGCAGTCTGTAAATACCCCCAAGGAGCAACAATCGGGCAGCTCAAACAATGCTTCTACCACGACACAGCCGTCGGCTGCTTCTTCTCAGCCTACACGGAAACGCAAGGTTGCAGGCACTTCAGCAGGTTCCACTAACCAAGCGACATCAACTACCAGCAACACAACAAAAAAGCCAACGACATCCGGAACAGCTGCCGGCATTTCGTGGCCTGAAACTAATATGTTGACTTTTGAGAACTGCAAAGGACAACCTGTTGATGGCAAGATGACAGCCGACGATGGCACGGTGTTGGAGCCAAATGGTAACGTCTTGAAAAAAAGTCCACCAGAAATTTAAATTGAGCGTAGCTAACCTGGCGATTGCAGATCATGTGTACCTTGTCTGTGAGCCACCTGGGGAACCCTATTATTTAGGCCGCATCATGGAGTTTCTTCATGTCCAGAATGACAACAGCAGACCTGTGGAGGCAATCCGCATAAACTGGTACTACCGACCAAAAGATATTGGCCGAAAGTCCACAGACACACGTATGGTCTTTGCGACCATGCATTCCGACATCAGCCCGTTGACTGCGCTTCGCGGGAAATGTCAGATTCACCATAAAGCTGAGATTTCAAACATGGATGCCTATCGCAAGACGTCCGACAGCTTTTGGTACGACAAACTGTATGATCGGTATATCCAAAAGAATTACGATCTAATTCCGACGCGTTCCATTGTCAACGTTCCAGGCAACGTGAAAAAGGTGCTCGACGAACGCTGGAAGTACGTGCTAGTTGAACAGGGGCGTGGCAAGGAGCTCACTAGCGCCGTTAAGCTCTGCAAGAGATGCACAGGCTATTGCGCAAGGTACGTACCACATTTGACTTACACTGCCCCACGTCCCTGTCCCACGTTCAGTGGCTGACTTGATTGGCGCACTTCAGCAACGACTCAGTTGACTGTGCCGTATGCCAAAACACATATCATATGAATTGTGTGAACCCGCCTCTATTGAAAAAGCCATCCAGAGGTTTCGCATGGTCATGCGCTGCCTGCAGTCGTGCACAGGAGCGAAAACTCGAGGCTCGTAACACTCCTAATGTGAATGATCCCACCGTGGATGCCGACGATGATGAGCCAATGGACGAAGAGGACGAGGAGATGCAGGGGGTCGACACCAGCCGCACGAGTCCGGAAGAAGGAGACCATGCTCCCCATGAAGGCACTGCAGAGCAGATATACCAGGCGTCACTCTGGCCTTATCGGTACCTGGGAATGCACTGCAAGCCCGAGGACGCACTTGACTATGATGACAGAATTCATCCCCGCGCAGCTACGAGAATTGGCCCAAGGAATCAAGCGACAGTTTTGCCATGGCCAGGACAACCGGTAGAGTACGTCAAGCCGCTCGAGTTCAAGAAGAATGGCAAAAAGGACACCAAGTCAAAGGAAGCATTGGCTGCGATTGAAGCTGAAAAGATCTCACGGGTAAATCGACCAAAATGGGTACAGGATATGCCTCCTGGATACACAGTACGAGGCGAGGATTACGACGAAGACGACCCGAATTGCACCGCAAAACCCATGTGGATACCTCCCCCAGAAGACGTCATCAAAGAGAAGGAAATCAATCAATACATGGAAAGGGCCAAGGGAATGGCCAAAGATCTTGGTTTGCCAGAACGCTCGACAAATCTCCAGGATGTTGCTGCCGATACACTATTTCACACTGGATTTGACACGAAGCGTGCCCTCAAAGCTCTTCCCGAAAAGGACAAGGCGGAATTCAAAGAGCCAGAGCTGACACCAGCAGAACAAAAGAAATTCGAGGAAGCTGTTATCAAATACGGCTCTGAGCTTTATCTCGTGCGAAAGCATGTTAAATCCATGTACTACGGCATGGTGACTCGCTACTATTATGCTTGGAAGAAATCAGAACGCGGGATGCAGGTCCTGGAGAACATGGCTGGCCGAAAGGGAAAGAAAGAGGCGAAACGAGCAGAAGCCGCCGCTAACAAGATGGCCGACGACGTTGCGGACAACGACGACGATTCCGCCTTTGATACCGAGAAGGCGAACCAGAAGAAGCGAGGATTTGTGTGTCAATTCTGCTCGACAACCTCATCCAGGCAATGGAGACGAGCCCCGAACCCTATGTCTGGTGTTGTCAACGACGGTGGTTCTAAAAATTCGAACAAGGACAAAGGTCAGGAGCGGGTGGTCGCATTGTGCCGCCGATGCGCCGAACTCTGGCGACGGTATGCTATTCGATGGGAGGACATGGAAGAAGTGGCCAAGAAGGTGGCACAGTCAGGTGGCCGAGCTTGGAAGCGCAAGCAAGATGAAGAACTTCTCAAGGAACTGCAAGCCGCAAAGGAGATGGGCATGATGACGCCAGAACGTGCGCCAACCCCCTCGGCGACGCCAGCAGCCGTTACCAGCGCACAGGAACCGCCACGGAAAAAGCTCAAGAGTGTACCCTTGGACAAAGACGCAGAAAACGGCCACTCTGATACTGCCAGCGTGGCTGGCTCTACTACATCTAAAAAGAAGGACAAGAGTGTGGAAAGAGCCGCAGCTCCTGAGATGCCAAAGCCTCGAGTTCTACCTTGTGCAGTCTGTGGTGAATTGGGACCCCAAGGAGATCAGCACTTGTCATGCCGAGAATGCCGTTTGACAGTACATCGCAACTGCTACGGCGTCATGGATAATCGAAATCCTGAAAAATGGACATGCGACATGTGTTTGAACGATAAGAACCCTCAGGTCTCGATTCGTTACAAATGTGTTCTATGTCCTCACGAGTACACGGAACATGATTTCGTGGAACAGCCAAGACTGACACATCACAAAAAGAAAATGTCAGAGAAAGACCGCGAGAGAGAGCGTTTGGAGGTCCAGCAAGCTCGAAAAGCTGCCGACTTTTACCGCAAGAAGCAGGAGGACATGAATCGACCAGTCAACCCTCGGGAGCCACTCAAGAGAACCGCTGACAACAATTGGGTCCATGTTACTTGCGCTGTTTGGACCCCAGAAGTCAAATTTGGCAACGCCAAGGCATTGGAACCCTCAGAGGGAATTCCTTCAATTCCCAGAGCCCGATACAATGAGACCTGTAAAGTCTGCGACAAGATTGAAGGTGCCTGTGTCTCTTGTCATCAGTGTCGCGCCCCGCGTAAGTTTTTGTGCCAGGATGGCTGTATTCGGATTTGCTAACCAGAGCCATAGTACATGTGGAATGTGCACGACAACAGGGACATATTCTTGGGTTCGAAATTTCACCTGTGAAAGGCTCCAAGAGAGACCAAGTCAACGTTGTAACCGTCAACGGAGAGAGTGGCACCATGTCAGCGACCGTGTGGTGCAAGGAACATGCTCCTACCAAGACTACTATTCATCACATGCACGACGTTGTGGATGATTCGGGACTTAACGCTCTGCAACTCTATGTTCAAAATTTCAAGCAAGCCGACCTCACTTTGACAGGCACCGCTCGCAAGGCCAACCTCATGGCGAATGCAGCCAAACTGACCGGTACAGCGACCCAGTCTGGTCTACGAAGATCTTCAACGACTGCTCTACCTACAAACCACCAGCGCAACGGTGAGACGGGAGACGCTGCCTCGGATCCCAGACAACCAGGAGGGAAGGTTTGCATTACTTGTGGTGTCGATGTCAGCCCGAAATGGTACCCGATTGACAATTCACAAGAACGCGAACTTACCAATGGCCACTACGGCACACTTGGAAGCGAGGCACAGAAATTTGTGGAACAAAGGCGTTTTCAGTGTCACAAGTGTCGCAAAGCCCAGCCCACTGCGAAGACGCACCCGCCACGACCATCGCCTGCTATGCCAGACGCTCCGCCGCCCCTGGCTCACGAAGCGGCTATATCAGCCACTGCGGCACCTCCTCTGCGTAGTCCGCCACAGATGATTGCTCATCGTGAAGCGCATGCTGCCGCCTATGCCTGGCCAGCTCATGGTCATCCTCAAACAGGGCCCCCAGCAATGCAAGCGCCTGCGCTTGTCGCCGATCATGCCCTTGGAGCTCGGCCACCAGCTCCTCACGCCTATGCAGCTCCACCACCTCATCGGCCGGCATACAGCGATTGGGGTCGACCCGCGAGTCAGCAGAGCTCGCCTCCTCCTCGACATATAAACGGAGGGCCCCCTCCCCCGCCTATTCATAATGCACCGCCGATGTCGAACTTGTCTTCCTTACGACCACCGCCTGTAGTCGGGCCTGTACCGCCTGCACCACCACCTGCGAGCCATCACGGCAGCCACCCTTCGTCACCGTACGCTAATGGATTGCCTCTATCTCCTCGGCAATTAAATGGACCAGCACCCCCATCCCGATACGCTCATCCCTACCAACATCATGGGCGACCTGGCCCTCCAGCACACCTCACACCACCGAGCATGGCGAATGGAGCGCCGCCTCCTCCTCCTTCTGCGCCACCCAGAGATGGATATCCTCGTGAGATGCACCCGCAAAGATCCCCATACCCTGCTCCTGCTCCTCAAACGAGCCCGCCTGGCTCTCGGAACGGACCCCCACCTCCACAGAACCGTCCAGCAAGCGGAGCAAGTGCCAGCCCTTCGCTACGAAATCTCTTATCGTAGTCTTATGGGCAGGGCAATATGGAAACCTGCTAATGGCAGACTCGAATCAAGGGGTGACTGGCGAATGGTCAAAGACAGTTTCATCGATATACAACTTTGATGCGCGCAACTCAGTATACTTATATACATCTCTCAGTGAGGGCACGATTGTTTTTGGAAGTTGATTGTGATGAGATTGATTGTCAAGGGGCTCGATTGCATTGGGGTTAGCGACTTGGGTATTGGAATGAGATACAGTCTTTGTTAGAGTATTGTTATTGTAAAAAGCACTGGGGGTATAGTGCCGGATCCTTTTAGCTTATTATAGATAAAATCAAGAAATGCCAGCTATGATGATTACATTGCAGTATTTAAGATGTTCATGATTTCTTGTTTCCATGGCTGTCTTTGACTTTATCCTATCACAAACTAAACGGGAAATTGCATAGACATCGAGTATGAACCAATTAGACGATTGGCCCGTTTCTCTAACCGCTACTGGATCTAACTGATTCCAGCTAGCGATTTTGTGAGCTCCACTCTGGGAAATCCCAAGTCAAGTGTACGTCCAGACACCCCCAGGTCCCGAAGCCTCAGGGTCTAGTCTTTGACGACAAGTGCGTTCCAGGTTAATTATTAAAGCTCAATAGATTTGAATCACGTCTGACCACTACGTTAGTACTGATAAAAAATCTATTAGTTATGATCGAGAATCAAAGTCTTAGGTCGCAAATCAAGCATCACACCCTCACATCTTAAACAATACATCCCGTTTCAGTGGAGGTAACCAAGGCAGGTACGTACAGTACCCAAGTCGTGGCGTTTCAGGGCTGAGGTGGCTCAGACTAGAACCTCTCTCACCTCAGTTCAACATCAGCCAGAGTAGCATCTCGACATTCAATCTCTCCCATCCCTTCTTAGGCACTGCATCATTCTTTTTAAGCCGCTTTATAGCGTTGAATTCGTGAAAAACGCACTGCGAGCTGATCGCATCATCATCAACTGTGTCGTCATCCAGCCAATTGCGACCGTGATACCAACCAACATCTTCAACCATACTTGTCCCTGCCGATCCATATCTTCTCTACAGAGCGAAATTCTTTCTTCATTTCTTCGCATAGCCGATCTTCCATTGGCTAAAGACCCTATCTTGGAAGTTAGGGAACGATTGATTACGAACCGAGGAGACACATAGTTCCACGAGCTACCACACATCTGCCACCATTCATCATGGCGCAAATCCTCCTCGACCTCTTTTACTCCTTCGGGAACTGCCTCAACTGCTTCCCCGGGAACCCCAACTTGAAGATCAATAACCGAAGCTTCAAGATCCTAAGACTTCTCGGAGAAGTAAGTCCCTGATCCCAGGTCTTCCGGATCACCCGTCACTGACAGGCGCTAGGGCGGTTTCTCATACGTCTACCTCGTCGAAGACACCTCTACCCATGAGCTTTTCGCCCTCAAGAAGATCCGATGTCCTTTCGGCGCCGAATCAGTCCAGCAGGCCATGCGCGAGGTTGACGCCTACCGCCTCTTCTCCCACGTCCCGACCATCATCTCTGCCATTGACCACTCGGTTGCGACCGAGCGTGGCGCCGACGAGTCTACGAAAACCGTCTACGTCCTCCTACCGTACTACAAGCGCGGCAATCTACAGGACATGATCAATGCGAACTTGGTCAACCACGATCGCTTCCCCGAGCGCCGCCTCATGTTGCTTTTCCTTGGGGTGTGCAAGGCTCTCCGTGCTATGCATGATTACAAGCCTGCCGTAGAGCGCATGAACATGGGCCGAGAAGAGGATGAGATAAACAATGGCGAAAGAAATAACACAAGAGGCAAGCGAACTGAGGAAGAGGAGGAGGGTGAGCAAGAGCGAGGTCTGCTGGAAGGCGAAAGCCAAGTCAACGGTGGCAGGTCAATTCAGCATTATGCCCATCGAGATATCAAACCAGGTAAACACTCTTTTGCGCCAGTCTACTTCTTTCAGACGCTAACGCAGTATCAGGTAACATCATGATTGACGACACTGGTTCAACTCCGATTCTTATGGATCTTGGATCCGTTGCGCCCTCGCCTATTCCTGTGACATCACAATCTCTAGCCCTCCAGATCCAAGACACAGCCGCCGAGCACTCAACAATGCCTTACCGTGCTCCCGAGCTCTTTGATGTTCAGACCGGCATGGTGATCGACACAAAGGTTGATATTTGGTCTTTGGGCTGCACGCTCTACGCCTGCCTCGTTGGCAAGTCACCCTTTGAGATGCGTTCAGACGAGACTGGCGGTACTCTGTCGCTGTGTGTTCTGGGCGGTGACTGGCGTTTCCCCGACGAGGGCCCTGCTGGTGTCAAACGTAATAACAGCATGCGCCCGCAGCAGGGACAACAGCAGCAACAGAAAGCACCTGCGGTTGAGATCAGCGAGCCTATTCGCGAAGTCGTGAGGAAGTGTCTTAGTGTCGAGCCTGCGGAGCGGCCTGACATTAACGAACTCATTCAAATGGTCCAGACAGTCATTGAGGAGCTGCCTGATGATTCTAATTAGGTGCTACATGTGTGTGGGTGTGTGTAATTTTCAAGTTACTGTGCGACAGAGCGACGAGTTTTGGATACGGGGAAAGATATCTCCTTGCTGATCTTCCACGGGTCGAGGATGCATTCGCCTCGGCCTAGATGTTTATAGCTATCAATTCACATGATGGAGGTGGCGTTTTAGGAATCACAAATAGAGCCATTTATTGGTAATCGACTAAGTTCTTGTTTCATAGCCATGCTGCTCTCGGTTACTGCACCAATCGTGCTACTACTGATGCCCAGTCGGGTGGAATCCTTTTGTAATCCATAAAGTCTCATTCTGTTTAATTCGTAGTGCAATATTGAGCAACACCAGTCGGTTTGCTAGTACTTCAAAGGATAACCCAACGCCTGTCTTCTTCTGGGTCCGTACAAACACAACCTTCCAGCTCCGTGTCGCTCTACAGCTGGAGCTTAAAGGTGGCGACTTCGAAAGGCCGCAGTGTGATTGGAATCTTGCCATCTTCCTGTTCAATCTCTTCCAGGTCGTCCTCCAAGATGTTTGTCTTGGTGACACGCTTGACGTCAAAGCTTGTTTGGATGGTGCCACGACTGCGACCACCCAAAGATTCGTATACGCGAAGAATAATGCTTTGGCCCTTGTTCACGCGAAGACCCTCATTCCGGGTTACGTCTTCGTCGTCTTGGCCTCGCTTGATGGTGTCAAGCACAAGAGACTCGGACTCGTCAGTGTTGACAAGCTTGATAGGCGCACTGGAAAGACTTTCAAGGGCGACCTTTGAAGCAGTAACAGGCTTTAGAGGATTGTTGAAAGCATAAGCAGCCTTAACCGTAGCCGAAGACAGGCCTCCCTTGTGAGGAAGAATGGCCCATCGAATGGTGTGACATCCCATATCAGCATTGGCATCGGGCGCCTTGGGCGATCGTAGAAGTGACAATCGCATCATCTTGCCCGCAGTCGCGAAGCCATATTTGCAGTCATTCAAAATGGAAACGCCGTAGTTATTCTCCGAGAGATCAGCGAATTTGTGACAGCACACCTCGAATTTAGCCATGTCCCAGCTTGTGTTGTAGTGAGTTGGTCGTTTGGTAATGCTAAAAGCTGTCTCGTACGAAGCCTCGTTGTTGACAACGTTGACAGGGAATTCAACCTTGAGGAACTTGGAGTCTTCGTGCCAGTTGACATTGGCCTTGACGTCAATCTGAGAAGGTTGACCTTTAAGGGCCGCTGAGAGTGTGGTGTATGACTTGATCGAACTGTTTTCGCTGATCTTGATCTCAGTGACCAAAGTAACTCGATGGGCCTTCTGTTCAAAAATCTTGGTCTTGCCATATTCAACCTTTCTGCGTGCATCGAGATGGTAAACTTCAACATCCCAGGCCTGCCAGTAAAGCGGAATATCGTCGAATATGACAAACTTGTTGGCCTCACCACCCTTCTCGATAACCTCACGATCATTTTCAATATCGTAAATCGACGTAATGACACCGTTATCAACAACGACACGGAGTTGGTCGTTTTGCAAGACATATACGTCGGTCGACTGTTCCATCACGGTAACTGCAGGCTTCTCCTCTTGCACCTTGAACGAGCGGAGGGCCAATAGTTGACCATCACCACATGCGATACCGACTTCACTATCGGAGAGCTCCACGAGCTCTTTTCGGTGCCAAGGCAGTGTGTTGATGGCCACCGATTCGTTAAGGCTTGATGAGAATTGGCTGGCAATATTGAGTGAATCGTAGAGATCGTTCAGAAGACGTTTGCCAGTTTCAAAAACTTCAGCGTAGACCTAGAAACAGGTTAGCAAGGTTTTTGAGTCGGATTGCAAGCACGCACCTTATCGGAATCGTCGTAACACATCTCAATGCTACTTCCTGGTAGACAGTCATGGAACTGGCAGAGAAGGACAGATTCCCACATATCATCAAGATCCTTGGTTGGGTACTTGTACTTCTTGTTCTTGATTGATGCATACGTGGCCAATTGTTCGATGTCCCGTAGCATCACCTCGGCCTTTCGGTTGTAATACTTGTTGTTGGCTTGTGTGGTGTACGTTCCTCTGTGTAGCTCAAAGTAGAGTTCGCCGTACCAGGTAGGAAACTCGGTGGCTTTCTGGTTGAGTCGATCAAAATAGTCGCCAACAGTCAAGCCCATCTTGATCTTTGGGATGCCACCGATAGTGTTGCTGATCCCAGCACATCGACGGAGCTTTTCGAAGTGTTGCCAAGTAGGGCCACCACCGCCATCACCTTTGCCAAAGACAAGCAGAGATGTGCTGTCGACTCGCATCGTTTTGTGTTTCTCAATACTTCTCTTCAAGTCACCAAAGTCGGCATTTGCTGTGTATGTCTCAGAAGGAGGCATGTGGCAAATGACCTGGCTTCCATCAGGACTCACCCACATGAATGTCGTGTGAGGAAAGTTATTGATATTGTTCCAGCTCAGCTTCTGGGTCAGGAAACGATCCATGTCGGCCAGTCGACAGAGCTGTGGAAGTTGGCTCGAATAGCCAAAAGTGTCAGGAAGCCAGAACGTACGGCATCGTGAGCCGAACTCGGCCTCAAAGAACCGTTGGCCGTAAAAGAATTGTCGCACAAGCGATTCACCACTGGGCAGATTTGTGTCGTGTTCGACCCAGCTGCCACCAATAGGGTGGAACTGGCCTTCCTTTACCTTCTGCTTGACTCGCTTGTATGCAGCAGGATAGTAGGTCTTGAGCCATTTGTACTGTTGAGCTTGGGAGCAAGCAAAATTGGCCTCTGGGTAGCGATCCATGAGGTCACATTGGTTCGTCCAAGATCGAACAACTTTGCGCTTTGTCTCAGCCCAAGGCCAGAGCCAGCAACTATCGATGTGACAATGACCAATACCGAATACCACGGGGTCCTTTCCTACTTCATATACCTTGTGAGAGTCAACATCAGGGCCGAGAATTTCACGAGCAATTTCTCGGCACTTGAGAATGGAGTCCTGGTTGTTGACCTCGAAGGTATTGATGATTTTCATGGCTACAGCCAGTGCATGATTCTGCTCAGCCGAGTTCTCAGGAAGCTCTCGGGCAGCATCGCCGATCTCCCAGATATCTATGTGAAGCTTGCGAGCTGGCACGTTAACAGCCACGATATCGGCTTTGCTGAGGTTGAAGCGTCTGTTGGGATCCGGTGGAGCAATGGTCGTAGTGCCGTTGGGGGCGTTTCCAAACATGCCGTTACAAGCCATCTCAATATAAATAGTGTGTTCTTCGCCATCGCGGAATGAGTCGGGAATGATCCACTCGATGCGCTCGCCGCTGCCAGTGAGGCCTTGGATGGGGACACCATCCTCTGTCCAGATAGTACCCTCATTGCTGGCATCCCAGTGTAGCTCAATGAGCTCTTCATCCTTGATGTCTTTGGGAATGCGTAGGATGACCTTGAACCAATGAGTGGACCAGGAAGGACCAAAAGAAGTGCCGGTATGGGTTTCCCTGAATTCGTGACTGACAGCATCTTCAAATGTCGGACGGGAAAGATCTGGTGCGTCCCAGACGGAGAGTTGCACATGAGGTTTGCCTGAGTATCTGGCATTGTCCATATTCCTGTTTTGGATAACAGTCAGTAACAATTTCATCTTTGAGAGTTGGTATGACATACGCTTGCAGGTTGACCTTGTAGTACTGTCCTGACTTATAGAACGGTTCAATGCGACCCTTCAGAATGCTCGTTTTTGGAACGCCGACGGGCCGCTCGGCGAAGAGAGGGTAGGAAGAATCATTTCCCTTTGGCTCGGTACCACCACCCATAGTGAAGATGTCGGGATGTCCTGGAGCGGGAGGAGCTGATCGATTTGAGATACGTCGCTGCTTCCCAGAAATCGGTGGTCGAAGCTGGTCTTCAGGAGAAGGCGAGTGACGAGGACAAGCTGCAGAAGTTGACGACACGCGGTCGAACGTATTGTTGATACTACTGAATTATGGTGAGCAAACGCCTTTGGGTTGGGGGTTGATGAGGACGTCAAACGAAGAGGAAACAAGATGGGGACGAGGAAACAGTGATGAATGAATATGTAGAACGTCACGGGAGGAGGAATGAGAATGAATTGGTATTGAATAGCTGAGTTCGGTGTTGATGAATGTACTGCACGTATGTCTGTGAAACGTAGGCGCGGGAAGCAAGCTCTGTGTTAAGCTCTGTGCTAGGTCAAGTGAGCTCCGACAAGCTCCAACGAGTGGGTGTACGACTGCCGATCGAGAGTGTTGACAATAACAACGGTGTGCAATAAGCTATCAAAGGGTAGAGGCCTTTCTGTCGAGGTCGGTCAAGCGCCAAGCCAGGATGAAAGCGGGGGATTGCCAACCGCAAGTTAAGCAGCCATTCCCGTCGAGTCCCTGTACAGGGGTTGACGCACTTGCGGCACAGCAACCGGGGGAGGGGCCCCGCTAGACTCAGAACGACCAATCTCCTAGGCTAAGCAGTGCCTGGAATGGATCCAGGTGATGGGGTTTTGGGGAACCGGTCGTATCTTTGCATGCGGGGAGGAGATGGAGCCAGCTTTCAGGAGGACGAACATGTTGTGTCATTAAATAAATCAGCCATCACATACCTCATTTTGCCCAACATTGCGATTTCTGACCGACAATACGTAGAAAGAATGCGACAGGGGGTTTGAACAGATTAGTGATCTAAAACGATGATCGGCAAGGCAGCTGCGAATGGACATCAATAAACTAAGAGCCCTTGGGGAGAGGATGGAATGTTGATGAAAAGAGGAGCAACAGGTTAAAGGATAGAGGTTTAGGTAGTGATCAAAATGATATTCACAAGTGAAAGAATGCTAACATTAGGAGACCTACGACTTCTGATGTAATTCCTAAGTATCTTTTGGGAAGCCACGGCGGACTTGACTAAAGGTTGGACGACTTTGCTCCTGCTTTCTGATTGGAATCTGAGGTCGGTAACGACGTCAGGAACGAGTCACAAATTAAAAACAACAGCATCTTAGGCAAGCGCTTCGACTCATACTCAGTTCTGACTTCTGTGACTGCGTTGAGAGCCATCGGAAGCAGGCGACAAGGCCAGGAACTTGTGAAAAGTGTAAGAATGGCCGGCGGTATTGGAGTTAAGCCGAATATAGAGATACAGTTTCCTTGAAAATGATTCATATCTATTTAGATTTAAAGCTTATATGTCTAAAAGTTTGAAGGATAAACATCTTTTGGCATGTCCTCCGTCTCAATAAGGCGAGGTCTAGGATTACCAACACCCCTCAGTAAAGGATGGCAGTATTTATATGAGCGTTAAAAGGCTCGTATCTCGGAGATATGCTCCCAGGCCAAGAACTACAACCGTTGTGGGCAACAACAGCAACAAACTCTCACTTCTCACTCCCCTTTCATTGTAAAACACAGCCAATCATATCTGTTCAGTTGACATTGAGTACTATCGTCTTCTATCTTGATTGGCTCAGTATTTGCGTATCCCTCCCAATGCCCAATGCCCAGTACCCAGCCCCTCAACAGCCCTAAATAACAAATATCGAACGATTTCTCACCCATTATGACATGTTTCACTTCCGGATACTCCGTACAGTACGCACAAGCGCCGCTCCAAGCTGTGCAGCTCTATACAATGCTCCGATAATTCCTTCCCACCGTTCGATTTCCCACATGTTTGGAATGTCTCCCCTCATTCAGCCGCTGTCAGTCAATCTGGGCACTGTACCGGGGCTTCCTGACGGCGGTCGTATTGCACCGACCGCCCCCTAGGCGTAGAAGAATCAGCCGAGTCGGTGTTTTTTTACCCCAGGATTAATATTGGGAACTTCCTTGTATGGCTAAACCGGCAGTTGACAGTGGTTTTCATCCTTGTGGCCACTGTATTGTGGAGAATAGTCGGAATTTCGAGATGCAATCATATTTGTATATGTTGATTGGAATATATACACATACGTCCACAGCATACGCTGCATGCCTAGCCTACTGCCAAGCAGTTATACAAAATTGTCCGAGAAATGAACCAAGAAACCCCCAAAACATCCCATGCCAGAAAAAAGGTATCATCCATGTATAAATGCCGTGATAGATAGGAAGAATGCGAAATGCCCTTGACTCCAGTGAAATTTCATGTGTGGACAATCGCCCGCCTGTAGATTGCGCCGTTCCTTGAAAGAGAAACCATTGCCAGAATTTGTCCATTATTGTGGGAGTCTTGTTGCCAATAGTTGATGCTTTGTCTTTGTCGTTGTCATTAAGGAGGTATCTCACCCCACCCCGTTGGAAGGGGGCTTGTTGTTGAGTCGTCAATGGCGAGAGAGCCGACTTATCATGAGGATTCACTGTGGTTGTTGTTTCGGCTACCAGTGCCTGTGCCTGTGCCGTGATGAACAACCTCTGAAGCACCGTCGCCTGTATACTCGATTTCGTCCTCGTCATCATATAGTTCGTCATCTTCCACTTCGTAGTATTCATCATCTTCAGCGAGGTCTTCTGCTTCGTCCATCTCCTCGTACTGTTCTGGCTCGTCCAGGTCGCTTTCACTTTCGTTGTCGCTTTCGTCAAAATTGAGCACGCCCATTATGGGAACCTCGATCTTCTTGTATTGACTCTTGATGAGATTGTCTGCCATATCAAATAGCTTGGTATCTTTATCCGGCTGTGTCTCGCGATCCATAGAGAACTCAGCCTCTTCACGGTCGGCAAGTTGGGTGTCGATGGAATTGTTGGGTGATTCTTGTCCCTCAGGGATCTGCTTGACCCAGCGGCGAACAACCTCGGTTTTGGCGATCTTGTTCTGATCTGTCCTGCGTTTCAATCCGTGTCGGAACTGACGTTTCTCTCTTCTCCTTCTGCGCTGGATACGGTCTCTCACATACCAAGCAACCACCAGCATAGAAGCTTGCATCATATCCTGACACTTTTGCCTATGCATGTTGGCCCAAGCCTGGCAACGCTGCTGCTGGTAGTTTGCTACAGCTTGGCACCTTTGTTGATAATAGGCGGCGATGCGAGATACCATGGCGAGATATTTAGGATCGAGGTTTGCACCAGGTATGTTAGGAATTTCAGGTGTTGTCGCACCACTAGACTGGGGAGTACTGGTAGAGCTTGGCCCTGAGCCAAGATTTGGTGACGAGGACGTTCGGGGTTGTGAAGTCGGTGGAGGAGGTGGTGCCATCATTGCGGGAGCGTTGAGACCTGCTAGGCCACTTAGAGGGTCTTGTGACGATGCTTTGCGTTTGAGGTTGTTCTGTAACGGCCTTTGGGCAGGAAGTTTAGGAAAGGACAGGCTCTCCGGCGGAGGGGTCACCGGTGTAAAGGGGTTGACAGACGACATCATAGCCGCCATAAATTGTTATTATATGGGCTGAGGCCTTGTGTATATATATGTGTAGACGATAGGCGAGTCGTTCAGGGCACTGTTCTGGGAAAGAAACGTGTGCCGGGGTCGTTGGTACTGAGCGTGATTTCCGTACAAGCAAGGGTAGTGTTCCTCTTTATATCTTTCGACAAACCGGAAATTTGAACGTGTTATTTGGCAGTTTGGTCGCGCGGTTACCGTCAGAGTAGTCGTTGATATCGGTAAAGGCCGTGTAAGTGAAGAAGTGGGTCTGTATCAGAGCGGTTGTGTTGGTGCAAGATACAGAGCGAATGTTTGAGATTGAAGTCGTTGTATATAATATAACTAACACAGTAAAGGTGCGTAAAGCGTAAGGGCGTCTTTTTTTTTCTGGCTAAGAAAAGCGCACAAAGGGGATATATAGCTAGGCCATCATCGACAGATGTGGCCGAGGGTTTGGACAGGGATCCTGGCGAAGTCGTGTGGCAGCGGATCCAGAATGGGCTGAGGCTCTCTCGAGAATCGGCCCATGCCGACCCCGCGAAGAGATATGCTTATGCCATCGCATTGCTAGCAGGACAAAGTGTACTGCACCTGGCTCCGCTTACTCGCAACTCGATGCTGTTTTGCCAGCTGGACACAGGCTGGGCTGTACCTGTCTCTGAATTGGTATTGGCATTGGTCAAGCTGGATCTGATGCTGACCTTGGATCTCATGCGTTGTCTTGTGTGCATAGTATGTTGTCGCTGTGTGTGCTGTTTTGAGCTTTACCGTGATGTATCTCGCATTGATGGTGTTGTTTTCATGTTTTGTCGTTTCTTTTCCTACATTGAATACATGCCATATATCTTTAGCCCTGTCTGATTTGATTGCTTAATCGGATGTGGTCCTGTCCTCTTGTGACGAAGCTTGTTTTTGGACATCTCTTCTTGGGTGACTTCCATGGCCATCTTGCCCTTTTGGTGTAAGATGGATCCCCCAGAAGCATGGGAAGCGAGGATAGCGGGCGGTTGCTACGTTGGTGATATTCCGTCATCTTTGAGCCCATGGCTGACCGATGCCTGCCTGAAAGAGGGTTCTGGTCTTACCGCCTGTACACCGATCAGATTGAGACAGCTACATGCATACATACACGATTGCGGTCGGGGCGTGCCCAGACCCAGACTCAGATTGGAGTGTTTGGGGACCCTCTCCAGCAACTTGGGCAGATTTGCAGGGTCTATCTGGCGTTGAGGGATGATGATGACGCTAAAATGGGACCACGAGTTGACGTTCCCACCCGTTAGTGGAGGAAGCGCTAACCCGCACTGTACCTACTGTCGCTCCTACTTCACCTGCCAGGTCTGCCTGTCTAGCCTCATCTCATCTTTAGACCTCTCCCAGGTCATGGGCATGATAATAACGTTGCTTTATGGCACCATTGGGCTCTCTCGCTTTGCACTCTAGTAGACGGCAGTTCTGTTTCTTAAAGCTGGATCGATACTTCTAAAAAGGCATCGGAACCTGTAGATCTTGGAAACACTGTCCATCGATAACAATTGGCTCCCGTCATTCGAGACTCTTCACACCTGGGCTGTTCGCTCACACGTTGTTCGCGAAGACCCGGGACCAGCGCCTGCATGGGCAGATTTCTTCCCATGTGCTGTTTGTTAGTGGGTGTTGGCGTTTGCCATCTCCGTGAAATCTCTGGAGTACCTTGTAATCCTTCAAAAGGATCGGGTCCTAGGGAGCAGGGTTCCTACTATTGCCGAACCGAACGAACGGTCTTTTCCTTAGTCGTGAAGTTGGAAGTCGAAAGACGAAATGTCCCAACGGCTTGTGAACTACCCGAATAACTTCAAACATGGATATTCATGCTGGCATACGTGCTAGAATTGTTGGTTGTACAGTGATCACCGCAAAATATTCTATATCTGCAACATATCAGATGAGGATGGGTCTACTGCATAAACTCCACGTCCCCTACTCAGACGTTCTTTTTTTTACTTTTTTTCCTTCCTCATCGATCGATACCCCATAACGCTCATGTCCGTTCTTATCCACAAGAAGCCACAGAGTGCCAAAAGGAATCAATTTATCTGCTGCAGAGACAGACTCTAACTCACCGAGGATTCTATCATTGGATGTCTACATCAATTAACTTGTTTCTATAAATTGATGCTCCATGGACGCGTCAACTTCTTTTTTTATCTCATGTTGAAAGAGTTTTGGCTGTTTCAAATCTAACACAGGACAGTTAGCTTGGACCCTTCTGACTGGTCTCTCAGCTGTGGACCGCCCTGTAATTAATTGCTAGAACTATTTTCTTTATCGTCTAATGAGCCCTGCATGTTCTTCACCACATCTCGTTGTGTCCCCTTTCGGATCTTAGCCCTGCTGTCAACAATCTGCAGCGTAGTATAGCATTAATTGTGCTTGCCTTGCTCGAGCTGCTACTTGGCCGATCCTCCGCCCAACGCAGTTACCAAATTTGGTAGGAAGCATCCATTCAGCCCACACTATCTTTGCTTGAAACACCAAACATGGTATCACCACCAACGCCACTCTAGCACAACAGCCCATCTCATTTCTATGCTCCGGCCGTATGGTGCCCCCAGTATTCGGCATCCGCCATTTGCGGCCCCTGACATCGCCATCAGCTTCAGCAGCTTCCAGGCCTGTTTCCACTTCTACTTCAATTTCTGCTTCACATACTGCGACAGCATTGGCTAGAGCTGAAGATGCAGCATTAGCTATATCTAAAGCGTCTACAGCTATCACGACTACTACCACCCCTCGCAGGTGCCGCCATACTGGTCACCCACTGTATCATGGCTTCTCAATCCGCCCATTTCCACCTCCCGCATCTCCTTGTCACCCTCTCCAAACTAGGGGTAAAAAGACCTCCACCACCATAAAGCTATCCGATTTGCCCCAGGGTCTAATTCAGCCGAAGCCCGTATCACCTAAACAAACGTCATCAGAGGCTTCATCTCCCCACGATGAGACGACAGAGTCTCTGCTGCAGCCGCTGCCGTCGTTGCACCTGGATCCTCCCGCCTACCCTACCGTGGTTCTTCAGGCTCGTCAGAACATGCTAAAGTTTGACAACTGTGTGCTATTAACAAGGGTGGGCGGTTTTTATGAGCTCTACTTTGAACATGCGGATGAATATGGGCCCTTGCTCAACATCAAGGTTGCTAACAAGAAAACAAATGCTGGTTTGGTTTCTATGGTACGTTCATTACTACCCTCCATATAGTTGTTGTCATGGCTCGACGTCTCACCATCATCGCCCGTCTTGTAGGCAGGTTTTCCTTTCTTCCAACTTGACCGGTTTCTTAAAATTCTCGTTCAAGATCTCAACCGTCATGTTGCCATTGCCGAGGAGTTTCCAAACTCCCCTTCAGCAAAGGTCAAGTCAGGTGGGCTGATGCATGATCGCCGAGTCACACGTATTGTTACTCCAGGTACTCTGATAGACGAAAACTTTATGGATCCCTACGCAAACAACTACGTGATGGCAATTCATATCGACGGAAACATTGCACCTACAGAAACTACTGCGGAAATACATAAAGACATCGGCCGAGTGTCGGCTCCAGTGGGGGAGCTTGCGGACCACAATTCCGTACCCGAGTCTGGATCAGCCCATTCAACGCCGTCAGCTGTTGGCGTTGGCCGAGATGGAGGGCAGCCTCAGGGGCTCCAAGACTCCATGCCACTCGGTCTGGCATGGCTCGATCTTTCAACCGGCCACTTCTGTACCCAACAGGCCAATCTCACATCCTTACCAGCGATCTTATCCCGACTGTCTCCGCGCGAGCTCCTTCTGGACCAGGACCTGCAGGCGTTCCCCGATCACGGCATCTTTACTCTCCTCGCTGAGGACCGTCACATCATTTCATACGCACCACCACCTCATGATTCTTCCTTGCTAAATCCGGCAGAGTGGACGCCCATGCTTGAGTCTGCCCTGTCTGGGGATGAAGCAAGTGCTTTCTCTTCCGCTGAGGTACATGCTGCCGGCTTTCTACTGGGCTATGTTAAGGATCAGTTACAGGGCGCGAGCATGAAATTGCAGCCCCCGCTGAGAAGCGAAAACGTACAGATAATGGCCATTGACAAAAACAGCCTGCGTGCTCTTGAAGTAAAGCAAACCATTCGTGATGGCGCGTTTCGAGGTAGTCTCTTGCATGCCATCCGTCGTACTGTAACCAAGAGCGGTGCTCGGCTTCTCAATGAATGGCTGAGTGCGCCTTCGACCTCCCTTGAGCTCATCACTGGTAGGCAAGACCTCGCCGCTTTATTCATTGATGACCCAAACCTCAGTGACTCAGTAATCATCTTGCTGCGGAGGAGCTATGACTCTCAGCGCCTTGTTCAGAAGTTCACTCTTGGCCGTGGTGACGCTGACGATCTTTTGGCCTTGGCCAGTACTATTGACGCGACCAAGGAGATCGTAGACCTGCTGAAGAAGGCCAATACTGCATCTCGCAAGGCCAAATCCCCCTGTTTGACTTCTATGATATCTCGAATTGACATGACCAGGCCGCTGAAGCTTGCTCAACGTATCAGGGATGCTATCGATGAGGAAGGAATTGAGTTACAGCATGAAGCTCAAGACTCCGAGGCTAGCCAGATGCTAGCTCTCGCTCAGGATGTCGCCAGCAATGAAGGATCACAGGATGATATAGCATCTCTTCCCAAAGGCAAACGAAAACGACCCGTCAGTCTTCGAGATTATTATGCTGAAGATAACGAAACCTGGATCATGAAGCCTGCTGCCAGTCCAACCTTGAAACGACTTCATGCAGACCTGGCAGCTTTGATAAAGGAAAAGTCAGAACTTAACGAGACTCTCATCGAACGCCTCAATGCTCCGACTTTATCTCTCAGATGGACGCCTGGACTCGGTCACATTGCTCACATCAGGGGCAGAGACGCACGGAATCTCGTCGATGTGCAAGCGCTTTCGTCCAGCCGTTCCACGCGATCTTTCCATATCACCGAATGGACACATCTAGGACAGCGACTCGACCAAGTTCGTGCCCAGATCCGTGCCGAAGAACAAGCTGTTTTCCACTCCCTCCGAGAACATGTCATCAAGAATCTCGTTAAGCTACGCCGTAATGCCAACGTCCTTGACGAACTCGACATCGCAACGTCCTTCGCTAAACTTGCTCAAGAGCAAAGCCTCGTTCGACCAATCTTGAACAACACGACTAGTCACATTATCGTAGGTGGGCGGCATCCCACCGTTGAAGGTGGTCTTTTTGAGCAGGGACGAAGTTTTGTGCGCAATGACTGTTTGGTTGGGTTACCTAAGGATGGTCGCGTTTGGTTCATCACAGGTCCCAATATGGCAGGCAAAAGCACGTTTCTACGCCAAAACGCTCTCATCACGATATTGGCTCAGATTGGCTGCTACGTGCCTGCGTCATACGCAGAGCTCGGGATAGTAGACGCCATATTTAGCCGCGTGGGCTCAGCCGACAACCTCTATCAAGATCAAAGCACCTTTATGGTAGAGATGCTGGAGACGGCAGCTATCCTCAAGCAGGCAACGCCCAGGTCTTTTGTCATCATGGATGAAATTGGTCGAGGTACTACACCTGAGGATGGCACAGCTGTCGCATTCGCATGCCTCCATCACCTCGCAACTGTCAATCAATGCCGCACCTTGTTTGCAACACACTTTCATTCTGTGGCAGACTTGGCTGCAGCTGAGGGGCTGTGCTCGACTGAGATGGACGAGACAGGCATTGTTCAAACGTATTGCACTGACGTAGTGGAGGATGGTCAAGGAGGCTTCTTCTACAATCACAAACTACAGAAAGGCGTCAACAGACAAAGTCACGCACTCAAAGTTGCAAGATTGGCTGGAATGCCAGATCGAGCTATTGATATGGCGAGACGGGTATTACAAGATGGACACCTGGAGGATCCAGTCAAGAGTTAAGATAATCTGAGGAAAACAGGAAGCAATACGATGCCGACAATTGCACCATCTACAATTAAGATGTCTTGAAAACTACCAAAACTAGACTTTTGATTGTTAGCTTAATGGTCTCAAAACAGCTTCGCAATTATCAAAACATGATTGTAAATGTGTCCGTCATACAATGGTATGTGTGTGTCAACAGGAGGTTTCAGGGTTAAAAAGCTCTTGAACAATTTATATAATCTTCCGGAGAGGAAAAAAAAAAAAGACGAAAGCTTTGTACGACTAACCTTTTTGGATCGGTGATATCTCTCGCTGAGGGTAGCATCAGTTGTTTCGCGAAAATCTTGTCACAGGCATGTTGAGGCGTCCAGATTGATTTGTAACCGTCGCGACAGATTCAATTGTCCAGCAGACGATCTATGTACCCCTTTTTTCAGATCCATAAGTCGTAAACCTAACCGAAGTCCTCGAAGGCAGTCGTACATCGTTAGGATGTGGCTACATTTAGTCGCTGCAAGTCTGTTAGCTTTGTTCAAATGGTTGAGGAATCGGTTCACATACAAGAGACCGCCGAAGCCCTCATCATCCTCCTCCTCCTCGGACTCGTCCTTCTTCTCCTCCTCAGCAGCGGCAGTAGCATCGCCGGAAGCGGCAGCAGCAGGAGCAGCAGAGGCGTAAGCATCAGGGTTGGCGATGCGGTCCTTGAGCTGCTCAATCTCGGGCCAGGTGACCTCAGTGACAACGGCAACAGCGAGAACCTTCTTGTAGCTGTTGACGAGGGAGTGAAGGACGGAAGGCAGGGTAGGGAAGTTCAGAGCCAGAGAGATAGTGGCAATGGTAGTGATAGCACCAGACAGGGTCTTGAGGAGCTGCTCCTCACCGACGTCGAGGACGCTGGGAGGGAAGGTCTGGCCCTGGTCGTAGACCTGAGAGATACCCATACCGTAGGTGAAGGGAGAGATGTTGAGCATGTTGAGCAGGGTGGCCTCGGAGGGACCGACCTTGGAGCCGGCCTCAACGAGCTTGAGATCAGTGGTGATTTCAATGGTACCACGGGCAATCTTGGTGGGGACACCGAGAGCCTGGAAGAAAGAGGTCTTTCCGGGCTCCATACCGGTGTTTCCAGCAGGGACCCAGACGTCGGCAGGGGCGAGAGCACCGGCACGGGCAGGAGCAGCGACCTTGTTGGCGAGGATGACATCGCGAACCTCCTTGAGGTCCTCGTTGGTGAAGACGAAACCGACGTTACCCTTGACGTGGGGAAGGAGACGCTCGTACTCGGGGGAGTCGGCGACGAAGGTCTTCAAGGCACGGCGAACCTGACAAGATTGTTAGTAATTTTCCTGTATAATTCGTCCTCCAAAATATCACGTACCATGGTGTTCTTGCCCATGAGGACAACACCCTTGCTTCGGAGAGCATGTCGGATCTCGTGCATCTGCTGAGAGCTGACATTGTCGATCTCGACGATGAAGATGGAGCTGTACTCCTCGAGCAAGCCCTTGAGCTTGTCGAAGTAAAGCGACTTGTTAGACTTGGCCCCCATATCTTCTTATTTGACTGAAGGCAGGTTGTTTAAGGCCAAGGGGTATCGTTATGGAATTTGGGGTTAATGAAGATGTTGATGGAACAAAACCTTCATTTTCCGGGCAGCATTAAGAAAATGTGTGCTTCACTGCCAGATTTCGCTTAGGGCATGGTTGCACTAGGCCGTATTGAGTTCTGTGGTGGGGTGAAAGATACATTGCAGATGTATCTTTTTTTCATGGCGCATCACATCAAAGTGGAACTTTAAGAGTCTGGTCAGAACTTTGAGCGACGATACTACTCGACATTATATCTCATTCATTTCACTGCCAGGCACTCAATTCTCTGACAGAGTGATCGCCAAATATGAAAATCCCCTATAATGTCGTCCACGTCAGTGGTGACGTTCTTTACGCTGCTCGAGGCGGCAAGATTCACTCATTCAGTCTCCAAGACGGATCTCACCTTTCGACATGGAAGCATCCCGATGTTGACAAAGTAGATGCCGCAGTGAAGGCCATCTCAGGCGGAGTCTCAAGTGAGAACGTCGCAACTCAGGACCCTGCTGTTGCCGAGGGTGATGATGACGATGGACCACCAGCCAAGCGACAAAGGACCGAAGAACCCAAGGATGAGACAACCACTGTCGAAGCAAACGCTCAGGAGGATGCGAAGAATGCAGAGGAGACAAAGCCTGAAGGGGAAAAGAAGGGAGGAAAGAAGAGCAAAGACAGGCGCAACCAGCAGCGACCAAAGGAGCATAACATCTCACGAGTGCCCGACCGTCCAGTCATTACACACATGACCAGTTCCCCTGATGGCTCTCATATTCTGGCTATTACTGGACACGACAAGGCTATTTGGGTCTTTGAGAATGGTGAAAATGGTGTTCTTAACCAACTCAGCAAACGGTAAGCTCATATTTAAGAAAGATCTAAACCCCTTATACTAATCCTTGGCAAGAACCCTGCCCAAGCGTCCTAGTGATGTAGTTATTGGCCCAGACTCGCAAATCGTGGTCGCCGACAAATTTGGAGATGTTTACTCTCTCCCTCTTATCTATGATCCTACCGCTCAAAATGTCGACCGGTCCTCAACCCCTGCGGTAGCGAAGCCTGCGTATAAGCCATCTGCCAACACCACAACTGTTCACTCCAAGCGCAACCTGCGTGCTCTTCAAGAACAGCAACGTCAAATGGAGCTTGCTACACGGAACAAGAATGAGAAAAACTCCAAATCCGAGGGCCCCGATTTTGAACTCACTCTGCTGCTTGGTCACGTCTCTATGCTCACTGCTGTTGCTATTGGCGAGAGCGAGGGGCGACGATATATCTTGACTGCTGATCGCGATGAGCATATCCGGGTGTCAAGATACATTCCTCAAGCTCATGTTATCGAGGGATTCTGTTTTGGTCACACCGAGTTCATCAGCTCCATGACCATCCCCTCATCTCGTGGCAATATTGTTGTGTCGGGTGGTGGTGATGAGGATTTGTTTGTATGGGATTGGGAAGCAAACAAGCTCTTGTCACAAATCAGCGTTTTGTCTTTGGCCCAGAAGATCTTGCCTGATACCACCAAGGTAGCCATTACTGGGCTATACAACTTGGTGTACCCTCACAAAGGTTCTGATCTCATCTACATCCTGGCCATATGTCAAGAGTAAGTTCGGTGATCCAGTCTATAAGAACTTTGTACTAACCTTGATCAGTATCCCCGCTATTTTCTCATGGCAACTCACCGAGGACAACACCCTTCATCGCCCAGCCATCATCCAGCTTCCTGGCAAGCCACTCGACCTCGCCATCAAGCCAGCTACCGGCGAAGAGTCACCCAAGATCGTCACTGCTCTCGATCCCAGTGATCCTACACAAGCAAAGAGCTTGGCAATCTACTCGCTCACTATGACTGACGAGAAGCTTGCTACAAGCACGACGGCTCTGGTGGGCGACCGCGACATCGAGAGTGCCGAGCTCGACGTAGATGAAAAGGTCGTGAGGGGTCTCTTGTACAATACTGAGAGTCTGCGAAAACAACCAACGGAACGTGAAGAGGAACGGGGTGAGGAGCAAGTACCTGAAGATCAAGTAATGGGAGAGTCAGAGGTTGTTGAGGAGTAACGAAAAGTATCTTTCCAAACGCAAACCACACAAACGACAGTGTAATACATACGCATCATAAAAAGGCTGCTTATCTATCATCAATACTATTAGACTAGATACCCAAGCCAGTGTCAAAGGGGTACAGCCGACTACCGTTAACTTGGACTTTGTCGAGCCTTGTGCAGAACCCAAAATGTACCAACGCAATTCTTGAGACCAAGAAACAGCATTCCCAATCTTATTTAGATTTAATTTCAGACCATTGGTACAACACGGCATGCCACGCAGTATTAGACATATTCAAACAACACATAGAAATTCGGGGGCAAAAGTAACAAACAAATCATCATGCTCATGGTCTACGTCTGCTACTACCAAATTCATTTGAATCGTCTAATGGCCTTAAAACGCCTCCCAATCCAGATCAAAAGCTCCTTCACTGATCTCGAAAGATATATCAGTGTCCAGATGCCCACTCAACAGCACCACTTCACATGCACCACGCTCACTACTACCAACACCATGTCATCCTCCGCTAATTTTGGTATCATTGAATGATTAAACGACTTCGCCGGCAATGGCGAACATCTAACCTCAGCTTCACTTGCCTGGTGAGGTCCATAAGCCTTCATATCTAGGCATACAAGCAGCTGACGCCGTCATGCATCGTGTATTTTCGTTGCACCCATGATGGGATTTCCTCGTCGCAAGATGTTTACTGGGAAGCGCACTGCACGCGCTCACCACCGGGGTGGCCATCCTCGTCATCGTCATCCATCATGCCGTCGGAGCCACCGAAGACTCTGCTTTGGGCAGAGTTGTCGAGGTCCTCCAGGCTGGCAGGCTCGGACATGGCATCACCAGGAGGAACGTTCTGGACAGCAGGGGCGGGGAGAACCTTTCGGAGGCTCTCGAAAACTTCGGCGTCATCGGTCCAGTTCTTCTCGGGGAACTTGACGTTGAACTTGATGTACATGTTGCCGAAGTCGTGGTGCCTGGGCGAAGGCATACCTTGGCCGCGAATCATCTTGACAGCGTCTGGGGCAAGTTAGCGGGAAGTCGTTGCATTATGTAGGGGAAATACATACCTTGAGAGATAGCCTCACCAGGAAGGATATCAACAGCCAGCCATCGGTCATCGAGGTGCTCAATGTAGATGGTACCACCAGCCAGAGCTGTAACAAGCTCGATATCGCAGTTGTAAAGCAGATCGTCTTCGCGACGGGTGAAACGAGCATGGGGCTTCTGCTCGATCTCGAAAACGACGTCGCCAGCCTGAACACCCGGTGCTTGATCACCCTCGCCTCGGAACTCGACCTTGGTGCCGCTGCGGACACCCTTGTCGACGTGGACGTGGAGAACCTTGCGGTCGACAGTGGTCTTCTTTCCGTTACACTGCTTGCAGCGGTCCTTTTCCTTGATGATCTCACCCTCGCCGTTACAGTCGGGGCAAACAGTCTGGAAGCGCTGGATCATGGGACCCATCTGGCGCATCATGGTCTTCATACCGTGGCCATCACAGCCAGTGCAGCGCTTGACAGCGCCCTCCTTTCCACCCAGGCCTTCGCACTTCGGGCAGATGATTGACCGTTGAAGAGCGAGCTTAGAGATCTTACCGCGGTAGATATCTTCCAGGGAGACCTTGTGGGTGTGGTGAATGGTTCGGGCCTTGGGGGGGCCGCGGTTCATACCGCCACCGCCAAACATGCCGCCCATGCCACCGAAACCACCACCTCCGAAGAACTGAGCAAACAAGTCCTCGGCGGCCATGCCACCACCTCCGGCACCGCCCTCGAGGCCGGCCTCACCATACTGATCGTAAACTTGTCGCTTCTGGGGATCGGAGAGGATCTCGTAGGCATGCGAGACCTCCTTGAACTTTTCCTCGGCATCGGGGTTGTGTGCGTTCTTGTCTGCGTCATGTTAGATGCATGTAGTTGAAGGCGGGAAATGACAGCTGAGAAACATACCAGGGTGGTACTTGAGGGCTCCGACCTTGTAGGCCTTCTTCAGCTCCTGCTCAGTGGCAGTAGGGGCGACCTGAATGTGTTATTTAGCAAGAATTCATGTTGCGAAAGTCGGGATAACATACACCCAGTGTGTCATAGTACTTGGTTTCCTTAACCATTTTTGCGGTTTTTGGAGTTGTTTTTTATTATCGTGTTGCAGAAGATAAGGTAAGGACTCTAGTTGAGTATTAGTAAAGCTGAGGAAAGAGCAAGCAAGATTAAATTTCGCGCGCACGCGGCAACAACGATTGGATGATGAGTAGGTTTGCGACGGGGTATTATAACTTCACTGGACAACACAGCGAAGGAGGAGAAAGATGTTTTTATATTCGTACCTTGTCCTGAAAAGCGTATCTTGGGTTTCCGACGGCGGGGCTACGCTGCGGCGAGTTTTGGCTCTCTAAAATTCGAATAAGTGGAGGGGGAGAAGGAGACGATCGATAAGAGCGCTCGGGGATACGCAGAGAGGAGAGAAAAACGAGATGTTCCCACGCAATAAGGGAAGAAGGTTGAAAAAGAAGAATGTCTTAAACAAACAACAACTTTAGTTAGGCGTAGGGATTGTGTTGGAGCAGACGGGTTTTGAGAAAGAAAGGGAGGCTGCAGCACAAAGCCGAACAAGTTGCGCCTCATGGAATGGTGTGGAAGAATGTCGATTCTGTGGCGGTGCTGATAATGCACGACCTTGTGCTTAGTGCAACAGATTTGACGCTTAGGAGGAATCAGGCTTCAGTTGAAAACGTGGTGACGCAGCATGGAACCGGTTGAAAAGCTCGGGAATTATTTTTTGTTTCTATTTTCTTCCTCGTGACTCTTTCTCGGCTCGTTAGGCTTTTTCCAGGTGTTTCTATACTCACAACAGCCCATTCTAGAGCTTCAGTAAGCCCTGTCGCTTACACCATCTGCGATAACCAAACAATCCCAAAATGCGTCATAACAAGGCTATGCGAGTACCTCACTAACAGACAGTCCCTGTAAAACGCCCCTGGGACCCCGAATTATCCCCCCTTCCAAATGGATGGTCGGATCCTTGCGGCTACAACAGTGGCCACAATGCCACCTAAAAGTTCGAATTAGCCCAGGCCAGGTTGGGCCTTCGATTTTTTTCTCTCCAGCCGCAGGGTCCGATTCAGGACCCCACAGAACCCGATGATGGTGCCTGGGCGGGGCCATCTCACTGATTCGTTCACTTTTTGCCTCCTTGAAAAACTTAGTCTAGGCTGTCTGGGGGATTGGATGTCTAAACTTGGGCTACAGAAAACAAGCATCCTAAGAGCGGGTCGAAGATGGTATAGAGTGACTATATTATTTTGTCTTCATGATAACTAGTATCCTCCGACTCTATTTTATGTGTATTTTCGTGAACATACTCCAGCTAGTGAGCTTTTTACTGCTTTTAATAACAACGCTCAGAGTAGTACTTTCTACACGCCGTTTATATCCGAGGTGAGTGGAAGGTAAACTTTATCCCTTTCCTTCCATGCACGAGAAGGAAAGTCCACCATCTCGGATCTAGGGTATCTTAACAGCCACCATGACAAACAGGCTGCGAGTTGCAACAGTGAAAACATGCTCGGTTTTTTCAAACTTCCAAAATACCATATAGAATGTGTTAAATTAGGCACTAAGTTATGTCGAAAGTTTGCGGTTTACCGCTATCTTAAGGTAGTTAGTAGTTACACACTGCTAGATGTGCTTACACTTTCGCGGATGAGAATCATGAAAAACAACTGACGTGATTGGCCCATAAACCAAAGTTCATTCAATCCCGGTCTTACAGCACAGCAACCCTTCTCCAGCAATACCATCAAAGAGGTCTCACTGCATGCCAGCCTTTTGACCATCAATGATCCATCGATTCTTTACTAACGAGAAGCGCGCATCTGTGACTATTGTGCCTGGACCAATATAACTTTTGAATCCATCACTTGAATCTTACATTGTCTCTCATCCTCACGATTACCCAAGACCTGCTTACATACTCTAATCTCACTTCAATGAGAAACCATACACTTCCTCGCCATGAGTGAGACAACAAAGATCAAGAAGGGCAAAGCGTCAGCCAAACGCAACAGCGAAGCACGCCGTGAACAAAATCGTCTCGCCAGCCGGAACTACCGTGTGTATATCTATGCTGACATGTTTGTGGTTGGCTGATGATCTTGATCTTGCTGACGCCATCATCTGTATCTTAGGAGAGAAGCGGAAACAGAAACTAGCGCTGTTGAATGAGCTTCTCGAGCCAAGTAGCATAGCTAGTGATGTTATCGATAATGCTCAAATCAATCCCTCTCAGGGACTGAACGGTCCCAGTGACCTGCCTGATACCCAGCTGCAAGACCAAGCATTGCCAAAGCTACTTCAACCTGAATCGGCATCTATCAACCAAAGCATGGGAAGTTTTGACGATACTATACCATATAATGTACCACGTATGTGGGGAGATTTATCTCAAGAAAGTGTGCTACCGACTCTCTCACCAAGGTAACCCTAACATCCTACCATTGACCAACTTGGATGGTATTTTCAGCCACGCAAACCAAGACCCCTGGAGCCATCATATGTTGGGTTTACCATTCCAATTCCAAGATGTATCGAAAACGACTCATGTAGATCCAAGGTTGGTAGAAGAGGTCTTTGAGGGAAGTCCAGAATCAGAGCTCAGCTCCTCCCAAGCATCGTCCAGCAACGACAGCAATGACCAGGCCCTCAACAATGTCCTAAGTGGTGTAGAAAATCTCACAATAGAACAAAAGCGCACCCTCCTTCGACGTCTACAGAAGGATACCCAGAGCCCAGCCACAGAAACTCATATCCCTTGGCATCAAACAAAACCTCCAACTCCAGGTCAGCTGCGAGCCGTTCAATTCGCGAAAGCGCTATACAAAACGGCACATGCTAGACCAGAGCTTCTTCCAACGCAATATAACATGGAGACAGGTATATTTGGGGCAATGTTCGCAAATTGCTATGCTCTTGGCATGGCAGGTGTGGATGACATACTCTGTGAAGAGGGATGCAGTGTGTTTTCTGTTACGCAGGATGAAGGGCACCATATGTCACAATTGCATATCGTGAAGTCCAAATTTCGAGCTCTTTCTCCTGATCTCAGACCGATTGATAAACAACTGATCGTCGGGCACCATCCTTATGTTGTATGTTTGCTGAGTAACGTCATGCACATAGCACTGACAGAATTAGGATGTCATTCCATTCAAGACTTTCCGGGAGAATCTCATTAGAGCTCTGGAAAACGACCCTCCTATCATCGACGAGGGTGTCCTATGTCATGATATACTTAGTGGCGGCTTCACATGCTGGGGCGCTGGGCGAAATCCGCATGGCATGGGCGCAGGTGTACCATGGGACTCCCGGAGTTGGGAACCCAGCGTATGGTTCTTGATGAAATATCGACAGCTAGCTGGAGACTGGGATGGAGAGCTGTGGAAAAGTGCTAGATGGTGGCATAGTGCCCGAGGAGAGAGAATGCAAACGGCACAGGTTGTGAACAATGTAAATGCATCTGAAAGGACAGCGAGACGGTAGAGGCGCAATTTCAATAGCTACTAGTAAATCACAAATGCGATTTCAACGGAAGTGTTGTAAATACGAGTAAGGATTTGGTATCACTAAGAATGCTTAGCCAAACAATCCCTGGCATCCAAAAGAACCTGACTGCCGGGCCAGCTCTGAAAAAAATAAATTACAAGAAAACCAAGGCACACGCGGCAGGGCGGTTTTCATCACGCCCTTTCTACACCAAGCATAGTTTCCTTCTTTGTCGTTCCGTCAAGCTCAAATGATAGGCCGCGTCGATGCTCGCTTCGCTTTCTCCAACAGGCTATGCATAATGAAAACAAATAATGCGCACGTACTTCAAACAACTATCCTTAAAAGGCGTCCTCGAAAGGGCAGTCGACGCTGTCATGACCATCGCGTTCGCAGAGGGCGCACCACTTATCGGGGTCCATGACACCGCTCTCCTTGCCGGCAACGGGACCTGAATCCATAGGGTTGGGCATGATCTTGACGGCTGGCGAAGGAGGGTCATCCTTCTTGGGCCCCAAAGTTGTGAGAGGCGCAGGTGCGTCCTCGCCGGTTGGGGGTGGAGTATATGGTATGAATCCATTGTTGATGTCCTTCTCAACTGTCTTGTTCTCACCGTTGCTCTTGGCACCGTCAGGGCCAAACATGTTGGTGCATGTGAGGATATCGTGACCGCTAGTCTCGCAAATCTCACACCAAAGAGTGCTGGTCTCAGTAGCGTTGGAGTAATCGTCGCTTTCTGGCATGGTATCAAGGGTGCTGACCCGCTTGTGTGTAGGAGCACTGAACCGCTTGATGCTCTCAACCGGCCTGTTTTCCAATGCCTGTGACATTACAACGGTGTCCCGGGAGTCTCTGAAAGAGGATCGGTTGGCCGTGGTACCGTTGGTTGTGGTACCGTTGGCTGTGGTACCGTTGGCTGTGGTACCGTTGGCTGTGGTACCGTTTTGACGGAGTGACTCCACCTCCTTCTCGAGTTCGTCCTCGCGGCTGTTCTTCTTTTCGAGGATAGACTGAAGCTCAGCGACCTGTCGCTCCAGATTGTCGCGTGCAATCTTAATGGCCACCACGTCTTCAGAAATCATAGAACCAGGCCGCTGCTGAGGAGGCCTGGGCTCTCCGGGAACAGAGTCTCGACTGAGGGAGTGAATGATGGCTTTGAGACCTCTAATCTCATCGTCCTTCTGCTCAAGCTCCTTGGAGGAAACTCCATTATCACCGTTTGCAGGTGGCATCGAAGCCTTTTCGCGCTCACGGCGCAACTCTGTCCTTGTTCGTTCTACCTCTCCACGGAGGAATTCGACTTCGCCTCGGGCTTCTGCTTCTCCTCGGCGAGCGTCCTCCAGACCTTCCTCGAGCTCCTGAACCAGTTCCTCTAGTTGCTTAAGTTGAGTCGCCACTGAGTCGACGTCTAGGTTCCGCGACTCGAGTTCTCGAACGTCACTCATTAACTCTTCTATCCTCTTCTCATACACTCGCTCTGTCTCGGTGCTAGCAAGCTCCAGTGTGTCAATAGTGCTCCGGAAGTCTGCCCGATGAGCGTCAAACTCTGCTGTGAGCATGGCGATCTTGTCGTTCTTCTCTCTCAACAGCTGACGAAGCTGTGCTGTATCCTTGTTATCCCAACTGTTGCCCTGCGCATCGGGCATATCTGCTGATTCCATGAGACTTTGTAGTTCTACCAAGCTGCTCTCCATGTCAGCCAAGGTGGCGGATTGCTCTCTAAGTTGTCGATCCCGATCCTCAATCTGCAATCTCAGGCGTTCAATTTCCTCGTCGTTCATATTCATACGGGAAGCTGGTCGGATCTTCATAGCGAACGATGAGACAGATCCAGCGCTGCCGTTAGTGCCAGTCCGCTGTAATCCCATGGGTGGTACATCCTCTTCTATACCTGTGATTGGGCCCATGGCTGAGGCGCTTCGTGGTGCGAGACTAGGCTTGCGATCCAATCGATTTGGCCTCTTGCTTGGGTCACCAGACGTCCCACGAACGCTCTGAGCGAAGCGGTTTTGTGTCGGGCTTCCATATCTAGAAGGAGTTCTACCTGGTGTTGTCATGGAAGGTCGGGGTCCAGGTGTCATCTGCATGCGACGAACAGGAGACTCGGGTCGGGGAAGAGAAACCCTCGTTTTCTTTCCTTGAGGACTAGGAGCTCGGGCACCAGGTCCAACGGAAGCACTGAACTTTGGAAGGCTTGGAGTCGGGGAAGTGCAGTTAAGCGAGTTTTGGTTGCCAGCTCGAAGACCACCATACGTGCTTGCACTAGGTGTGAAGGGGAATGATGGGATCGGTTCGTTGCTGCGAGGGAGAGCCTTGGCTGCAGGCAAGAAGATGCCAGCACCGGGGATATCTGTTTGAAAATACGATACACTTTCATGTGTTAGTCTTTTTGAAACTCCAAGGAGAAGGTTGAGTCCTTACCCGTCAACATCGCCGTCGTTTTTGCCCCGATTAGCAAATTCCTCGTCAAGCTCAACGCCGGCAAAAACACCCTTTTTGCCTTGGACAGGACCAACAAATCGCACAACGCCATACATCCCACCAGGAACATCAACGATGTCCCCGAGCGAAACGTTAGCAGACTGCGAACGGCCGGGCGTCGTAGGAGGCATCATGTTTACAGATGAGTCGCTCAGGACAGTATTAAAGGCGTAACTCTCTGAAACATCGGGTATGCTGGCCAGTGAGCTCTGCGTGAGCTGGGCAAAGGAAGCTTTGCGCGGCAGAGGCGGTAGAGGGGGCGCGCCGCGCGAATGTGTAGTATATGCGGACTTAAGATTAGGAGTCGAAACGATGTTGTGAGATCTCCGGAGAGCGCGCGACGAGCTCTTGGGACGTAATTTCGGAGTAGTTGATCTGGAAGGAAAGGTAGATGTTGTTGTTGATGTAGCAGAAGGCATCTTGGGAGGCGTCGAGGCCCAGTCGGGGCCCTTATTTCGCTGTGCTGGGGTTCTCAGTAGAAGTGTCTCACTCCATTTGTTTACACCCAAATAAAAGTGGGACAGCCTTGTTCTCGGGGAGACCAGGACTAAGACCGGTACCAGTTCACCAATTACCAGCTTATAAGCTTGTATTTGGCTAGGATTGCTACCTGGTAACAACTTTTTTAGTTCCCGCCCGTTCAGGTGCCGATGGCTTTGGGCTTTTGGGCTTTGGCTTTTTTGTTTTAGCGGCTTAAAGCACGGCCAATGTGTGTATTGATCAAATGATGATCTGATTGTTGAGGGTTTGGGAGGATAATGATCAATGGTAGTTGATTTCGAGGCGGTCGGTCAGAAAGGCGGCTTTGCTCTGTTCTGTTCTCCCCTGTATCGACAAAAGGGTCGCTTCCCAACGTTATGCTATTTATATCGGAGAAATTTGGCGACGGAAGAAATGAGATTGACGTCGTGTCGTGTCGCAGGTAAGAGATAGGTGGGGATGAAAAGAGATGAGAGATAAGTTAACGAGAGCAAGATAGTAATATTCGAATAAAAGAAGAGATGAGGAACAAAGGGGAGTTGCTATGAATAGATGGAAGTGGATGAACGTATATAGTAACTAAGTGCTGAAATGTAAACAATCGAAAACAGCTCGGTTATGCAGCTGCAGTTGCAGATGGATATGCAGCTCAGAGTGGAGTGAAGCTATTGATGTAGCTACTTGCTTGCTTGCTTGTTATTGTCAAAGAAAGGACAGGACTGGTAATTCACCCAATCTAGGAATCAAGCGAACGGGTCTAGTTCAACAAGTGAGACAAGTTCAAGCAGTCAGGGTTCTTCTTTCCTTCTCTCTTTCTTTTTTGACCCTCTTCTATCCATACAATTGTTCAAAGCGTCGACAGTCCCAGTTTTGGTCTGCTGTCACCGCTTCGACGCAACCCTCGCTCTGATCTGAGGGACCCTGGCCAGGAGACGACGCAGGGGATGATAACAGGGCGACAAGAAACCGGGGAAGTATGAGCGTTACAAGGTTGATGCCCGTATTCTTCTGTGATTGTCATGAAACTTGATATGCCGTGTGATGAATGGCCTGGTATGGATGCAATGTGACGAAATTATTACTGCAGGCTATGCAGAGACAGGAGACGGAATTGACCGGTGAAAGATTAAGGAACAAAGGAGCCGTTAAAATGTCAGATATAAAGTCAAAGGGGAAAAAGTAAAAACAAAGAAAACCGTCGACTCTCTTTTCTGATGTAATGCCTTACGTCAAACCCTATCATGACCTGACGTGGCGAGCCTTCCCGCTCAGTAAGAGATGGAATAAACAATTCAGTCAATCTAGCAGAGATAAAAGCAATTACTTTGCTGGTCTATTTTTGCATCGCAGACGTTGATCTCGTGGCTTCTCTCATCATCATGTCTTTTTACCTGTTGTCATGATACACCATCATTTGTTTACATGCAACTAAAGCTTTTGTAACCACGGCATCGTCCCGCTGCCATGCATAGGTCCGCGCTGCATCAAGCATTAGACTCTTTGACCACCAATAGTAGACCATAACCCTCCAATGCCATCTACAGTCTCCGCAATGACAGGCGTATTTAGTCTTGTTGAGGCGTCTCATTCGCTCCTGCATGCAGCCCATCCAGACACAGCCCAACCCCGCGCAGGATTTCCCTGTATCAGCTTGATATCCATCCATATCGGGTTGTCATGGACGATTGGGTTTAAAGCATCGGCCGTTCATTACTATAACCGCCTTCTCTTGAACCATATGAGGGGTTTCTATAGCTCATCTTTCGTCATCATATAAACGGGTCCATAGGAAATATTTATCCTGACCTTCCTCCTTGTATCTCAATGGCTCGATAAGCTCATCGGCCATGATGGCTTGCGCCCATAGCCGCTTCTACATCCACAACGTTGCACCAAGCATGATATAGTAGGCAAACAGTTTGAACCCCGAAAGCAATTTTCTTCTGGTCCATAGGTCATACATCATACAAAAGTGACCCTTCAATCGCATACTTACCCAAGCATTTCCTGAAGCGCAGACAAAACTACGATAAGTTGATCACAGGGTATCCAAACCTTAAACCTGGAAGAAAAATATTATCAAGGCAAGCAAAAACATTCAAAGCTTCCTTCAAGATCATGTCAAAATGAAAAGAAATGTGGCAAATATCTCCATAATCATGGGTTCCTATAGCGGGATTTTATTAATCAACAGGAAAGCGCAAAATGCAAATTGCGACAATGCGGATGTGCTTCAACACCAGTAATGACATGCAAGCTTCTCCAACCAAGGACTCAAGTCCTTCCTCTCTCGTTCCCATATACCTAACAATAATTATAACAAAATGGTGACACGTATTGAATACAGCTCCTTCTCTTTCTCCCTCCTCTCATCGACTTGTGCGCATGAGTCTGTAGAATTGATCCTACTGGGTTCCGTTCACTGGCACAGTCTCTGAGGGGCTAGGTGGCGCAGGCTGCTTTCGAAGTGTCAGGGGAAAGGGGTACTCTTCAGGGTCTTCTTCCTCACTGCGGATGTTGTTAGCAAGGTTCGCAGATAAATCGCATCCATTGGTACTTACGGAAGCTTCCAGGCAACATAGTCCTCGGTGTTCAGGCCCTCGCGGCCTTCTTGTAGACTAGCAAAGTCTCCAGGCGTCATCATGCCAGTGCGGTCCCGTGGCGAGCCAGGAACGGAGAAGGGTCGAGAAATCTTCTGCTCGACGCCAGGAATGAAATCCTCCTCCTCTTCATCGCCGACGAAAGAGTTAGGGTAGGCACGGCGAAGAGCCAGTTGGCGAGCCTTGACATACTCCATACCCATTCGCTTCCAGTCGAGAAGATCACTAAGACGCTCGGTTCGGTTTCGCTGGTTGATGCGCTGACGTCGGCTCTTTCCACAGAAGTCGTACATGAATGAAGTGAGCTGGTTGACTGAATCATCAACACCCTTGGTTCGTCGGTCCACAATGTAGATACCATAGTCGCTCGAGTTCTCAATAAGCTCCTCCATGTAGCATCCGAAACCGGAAAGGTTGGTGGTGATGCTGGGCACACCCATGACGGTGCACTCGGCGGGGGTGTAACCCCAAGGCTCATAGTAGGAAGAGAAGACGCCCAGATGGCAACCTCGAACAAAGTCGTCGTAGTCAAGAGGAAGGACCGGGTTGGCGGAATTGAGGAACTCAGGGTGGAATATAACCTTGACGCGATCGGTGGGGTGGTTGAAAAGCTGCACACGGCGGATCTGGTTCAGAACAGGGTCCTCATGATCGTTGAGCATATTATGGGTGACAATTGGAGGAAGTCCGTGGCGCTTCATGGCGAAGAGGCGACGACGAAGCAGGACTCTGTCCTGGGCAGAGATGAGTTCCTTCTCATCGGGGAGAGGGTCACCCTCGTGCCACTTGAGGGAGCGTTCAAAGAGTCGACGCCCAATACTCTGTTCGATGACGTGTGTGGTATCGCGCAGGGACTTGATAACTGCCTGGCCCTTGAGCGCCTCGACGGTGAGCGAGGTGGTCTGAGCAGGCATGATGATGAAGGCCACAACTGTGATCTTGCTGCCAGCGGCCTTGAGACGGTGGTTCAATCGTGCCAAAGACTCGATGAACATGTCGACGCCCTTATTCCTGAACTCGTAACGACCAGCAGTGAAGAGATACAATGTGTTATCGACATCAAAGTCGTAGTGGCCATAGAAATGTCCGCGGACAAAGTCGTGAATCTTCTCCTTTGCCTGCTGGTGCAGGTTCTGGAATTCGTGCACAGCAGAGAACTTTGTGACGTTGAGGCCGTTGGGCAGAACACCATCGGGCTTTCGCTTCAGAAGATGCTCTGACTCGAAAGCTGTGATGTGAGAAACAGTGGTGAAAACATCGCAAGCATGTGCGGCAGCTCGCTCAATACAGTATCTGTGGTAGATACCACGCTTGCCAGCTTCAGCATCGACATCGAACCACTGTAGGTTGTTGTAAAAGTCCACGGAGCCGGCGCAAAGGTATCGGCCGAGAAGAGTAGCGTGTGTGGTAAAGATCGTCGTGACATCGATGCGGCGTCTCTTGCAGAGGGGCAGAGCAACGCCAGCAAGCCACTCGTGGAAGTGAGCAATAACAGCCTTCTTTTTCTCGTGGCAGACGAACTACGGAATTAAAGTTAGCAGATCCGATACAAAAGTGGGAAAGTCAAGGGGTCCTTACCTCGCCCAGGAACCAGGCAACAAGATAACCGAAAACGATGGCTTCATTGGTCTCATCGTCGCCGGGTGGGGAGGGAATGCTTGCGGCTTCCCACAAATCGGACTTCCACTCATCCATACGGCCATAGGCGGTCTTGGTGTCGATGAGAATAACCCTAGGAGCTCCCTCGATCAACCAGCGTCCATAGACAATATGAACTCCTCTGTCTCTCATGGACTGTATGGTAGCAGCAATCTCTGGGCTAGTGGGCTCCATCTCTTCCACTTCGACAGCGGCCTATTGAGGTCAGTACACACAACTCATGAAACTTTCAAAACTAAGAGCGTACCGATTGGTGGTTGAGAGGACCGATGAGCGTATAGCGTTCGCCATATTCAGCTGTTGTTACAGGAGCCTTGGACTTGATGACAGAGTAGATACCACCGACTGTGTCGCATTCAAGTTAGCATGTGAAGGTTGGCAAGAGGCCACAAAGCAACAATTGTTGCAATTGACTCACCTCGATGAGCTACTTCAGTAGCAATCTCAAAGAGAAGGTGGTTCTTGATGTCGCGAGTCTGCTCGCCTCCGGAACTCATCTTGACGTGAATGTCGCAAGACGATGGGGAGGGAGTGGATTGCGGAGGGGAATTTTGTCGAGCGGGATGATCTGATGAGTTGTCGACAAGCGGGGGAGGTCGCGTAGAAGACGAGCAAATGCGGCGCAAGGTCCACAGGAGCTGGAGAGCAAAGCGGCAGAGAAAATATGTATGGAAAGGGAGAAAGAAGCTGTAGCGATAGCCCGCGAAACCGATAGAAAAGATTTCTCGGGAGTAGCGAAGCGTGGCTGGGAGGGATCGGTCGAAGCGAGAGGGACGGGATTAAATCGAGATGGTGTGGTCTCGATGTTGCGTCACTGTGCCGCGTTGAGCACGAACCTAACCTAAGAGATGGATCTACAGGCAATAGACAAATGGTGAGCAGGGGGCCTTGCGCAGGGAGGGGAGGGCTCCATTCGGAGATGGATGGAGATGTGATATGTAGTAGGCACTACATAGTATATGCCCATGGGGAGCGGAGTAAAGCACTAACCTAGCAGTATATAAAACTAGCACGATGCCCGAATGGATCTCAGGTCCTGGCGGTGGTGATTTGCTAGGGGTAGAGAAGATAGAGAGGAGAAAAGAGCGAGGAAAGAAAAGAGTTTTGAGAGGGAAAAGGCCTCAATAAGAAGAAGAAAGTGGCCAATACTAAAGAGAATTATGCACAAGACGTTGAGTTAAATGAAGATGGTGTATTAATGTACTCGACAGGTACCTTGAGTGCTGTGCGCCGTGATATGATCCAGTGTTGACGCCCGTTGTGGTACAGCTTCAGCTCGTATACTTTTCCCGCACTAGCGACCAAAGCTTGGGTGGGGTTCGGGGGGGATGTCGGGGCCCCAAGCTCCTAGCAACGGCGCCTAAACAACGCCAACCTAAAGGCCCGCCCGTGCTACAGTACATAAGCCCAAACATCTGTGGAATCCAGGGCAAATTCGCCCATCTGGGTAGTATCCGCTCTCTTGGCTTTCAGGACAGGGGACCAGGGCCAACGTTTCTCAGAGAGACAATCTAGGTTAATGCTTGTAGCTACCGATTTAAGCAGAGGATCAGTGCTCAATAGCAGCCAAAACTTCAGATGATGCGCGAATTCAAGATTCAAATGTGACTAGCCAATCTGAATGAGGTCAGCCCAGGTCATGCAAAATTTTCTACGTTGTTGAACCTCTTCAACCCGGTGGTTGCTTCAAGGGTCATGACTTTTTTATCTCTCATGGGCTGTCAGCATATTCTAAACTCAATCAAGATTAACCACGCAGAAAACGGACCAGTCCACACGCCACAAACTTGAGATCAAGAGGAATAGCTCCTTACAAATTCAGCGCCACTCCGGTCAAAGAGCCGAGGCCGGCCCATGATCAAGCTGTTTCACTGCCATTTCAAGGTCTCGATGCTACGCCATTATGAGATAGAGTCGCTTTGTTGAGGAGCTTGAGGGTTTTTACCCTTCCCTTTTGGCCTATCCTATCCATTGTTTAGCTTATACGCCTCGACGTTTCTCCTCAACGGCATGCGCGAGTCTCCCACCATTGGATATGCGGGCCAGACGGGGCTGGACTGTCAGGATAGCACAAACTTTTCACTACTGTAGGACCAAAAGAGACATTTTTATTTTAATTTTTTGTCTGCATTTTGTATGGTCAGACGCAGGTCTGGCACTTCTTGGGGGTGTCGAGATGAGGTCATGGAATGCGGGGAAATGCCAGTGATCAACATGTTAATGAGCTCCTTTTAACTTCCCCAAGCCCAGTTTCAACTCCTTTTACTGCTCATCTTATTAGAATAAAGACATCATGTAGACATTGGTGCTTACGATGCTGTACTAACTTGTACTGTAACCTGTTTTCTCATGTCAATGGCCCACAATGGCAAACTTCTGGTTCTCAGGTCTTGAATTTCCCTGCATCACGATGTCGATATCCGGGTATACGGACCTGCTTCGCATCTGATGCATTTTTACAAGCAGGTATCGATTTGAGGCCACTTATGACGAAAGAAAATTTAACAAAAAAAATAAATAAATCATATTAGCAACGGTATATGTTCTACCGAGACCCCGAGCCATGACGACCATGCCCGAATAGCTCACTTATTCCTCCCGTTGTCTCTCCTTCGAAACATATAAGATGAGCTCCCACGTCTACGGAATTTACAAGAATGTATCTACTGCAAGTGCTCTGCCAACACGCCTCCCCCAACTTCGATTGAGACATATTTCTAATGTACTATAATTCCAAGTATACAATGCGTCAAATGCCATAGCAACATGAAAAGGGGATTGTCATTTCCGCTTGACAACAAACTCGTAACATGAGATGTTGGGCTTCAAATAACAATACCCCAAAAGCCAAGCGTCATCAATGTTTCTTACAAAGGAACAAGACACGGGATAATTCCTTGATTTCCTTGGATGTGAGAGATTCGATTCTAGCTGATGGTTTGGAAGTCATCTTAGGAATGACTACGCTTGTTCAAACAAGATCCTGCCCCAATTTAATTCCGCCAGGGAGATCTATAAGGGCGATCTTGACGGGGACTAATTCACGATCAAGAATTACGACCTCGCTAGACGTGCCAAGGTAGCACGTGGTCCAAGAGATAACCGTCCAAGGAGAACTCACTAAGATAACAAAAGCCTTGACAATCTAATCATTAGACAAAGTTTGACTAAGACGCCTTACCCTATTGTTTTCTCTTCTCACCCCTACTGGACTTAGAAACCATGTCAATAAGCTATGCGTGCAGCCTGGATTCTTTTGGAGACAATAGATATTGACGAGTTCTAGGCAGCAAAAAATGTTCGACTGTAACTCGTGGCTTGTAATGACAATGTTTAGAGCCGCTAGGGTTAAGCAGAATAGAGATAAAAATCCATTAAATCAACAATTTATAGTGTGGAAAAATACATCTATTCGTATTAAAAATAGGCATATGTGCTGAGTATAGCATCTTATGCATTGGTGACAACAAAGTGACCTGCAGCAATGTCTCAATAAATTGCCTACTTCGCAAGATAGAGGTTGTGAGAGCTTACAGCCTCGCTTATTTTTATTGGGTGGCTTTAGCGTCTGCTTTCCGTAGTGGGGCCGCTCCGATGCAAGGCTGCGAAAATTTCCAAAATTTTCTAGATTTCGCTAAGATCTTTGCGCATCGCTTTGCTACTGACATATTTGCACCGAAAAGCTAGACAAATACACAAGGCTCAATCGCCTTAAAAACTAGTAGTGCTTACTCGGCTCTGCATTATTTCGTCTAATCCACCGGTCAGCTCGCCAGGTTCAGCCTGATAACTACGCAAACATGGGAGACGCTACACAGGTGAAGGTCGTCTTCACCACTACTGAGCAAGACTTGGTGCTCCCCGAGTCTAAGCAACAGCTACTCGTTCCTGCAGGTTAGTGAACCCCAGCAACCGCTTGATGTTTTGACTTGAATTGTTGACATATTACAGATATCAAGCGATATGGCCTCTCTCGCATTCTTAACTCCGAGTCTATGCTCGACACCTCCTCTCCCGTTCCCCTCGACTTCCTCGCCAACGGCACATTCCTCCGCACGTCTATCGAAGAGTTCCTCGCGACCAACGGTCTCTCTTCTGAATCTACTCTGACTCTGCAGTACGTCCGAAGTCTGCTACCTCCGGTCTACGAGGCGAGCTTCGAGCACGACGACTGGGTTAGCGGCGTTGATGTTCTTTCAGCAACCTCGCGGACAGGTCTTTTGGCTGGCGGCGCAAACATCCCCGAACGAGTGGCTAGTTCTTCTTACGATGGTCTGGTGAGAATTTGGAACCCTTCGGGTGACGCGATCGCAGTGTCCCCAGCTGGCCGAGCTGGTGGTCACACTCAGCGAGCCAATGCCGTCAAGTGGATTTCGCAAAAGCAGCTCGCATCGGCTGGTTTGGATCGCAAGGTTATTGTCTGGGACTACAGTGAGTCCGATGATGGCTTCTCTGGTAGTCTCAAGCCCAGCATGGAGCTCTGGGGTCATGAGAAGGATATCAACAGCCTCGACGTAAACGGTGCCACCAGTCGTATTCTCACAGCCTCCTCTGATGGCAAGGTCGGTCTCTGGACATCATCAAAACGTACAGCTCCCCAGGCCGATCCTGAGAGTCTTCCCTCTGCGCATAGCACCAAGCGAGCTAAGCTGGCGAGTGCCGCCAACACTGCTCAGCGTGGTCCTCTCGCGCTGATTCCTGTCCACGACGAGCCTGTTACTGCTGCCATCTTCCACCCCAACGATGCGACAGTCGCCTACTCGGCATCAAAAGATCACACTGTTCGTACCATTGATTTGACAACGCAGCGTGAGGTTAGCAGACTCACCACAATGCACCCACTTCTCTGCGCAACGGCGCTTCCGGGATCTTCGCTCATCGCCGCCGGTTCGTCGGCCCGACACATTACTCTTCTTGACCCTCGCGAGTCAGCCACTACCACTTCAGCCATGACTTTGCGCGGTCACGTCAACATGGTTGTTTCCCTGTTCGCTTCCCCCGAGAACGACCACTCGCTTGTCTCTGGTTCACACGACAGCACATGCCGCGTATGGGATCTGCGAAGCACGAGAATGGGTACCTCGGACGAAGGCGGCGGTAGCGTCACTGAGCCTGTATACACCATCGGCCGTGAGTGGCTCAAGGGCAAGAAGCTTCCTCCCGCTGGTGATGGAGCCAAGGTTTTGAGCGTATCCTGGGATAAGACTTGGGGTATTGTGAGCGGTGGTGAGGATAAGAAGGTCCAGATCAACCGGGGACGGGGCCTATTTGGCTCAACATCGTAACCATAGTGTATTGGGTAATATAGATAGGGATTGAAAAGCGTTTGTTGATCATATATTGGATGTTGTCATTGCTATGTACAAGTGCGTGAAGTCCACGTTGGAATAGTGACCCATCGTTGTTTCGCTTGAATGTGGTCTCATTGAAAGCGTACGAACACAAGCTGGATTCGAACACGAACTGACAATCGAGATGATACAGTACTTGTTTCCAATTTCGATCTAGCCAGGTCTCCGATAGGTGTACTCGGTACATTCTTGTATATTTGCATATATCAGAAATTCTATAATTCCTCTTCGGACTCTTGAGTAGCTTCCACCAATGCTCGAAACCTATTTGCCAACCGTGCCTGGGGAGAAAGGTGTGCCAACACCTCTTCCCTAAGTCTCGTCTTATCGTATGGCAACTGTTCACCGATAATGACGTCTAGAATATAGGTCACGACAGTATTGGTCTTGAGAGGAGGGGTCCGCAAAAGAGCTGCAATGGATTCTGGTGTAAGGCCTTTGTTGTCGTGCCAGAGGAAGTAAGTACGCAGAGAACTCATTGGGACTCTCATAACATGCGCCTCGTTGCGGTATTGTATTGCGTGGTCTTCGGCGATGATTATACGAAAATCTCTCGTGTCCACTGCCTTAGTCTCTTCTGGTGTAGTCTTCGTTGTTCTTGATTTCGTTTTTTTGGTCGTTGATGTCGTAGGGCGTTGTGTACGCTCGGCTTCCAATCCACTCAGTTCAGCTTCGACGCCAGAAATTGCCTCGGAATCGCTAGACTCCGAAGTATCGTCACTTTCATCAACATCATCAGCTACCAAGAATTTGATAGGTAAGCCCTTCTCGACAAACTCAGGCCGAGGGGGAGTTGGCTGCAGTTTCAAACGTTCCTGCTCCAGGACATGGTACAATTGCAGACCAACATATGCGTCTGAAGCCGAGTCTGGTCAAAGTAGTTAGCCGCTGTGTTAGACTGAGAATGTAAGGTTTGACTTACATGATATTTGGCGTTCTGATAGACGTAACATCCAGTTGCTTGATCGCACGTCGTCTCCCTTGAATAGCGGGAGGCCTAGAACTTCTTGTGTCTGTGCAGCAAGATTCACCATAACCTTGTTGATCCTCTTCAGCTCTCCGGACTTGGAGTATTTAACAAGCCTGAAAAGATGGGACAGCTCGAGAACTCCCTTGCTCTCTACACCAAGATTGTTCTTTAGTCTTGTACAATCACCCTTGATCGCCACGCCCACTTTGGTCACGCTCTCGTCTTCCATGATCTTCTTAAAGGTAGGAGCGACAAAGTCATCTTTGGGGTAGAGAGCAACATGGAACAATGCAATGCGGCTCGGACTGGCAATCTGTATAAGGGAAACGTTTATCCGAGGGTCACTGGTTCTGTGCCTAATCAACCATTCCAGATCGAAGCCGATGACCTTTTCTTCTGCAAAATATCGCTGACAAACCGACTCCATGGTCTGCTTGGATGTGCAATAATGGACCTTGACTTTCTGTTCCTCGCCGCCTTCTTGGATACGGCGATACATTCTGTAAGACCAGAAGGACTCATGGGAGCCCTGTTTGCACTTTCGAGCCGCTTCCCATTGATCGATATCGATGGTATAGTCCAAGCTGGTTAAAGGAGGAGCAACAGTATCAGTCTCTGTCGTAGCAACATCCTCCTTTGAAGCATCGACCAAATTTCCATCTGTGTCTGTCGTAACCTGCGTTCCTTCAGAGATGGACTCGATCACTGGTAACTCTAACCGCTCCTGCTGATCAAACCATTCCGCCGCATCGCGCTCGAACTCCTCATCTTCACTGAATTCATCGATTTCGACCTCTTCATTCTGCGCCGCCTGGGAGCTAGAGGCGGGCGTATGAACGAAGCGATTTATATCCAAGAAGGGGTAAGGTGGCTGTTGCTCAGCTTTTGGGGAAAACCTGATACCGAACGCTGGATTCCAGAGCCGGTTCTTAATAGTTGGGGACATGTTTGAAATAGAATTTGTTCTTTGTACGGGCCCTTTTGTTAGGGGGCATTTTTAAATAAGAGAAGATAGACATCTGACCTACCTAGTATAGAGCATGCGACGCGTTATTGTGGGAGAGGGCCTTGATACACTGCCAGCAACAGACCCCCGTAGAGAAAGTATCATTGGGGTGTGAAGGAGTTGGAATGTAGCCAGCGTCGAAGAGCCATTGCGGCAAACGCCCATGACCCTAATACACTCACGCTATGGGGACTCTGTTAGGCAACGGCGTCAATAAAGCGATCATTGATTATGGGCGTTTAGTGGGTGGCTTGGCTTTGGTGATAGCCTGGTAGAGGTGGAGTGTCCGAGTCTGGCTGAGTCACCAACGCGAGAGCACGTGGGGACGTACCAGTGGAGGCTCTATATTCACACCTTATCCTGGCATCCCACTTTGCGACCAAGTTGACGACCTCAGCCTAACTGGAAGAGACGAGCTCAACTATTGGCTGCCTACACCAGAGACTATCAGTTGTTTTATGATAGCAGGCTCTTGGTAAGAGCATTACCGGACCAAACTTCTTTACCGTCGAATCTTTGTCATTTAAATCCTCACAATGGCCTCCCAACTGCTACCCCTCGGTGAGTCCTTCGACCAGCGCTTGTTAGCGTATACTCTCAAATACTGACTTTATCATTTAGAGCTTATCGACAAGTGTGTTGGCTCGAGAATTTGGGTCATCATGAAGGGCGATAAGGGTAAGACGAGTGTTTGCTGTCAAGAGAGGCGTTGTACTGATGAGCTGGCAGAATTCAGTGGAACACTCGTTGGATTCGATGACTACGTCAGTGAGTATTTTTCTTCCTAATTTAGTTTCGTTTATACTAATCTATGTACAGACATGGTTCTGGAGGACGTGACTGAGTTGTATGAGTAATCCCTTGATCTTTCCTGCTTGAGCATTAACTAATTCCAATAGTGATTACTCGGGAAACCACACCAAGCTACCCAAGATTCTACTCAACGGTAACAACATTTGCATGGTATGTTAATTACAGCTTGCCTTAAGCTCCTATGCTAATGTTTTTCGTCAAGTTGATCCCCGGTGGTGAGGGCCCAGAAGGGGCTGCTTCAGGTTGAGAAGGAAAAGCCAAAGAAACACCGCAAGCCAATTCAATCAATCAAGACTCATGACGAGCATTACCCCCAACACGGAATCAAAACTTCGCGCCACTTATCTTAATATTGGTGTTGTGACATTTGCATCAAAAGGAATTAGGGTCGCAGTGTGCGGCTCAGAAAAGTCCTAAGCATTGAGCTCATCCCAGTTTACATCTGGCAGAAATAAATAGCAGTAATCTACAGCCCCCAAACGCCGACCATCCATGGTGCCTGTTGGTTTTTGAATGTCGTGAAGAATACGACCGACATGAAGAAAGACAATTTAGTGACCGTTCTGCATGTTGCCTTGCTCTCCGGCTGTTGTGATTCGTCTCAATTCCCACTCTCGTGTGAACTCCTGGTGCAACATCTCGAGTTGGTTGATCAGCTTCTCACAGACCGAAGTGAAAACGTCTCGAGGAGTGATGGTTCCATCCGTTTGAACTCGGATAAAAAGCTCCGGAACGTTGGGGTGGGCAACTGTGATACGGTTAGCCAAATGTCGAATTTAAGGTGACGAGGGCCATTTACTCTTGTATCCAGCCATATGGACGTTGGGGTGCATCTTAAGGTGCTCGGATAGGAGGTTCCCAAGAGTGTGGTCTTCCTTCATGAGAACAAAGTCCGAGGTGTTGGACATTCCTGTGCGATAGTGTGAGCGTGGGAGCACTGCAGATTTGGCAAAGAGAAACTTACCAGAGAAGACCTTCTCCTCGATCTTCTTCTCACCCTCTCCGAGGAGGAAGAGCTCGAAACTATTGTCAATGTAAGCCAGTGCACAAGTCGAACAGCTTGAAGTAACGTAACGGGTCGTCCTGAAGGTTGTAATGTTTGGGGTTGTTTCCAGCCATGATGTACAGAATTAAAGTGATGTTTTGAAGAGTTGGAAGAGAGGTAGTAGGCCTTGGCGATACTTTCTTTTGGAGGGTTTGGATATCATTGTGATGCTTTGGAAGGAAGAATCTGCCACCTGGTCGCCAGCTGCAACTGCACAGCAGCGAAGAACCACATGAAGACGAGTATAAAACCACATCTTAACTTTGAGATGTGTTTCTGGATATAAAAGGATTGTATGCATATGCAATTCGACTGTATTGCCATTATGGGCAGTGTTTGTTGAGCAAATGAACTGTCCGCTGAGCGCATTTGAGTTGTTGATAATTTGTAAGGATAACGGCTGGTCTTCTCCGGTCTTGAAAGCACGGCATAATATTTCAAGACCGGCAAAGTCCTGAGCCTCACATCACTTGATGAGACTACACATCCATTACCCAAATTGAACAGGGGTTGACCCATGAGAACTCGGATGTCCCAGTCGTGGTACTGGATTTTGTATAGACAAAAAGTCATAAAAAGACATTTGAAACACAGTCTAGCAAAGAAGTGCACGAAAAAGAATCGTCTTACCGATCAGGGGCGTTCATCTTCGGTTCTTGATTAGGATGTTAGATAATTCGATATTTGGCGGTAAAGTGGCAATCGTAGCAAAAGTCCAAAATCGTCGATAGTCTGTCCTCTTTACTTTATCGACGGTTTCGCACAGAACTGGAGGTCCAGACAGAGAACACCTGAAAAGTAGAGGTCCAAAAATGTGACAGAAGATAAAAATAGTGATGAGATTAGTGACAAGAAGTTAGGGACAAAGCAGCGTGAAGCAGAGTCGCAACTACCTAAGGTTCCAAAGAGGCTCACGCTTCAAGACGCGACAAAAAGGCTAAAACTCGGCTAAAACTGCGGGCATCGACTCTTCAGGCTGACTCTGCATGTAATCTGACAGTGAATCACCTCATTAAATGATTCACGTTTTTTTTACTTCATTCACTTCGATCGGTGTATTCAAGCTCAAGGTTGCGGGCTCAACAATGAGTTTCTGTTCCAATGCCGCGCATTCAGCCGTCTTTATTGCGGCGTGCTAATCGCCTCTCGCCGCACCTTGCAAACCTCTTACCGGCGTGTCGAGATCTAGCATCAGCTCAGAATGAACTACGATGGATAAAGAGTCATGTGGATGAAACATGGTCCAAGAGGAAATTATGGCATCTAGATGACCTTTGTCGAAAAAGAGGGCGCGGCGTGCCTCTGCAGTATGTTTTGGGTTCTCAGCCATTTGGCGCTCTCGACATCAAGTGTAAACCCGGTGTTTTGATACCCAGACCAGAAACTGAAGCATATACTTTTCATCTGGCAAACCTTGTCAAGTCAGGACAGCTGCTAAGTCGGCACGTAAGGGAAAGCGGAGACGGTGTTAACTTAATCGACTTCTGCACAGGAACTGGCTGTATTCCGCTTGGCTTCTTCTCATCCCTTCAGCACTCAGTCAAGAATATGACTGTGAGGGGAGTGGATATTTCTCCCGTGGCTCTTCGACTCGCGCAGGAAAATATTGCCCGGAATGTCGAGCTTCAAACCTTGATCAAGCCAACCAGAAACAAGAGGCTTGACATCACGACAGCAAATGTCTTTAGTGACAGCGATATGCAACAGCTCGCCGTTACCCGCTGGGATATCCTTGTATCTAACCCTCCGTACATCTCGGAGGATGTCTGGCATCATGGTCGTGGACAACTCGGATATTCAGTTCGAAAATATGAACCACGTCTCGCATTAGTACCGACTAACAACCTTCCTTGTCCGAGTGGATGCAACGCAGCGGATGTTTTTTATGCTCGGCTTTTGGACATATCGGAACTCTTAAAGCCGACAGTAGTACTCCTTGAAATTGGCGATGAGGACCAGGCCCGTCGTGTACTGCAGCTGTATTTTCCCCATCCAATTGCACAAAGCTCAAGAGTCGAAATTTGGCGTGACTGGCCTGATTTGGAAGGGACAGAGGATTCGGAGTTCACTGTGGTTGAAGAGTCCAAGGGTGAGAAATATCAAGTCCCAGTGAAAGGTGACGGTCGCATACGGTCTCTTCTAATTCGCAGATTGGACGAGGCTTAATGGCAACAACATTGAAGGTTATTTCCTTTATTCTACTAGTCGAGCGCCAGACATGGATTCTATGATACATGCATTTCTATTAAGGTCTGAACAATACGGGGTCATGATGAATTCAAGACGCAAGTTGCCACGATAATGAACAAGAGATTATGGTAGATGAAAGTTTCTGCTTAGGCTACGCTCTACGGTTTAAACCCTAAAAGAGGACTAGGAAAATGAAGAAATACTCTATCGAGACTTGTTCCGTATGTCTATCTACATTACGTGGGTAGCAGAAAAAATAGCCTCCTAAGTAGTAGGGTATAAAAATAAGTAGTTTAAGAACCGTAGTCTAAGGAGCATAAAGTGACCTACTAATTTCGTCCCTTATACCCAGCGGTTAATTTTTCTGATACGCTGAGGATTACCTACATAAGATCCAGAAATCACACCTCATTGAAGATAGAGTAAGACTCATGAGAAGTCTCGACTAGAAACCACATTGGAACTCGCTCGCCATGATTCTTTAGCAAACCTCGATTGATAATATTCTACCAATGTGCTAGACATCATGATCCGAAGTAGGCACCAATTCATGACGTGCCTGACTATCTTCCATGAGGCGATTTATGCCCCGCCAGCCAATCCCCTCCCCTCATCATGCCAGTGGACCCTGGACGTCTTTCTAACACGTGATCGTTCTTTTTTCGAGCTAAGCAACGCCTATAGACTCATCACCAGAAGCTTCCACTTGGTGGTGTCATCCAATATATTCAATTCCTTACGTCGGCGCTGGACCCTCGAGTTCTCGCCATATACGAGTGTGTTTCAGTCTCAGAGATAATCAAACAGCCTATTTGGCTTGAGTCGTGCTGCCATATGAGATAGCACGGCGTTTCATCTACATATATCTATCTCACAACCCCGGCGGTTCCGCACTTGCGCCAGTCCCCATTGCCCATTATGTCGAGACTTTTACGGCAATCGAGCCAGTTCGCACGAGTGACGAGACTGTCATCACAGCCTGCATTAAGGCTATGTGCACGACCATCAATCATCGCCCGATCGAATCCCGCAAAGACATCCGCCGCATTCGCCATCCGAGCCAGGACATATTCCTCGCAACCCCCACCTTCCGGCCAAGACCCCCGGTCAAACCCAGACAGAGATAACGAACATGGCAGTAAGCCCCTAAATCAAAAGAAGGGAGATGATGGAGTCGAGGGAGGCAAATCTGAGGCACCGAAGCCGCCACCTCTGCCGGAGGGTTGGATTCACTTAAGCAAAGAGGAAATCGCCCATCTCGAAGAATTCACATCTAGGCTTCCAGAGGCTCAAAAGCCAGTGGCGAAAGATATCCTTGAGAAGCTCCAGATTGTTGGCGCACCATCCGAGACCCGCGATCTCCTCCAAAAGTTACGACAGAACGGCAACCTCTCAATTCTAGACAAAGGACGATTGATGCGCTGCGTGTACCAGGTCACTGAACGAATCATCGATCTAGAGGAGAACCAGGGCCAGAATGGTCAATTCTCATCTTTCCGCATGGACCAGGAAGCCACGTCACAGGATGGCAAGGATGGGGCCAACAAGTCGAAGCAACAACAGCAGAAGGGTGGTAAGCAGCCCAAGAACGAGCGCAGCGGCTGGCTCGAGGCTGTCCAAACTGGTATCGCTATCGGTGTCACTGTCTGGATTGCGGAACTTTTCGCCAACCCATTCTCTGAGAAGGAGATTACTTGGCAAGAGTTTCGAAAGGCTTTCCTAGACAAGGGCCTGGTCCAGAAGCTGGTGGTCGTTAATGGCTCCCAAGTCCGTGTTGAGCTTCACCCATCTGCGACTGGACCTACTGGTGAGAACGGACAACCCGGGAAGAAGAGCTACGTGTTCACCATCGGATCCGTCGAGTCGTTCGAGCGAAAGTTGGAGAATGCTCAAGACGAGCTAGGCATCCCATCAGCTGAGAGAATACCTGTCAGCTACGAGGCCGGTGGTGGTACCGTCGGTAACCTCCTTCTCGCATTTGGCCCTACCCTTCTCTTCATTGGTTTGATCCTATGGACTCAACGGTCAATGGGAGGACGAGGTGGTGCTGGCGGAGGCATGTTTAACTTCGGCAAGAGTAAGGCAAAGAAGTTTAACGCCGAGAGTGCCGTCAAGGTCAAGTTTGCAGATGTCGCTGGTCTCGAGGAGGCAAAGACTGAGATTATGGAGTTTGTGAGCTTCTTGAAGCAGCCTGAGAAGTTTGAAAAGCTAGGCGCCAAGATCCCACGAGGTGCCATCTTGGCTGGACCCCCCGGTACTGGTAAGACGTTGCTTGCCAAGGCCACGGCTGGTGAGTCTGGAGTGCCCTTCTTCAGTGTGAGCGGCTCCGAATTCGTTGAGATGTTTGTTGGTGTTGGACCTTCGCGTGTACGAGATCTGTTCGCCGAGGGTCGCAAGAACGCTCCTTGTATCATCTTCATCGACGAGATTGACGCTATCGGTCGCGCGCGACAAGAGAGTGGCAAGGGTTTTGGCGGTAACGACGAGCGTGAAGCGACCCTGAACCAGATTCTTACCGAAATGGACGGCTTCAACACCCGTGAGCAGGTGGTTGTCCTCGCCGGTACTAACCGAGCAGATATGCTGGACAAGGCCTTGATGCGACCTGGACGATTCGATCGACACATCTTCATCGACCGACCTACAATGAAGGGTCGTCAGGAGATCTTCAAGGTTTACTTGAACAAGATTGTGACGAACGAAGACCAAGAATACCTTGTCGGTCGTCTGGCAACTCTCACTCCTGGCTTCTCTGGCGCTGATATTGCCAACGTTGTTAACGAGGCTGCTCTGATTGGTACGTCTTGATGAAAATATTCTATTATTCCTTAACTGACATGTTATAGCTGCTCGTGGCAATGCCGACGATGTCAAGATGGACCACTTCGAGCGGGCCATCGAGCGAGTGATTGGAGGTCTGGAGCGCAAGTCTCTTGTTCTCAAGCCTGAGGAAAAGAAGACAGTCGCCTACCATGAAGCCGGACACGCTATTTGCGGGTGGTTCTTGGAGCATGCTGACCCGCTGCTCAAGGTCTCTATTATCCCCCGTGGTCAGGGTGCTTTGGGTTATGCTCAATACCTACCCCAAGACGCCTACCTGATGAACACCAACCAACTCATGGACCGAATGGCCATGACCATGGGTGGTCGTGTGTCTGAGGAGCTTCACTTCCCCACTGTGACAACAGGTGCTAGCGATGACTTCAAGAAGGTTTCCCAGATGGCAAGAAACATGGTGACTCAATGGGGTATGTCTGAGAAGGTGGGCCCTGTGCACTTTGAGAACGACCCCAACCGCATGCAGAAGCCCTTTGCCGAGTCCACAGCCCAGCAGATCGACCTGGAGGTTTCTCGAATTGTGGAGGAGGCCTACAAGCGCTGCAAGGATCTCCTGACAGAGAAGAAGAACGAGGTTGGCCTCATTGCGCAGGAGCTACTCAAGAAAGAGGTCCTCGTCCGAGACGACATGGTTCGCATCTTGGGCAAGCGACCTTTCGGCGACAACGAGGATTTCGAGAAGTACTTTGGTGGTTCCAAGCCAGAAAGCACCCCTCCCCCGTTCCCTGAGGAGACCGACTCGCCTAATGAGCCCCCTACCCCATCCCCAGCTTTCAAGAAAGTTGAATAAGCTCGAGATACAAATTGTTCGAGCGCTTTATTAGAGAGAGCCGTCTACGCAGCATGATCAGTATTTGCTGGTCATACATATTGCTGCCAAGACCCTGCAGGAGGAGGAACACTAGGAGACCTTGAGGCAGAGCGAGGATTGGTCGTGACAGCGACTTGATGCATTCGGTGAGGCTAATCTCGGAGCCAAGAGTATTGGTCATGAGACAGACAGTATGGCAATCCGTGGTGGTGGGGGGAGATAAGGACGACGACGACGACGACGACGACGACATATGCTTGGGGCGGTCGCAGCACAGCGCGAAGAAAAGCGGCACTCAACTCTACCAGACACTTGATCAATTCCTTTGGGTTCGTTTTTTAATGCATTCATAGTCTCAGCAAACCCTTCACAACACATCTATCCGCATGAGACACGCATCAATCATCATTACCCTCATCATGTTGGGGGCCTGTACGGTGATACAGGCCTTGACCAACTGTGTAACACTCACTGTACTTTAGGTGATAGAACTGTAAAAAATACTATTTGATGACTCAATTGCTTGATGAAGAAGAGAAGTGTGATTTCAAAGGTCTTGGCGTATGTATGCATGGGTGTATATATGGCTTCACTTGGGTGTTGGGACAGGCAACGTTCAAAGTCAGCCCTAGTAAACGGGAACTAGAAAAGCAAATAGAAAGAAAGAACAAAGCGACGATCCCTGGGTAATTTCGTAAAATGTAGAAACATGCATAATGGTATTTCATCAGTCAACCAACTACATCGATATCGGGGAGCCGGAGCCCGGAGTTGATGCACAAAGTAAGGTCAAACGTTGATTGGTCTAGAAAGTTCCCTTCGGCCGACCCTAAGAAATCGGAGGCTCTACTCCCGTCAAGCCAGCAAACCGTCTCCGAAGTTGTAGTAGAAAAGGGTAATAAACTTTGGGCTTTTTGGCGGTTAACAAGGAATAGGGATTGGGGGCACAGGGTCTAGGTCGATTGTCAAGTCCGATACCCCTGTTCATGACGATCTGAGTCATGTCGGAAACTTAGACGACATGTTTTTTTTTAGAGATGGATCATCTGCATATGTTTTTAAGGGTTTGTTGTTTTGTCGATAGTATTGAGCGGTGTTGTTCAATTAATCATTGAGCCAGTCATCAGAAACTAGGTAGATTTTTATTCTTATTTTTTTTACTTGTCTTGTACCAGTGTACCCGGATATAATTATCAATCATGACTGTATGCACATCATTTACTTGGCCATATTTTGATTGGCCGCCAAAGTGTCAAGATTGCATCACAATCGGTCAGTACCTTACTATAGGTACAATAGGCTTGGTAGGGTCCTTTTAGACCGTTGAGTTACATCACTGAAAGGAAGAAGTACCCGAAAGAAACAACACCACAAGTGACTTTTTTTTTTAGTAAGGGCTTTTTTTCTCTCTTTCTCGGATACATACAAGCGGTGTCATTTCGTACGCCATGATAAGGTGAACATATGTTTTATTTATCCCGTCCTGTGTTACTCTCGTCTCTTGCAACTTGCAGTAGTCAGACTGCCAACCTACCTATCTACAAAAGGTCAATGATGCTTGTCGAATCGTGGGTAAGCAGCATTTGACAGGGATGTTGTCACTACCTACCGAGTGGAGTACAGTATCCTTCTCTTCTCGTTCTTCTTTCTCTTGGCAGGCCTAGGCTCAGATAGACATACATACTTGGGTAGGCAGTCTATAAGTTGAGCAATCCTTGCACTGCATCTCATCGGTGACACTTGACCGGTTTAACCACTATATATACATAAACCTGGACCCTTTACGTTCCCCTATCCACTATCTACCAGTCCATCTCGGAGTAAAAGTCACATTGCTGGACAGCCACATCTACACTATTGACTTTTTACCTTTACCATCGAGGGAAAGAATCATCCATGACCTCGGCCCCAGCTGGGCACGAAAGAGCCCACAGTCATGATATGGCTTCACATCAGCCAAAAAGAGAGCCATGGTGGAGGATTCACCTCTTCCGAGGCATGATCAAAGATGTCCGTCGAAGACTCCCATACTACGTGAGCGACTGGACCGATGCATGGGATTATCGAGTTGTTCCTGCTACTATCTACATGTACTTTGCCAAGTGAGTCTCCACGCCCTCATATTACCCCCAAAGAGGCCTACAAGTTAAAGACATACATAATACTTGAATGATCACACAAACTAACCCATTCTTCTCAAAGCATCTTGCCTGCGTTGGCATTCTCCCTCGACATGTTTCAAAAGACAGGTTCAAACTATGGCGTCAACGAGGTTCTTCTTTCGTCTGTCCTAGGATCCGTTGTCTTCTCCCTCTTTGCTGCTCAACCACTAGTTATTGTCGGTGTGACGGGTAATTTGACCTCTATCCAATGCAAAGAATCAACTATCTAACTATTCCACCACAGGTCCCATCACCGTCTTCAACTAGTAAGACTTATATACAAAACGATCCTGAGTGAAAACTAATGTTCTTCAAGTACCGTCTATGATATCATGAAGCCTACAGGTGTCAACTACATTGGATTCATGTGTTGGATTGGCATGTAAGTTACAAGTCTCACTCATGATATGGAAGCCGTACTAATTAAATCAGATGGTCACTCATCCTTCACTGGATTCTCGCCATAACAAACTCTTGCAATTGGCTTCGATGGGTCACACGCTTCCCCTGCGACATCTTTGGCTTCTACGTAGCGTTTATCTACCTCCAGAAAGGAATCCAAGTCCTCGAGCACCTTGGCAGAGGACAAGAGTTCTACCTGTCCATTGTCGCAGCTCTGCTCGTCTTTATGGTCGCATACATTTGCGGTGAACTTGGCACCAGCAGTCTCTTTCGACACCCTTTCCGCATCTTCTTGAAGGACTATGGCACGCCCTTGACCATCATCTTCTTCACAGGCTTTGTTCACTTCGGTCGTATGCAAGAAGTCCAACTTGAAGTTTTGCCAACGGGTATCGCTTTTGAACCGACCAGCGGCCGAGACTGGCTTGTCAACTTTTGGGATTTGAGTGTAGGCGATATCTTTCTAGCGCTGCCTTTTGCAGTACTTTTGACCATTCTATTTTGGTTCGACCACAATGGTAAGTCCTGTTAGATGTATATATCGTAACGCCATGACTAACAATAACAGTTTCTTCACTAATTGCACAAGGTAGCGAATTTCCTCTTCGTAAACCCGCTGGTTTCCACTGGGATATCTTCCTCCTTGGCTTGACAACCGGTGTTTCTGGCATCCTCGGTCTACCATTTCCTAATGGGCTCATCCCTCAAGCTCCATTCCATACCGAGTCCCTCTGCGTCACCAAGGCTGTCAAGGAAGATGACTCGGACGGTAACCCAAGAGACGGAGGCTACTCCTTCGAAGCCACGCACGTTGTAGAGCAACGTGTTTCCAACATTGCCCAAGGTCTTCTCACTCTGGGCACCATGACTGGACCTCTTCTTGTGGTTCTTCATCTGATTCCTCATGGTGTCCTCGCAGGTCTATTCTTTATCATGGGTGTTCAGGCTCTCGAGGGCAACGGTATCACCGCGAAGCTCGTCTTCCTAGCTCGCGACCGCGCCCTCACGCCTGCTTCTAGCCCCCTGCTTCGAATCCGCCGGCGCGCAGCTATCTGGTACTTCGTCCTTATCGAGCTCGTCAGTTTTGGCGCCACTTTCGCCATCACGCAAACCGTCGCTGCCGTTGGCTTCCCGGTTTTCATTTTCGCTCTCATCCCCATCCGTGCTCTTGTCCTCCCTCGTATCTTTTCTGCTGAAGAGCTCTCTCTTCTGGACGAACCTACAGCTTCCGACTTCATCATGGAAGGTATCGGAGGGTCTTGGGGCGGCAAGGACGAAGAGAAGCCTACTTCGCCACAGAGTGACTCTCACGGGCGACTGGAGTACCACGATAGTGTGCTTGCGCATCCTGAAGCGCCGAGGAAGAGTCAGGAGGACCTTGCCGAGCTAGGGCACATACAGTCTGGGAGAAGTACGGGGACCAGAAGAAGGAGTTTGGAGAGACGACCACAAAGGCATTCAGACGTATAGAAGAGTCTACACATTATCACGTATAGAAAGCGGGTTGGCTACATGAGAATTCCGGAGGATACCATTATTTGATCGCACTACTTGCATAGCACTAGTAAGGGAGAGGACGAGCATATCAGATAAATACATACACCAGGCTATGCTAATAATTCACTTCAAAATTGCCGTTGACATTATCAATAACTGCGAGAATATTAGCAATATCATAACTTAGTCACAGAGGATTGATGATCAAATAACATTCAGATGAATTCTATTTTCTTGCGAAGGTCCGATGGTATCGTTAATTAATCCAACCCTATGCAATGCAATGCTCAGCATATATTCTACATATAACACAATCCGCTCAAACGCCATTGTCTCCCTCAATACTATCCCTACTCGTCATCGTCGTCATCGTCCATAACGAACGGACCTGCTCGAGCTCGAGGTCTTCGGGAAACAACAGGTACGTCGTCCTCGTCCTCATCCTCATCCTCATCCTCATCCTCGTCTGCCTTGTTGTTGTCCATTCCGCCCATTTGCTGATCTTCGCTAGGCTGTGTTTTTTCCTCAGTAAGACGTCTCCTCTTTCGACTCTCACCATCACTGCCATCTGGCAACGTTCCCTCCATCTCCTCATCTCCCTCCTCTTCGAGAGCACCATTCATTGCCTTGCGAATAAAATCCAAACCAGCGTCGTTCTCGTTGTTGCTATCGTCTTCATCTTCATCCTCATCTTCATCCTCATCCTCATCTTCGTCATCGTCATCTGTGCTAGCATTGGAGTCTTCTTCACTACTTTGTTCACTTTCAGTAGCTGCACGTTTTCTCGGGACCTTTTTCGCAGGCTTTTGTGTTGCAGCGATTCCTTCAGCAATCAACCTGACCGGTGCACGTTTTGCCTGCTCGCGTTCTTTAGCGAAGAAAGCTTCATCGGCCTCCGAGTCGGTTTCGTCGTCTTGC